CTTCTGTTCAATTAGTTACGAGTTGTTACAGTCATCAGTGGATTAGGCCTACTGGGGATACCACTTAAAAAAAAACGCGTCAACAATAGTACCTCATGGGTGACGTGGAAAACTGGTGGAAACACGCTTCTGAGGCTCGAGCGGCTTGTCGGCAGCATGCGGAGTGGCGAGGTAAAGGGAACAGCGGTGGGCGGAGATAGTCGAAAATCGGCCGTCGCGTGCATTTTTTGCCGAGCTCTGATTTATGGTATTGATCAGCCTTCGGTTTTCGAAACTGATTTATCTTCTCATTCTTTTATAAGACAAAAAAAATTGATACGAATCGTTCGTTTATCCGAGTTAATTTGTTGAATAAGACTAGAGCGGTATGTACCAGAAAAATAAGGACAAATTGTCATTGCACGTGTGCAATTTTTTGACACTGATTTATGGTATTAATCGATATTCGATTTTCGGTACTGATTTAGTCTTTCATTTCTCTATAAGAAAACAGAAAATTAATACGAATCATCCATTAATCCGCGTTAATTTGATGAATAAATTAGGTATTAATCGGCCTTCGATTTTCGGTACTGATTTATTCTCTCATTTGTTTATGAGACAAGAAAAATTGGTACGAATCGTTCGTTTATCCGAGTTAATTTGTTGAATAAGACTAGAGCGATATGTATCTGAAAAATAAGAACAAATTGTTATTGCACGTGTGCAATTTTTTGACTCTGATTTATGGTATTAATCGATATTCGATTTTCGGTACTGATTTAGTCTTTCATTTCTCTATAAGAAAACAGAAAATTAATACGAATCGTCCATTAATCCGCGTTAATTTGATGAATAAATTAGGTATTGATCGGCCTTCGATTTTCGGTACTGATTTATTCTCTCATTTGTTTATGAGACAAGAAAAATTGGTACGAATCGTTCGTTTATCCGAGTTAATTTGTTGAATAAGACTAGAGCGATATGTATCTGAAAAATAAGAACAAATTGTTATTGCACGTGTGCAATTTTTTGACTCTGATTTATGGTATTAATCGATATTCGATTTTCGGTACTGATTTAGTCTTTCATTTCTCTATAAGAAAACAGAAAATTAATACGAATCGTCCATTAATCCGCGTTAATTTGATGAATAAATTAGGTATTGATCGGCCTTCGATTTTCGGTACTGATTTATTCTCTCATTTCTTTATAAGAGAAGAAAAATTGGTACGAATCGTTCGTTTAACCGAGTTAATTTGTTGTGTAAATTACAGCGGTAACTACCTGAAAAATGAGAACAAATTGTCATTGGACAATTTTCTGACACTGATTTATGGTATTAATCGGTATTCGATTTTCGATACTGATTTACTCTTTCATTGCTCTATAAGAAAAGGAAAAATTGATACGAATCGTTCATTTATCCGCGTTAATTTTTTTTTTATTATATATAAGTGGTCCATAGGACGATTAAATATTCGAATACATGTTGCCGTATCAAAATCTCCTCTATAATAAACGATTTGACACGTCTGGACGTCTCCAGATGCATGATGTATCGTTACCCGCATCCCATTCCCTTCGTCCTGCTTCCCTGTATAAAATGTCGAATTGAAACGTATTAAAAGGTATTGATATTTTGAATATGTCTGAATTCTGAATCTTTTTAATCCGAAGAAAAGGATTGAAAAGTATTAGTTCCCATTAAATTTTACTGCGCTAAATGCGAAACGGTCTCTTTCGCCCGGGTGCCTCACCAGGGAAATTTCTCTCTGATACGCTAAATCCCGTAAGGCCATCAGTCTTTGTAGTATATCTCGTCGGTGCGTAAGGTTTATATTACCTGTATTTTATATTACCAGTACATACATATTTTGAAATATTTTCTTTGGATATTATATCAAACGGATTTTGCGTGTCACGTAATATCCTTCGGACTATACGGACATTATTATTTTGATCATTTTGATTTCTTTGGTATTCATTGAATTATCCAGAACGCGCAACTGCTATGTTGAACGTCTCAATTGTCGTGTGAAATGTTTCGATTTTCACAAATTCATATAAAGTTTTTCATTTTTCACTGATTCACAGAAGTCTTTCACTTTTTATTAGTTCACGCTAGGGAAAAGATTCATTATCGCTGCCCCGAGCAGCTGCAACGCTTTTCGAATCGTCTATGTCGGCGCGCTTTTACTCCTCAGATCTCTGTCATTAATAACTCGATAATTATTGCGAATCTCGCAAAATGGTGTGGGACTTTTATGTTTGTCTTAACCCAATCTACTTTCACACTTCGGGTTGGCAGTTAATTACCGGACACTTCGTATGATCTTCATGATATTAATCGTACACAATGTCAATTCTTTTTTTTTTGCACATGTTAATATGTTAATTCATGTTATAAACGCGTAACAATATGCGAGACCGTGCTTGTCAAGTACGCTATTATGGTTGTAGCACGGACATAAACCGCCTAAAAATGGATATAGCACGGACTGCCACCACATACAGGTTTTACCGCTGAAACCTGTAAGTGGATGTAGCCTCGTAGTTCCCCTTTCAAAATGGATGCAGATGGCATCCTTTTCCAGTGCGGAAAGTTGGTGTCGCAGAAAATGCCATGTTGGCTGCTTCAGGTTTCTCTCTGGTGGCACACGGTGCTTGTTTTCGTGCTGGATTGCTTGCTGGATGAAAATACTGCGTCCTGATTGGTACATTTCCGAAGATGGATGGAAATGCACCAATTAGAACACAGTATTTTCATCCAGCAAGCAATCCAGCACGAAAACCAGCCCGTGTGCCATTGACTTTAGGCCTGTTCGTTTTATCTGCACTGCTGAACTGATGCAACAAGTTGAAGTGAAAAAACCTACGTTTGTCTCACTTTAACTTAAGCCAGCGGCACACGATGCTTGTTTTCGTGCTGGATTGCCTGCTGGATGAAAATACTGCGTTCTGATTGGTACATTTCCAAAGATGAGTGGAAATGCACCAATCAGAACGCAGTATTTTCATCCAGCAAGCAATCCAACACGAAAACAAGCACCGTGTGCCGCTGGCTTTAATGCACCAGTTCAGCAGTGCAGACAAAACGAACAGGGCTTTTATGTAAAATGGGCTTAACAGCTCATGCAGCTCTGTTCCCGCTAAATTTTTTTCCTAATTCACCTTGGCCGCAACCATTGACTGGAGTGTTTGTACATGGTACTTATTAATCAATTCTTGAACAATTTTATTGAAATGGCTATCTCGCAGAAGAAACCATCGCAAAATAAAGCTAAGAGGAAGCTAGAACAGAATTTACCTGAAAAACATGAAGAAGTCGTGGGAACAGTTTTGAGAACGAAGAAACGGAAAATCAGTAAAGAAGTTGAGCACGTGTCAGAGGCAAAAGAGCAAAAAACGAATGTTCCGATAGAGAAAAAAACTAAGAAACAAAATACACAAGAAACGAGTGATAAAATAACAACGGTTGCAAAAAATGGTACAAAAAAAAAGAAAACCATGACAGAAGTAAAATCCATGGAATTAAACGAAAAGAATGACAAAGAAAAAGATATTGAAGCAGAATTATCAAAAAGTCATATGGAGCAGTGTATTTCAGCAATGTTTCATCTAATTGAGGAACAAGTGCAACTTAAAAATAATCTTACTGGAGAGGTTCATCCAATATTCATGCAAGTGACTTGCATCAGGATACCAAAAGTACCTCGCAGACAAATGAGAATGTAAGTAAACTTTTGAAAATATGGAGTTTCGTCTCTTTCTTTTTAATTTCGTGTTAATTTATATTAGAAAAATCTGTAGCTATAACTCACATGGAAATTACCCATTGTACATTTATTTCCAGTAATATTCTGATTTACAGCAGCTGTAAATAAAAAAAATTAATTTTTTCTATGATTAGTTTCTTACATATTTATGTTATTAAAGAATTCCAAATAATTTTACATGATTATTCAGTAATTACCAATGGATCCTTATGAAATTTGTATCCTGATTATAAGTTTTGGAATGATAATAATTGGAACATGTTAAAGTAGTCTTTGCAGTCTAAATAAATTTCTAATACTTTGAATTTATGTTTTGTGTGTGTCATAGATTATTGCCACATTCTATAGTAACATCGAATGATGAAGTGGCCCTATTTGTTTGCGACTTGGAAAGAGGAAGAAAAAAAGATTACGAGCCAACAGTAGAACATTATAAGAAGATTCTCATTGAGCAAGGATGTACTTGCATAAATGAAATAATACCTATGAATCGTGTAAAAACAGAATTCGATCAATTTGAGTTGAAGAAGAAACTAGCTGCCAGTTATGATTACTTTCTCGTTGACAGTCGTATTGCGGGTCACTTGTCTCATTTATTGGGTAAAGAATTCTTCAAAAGACGGAAATTACCAACCTCTGTCAGAATGAATAACAAAGACTTGAAGCATGAAATTGAACATGCTTTAAGAAAAACCAGCATGCAGATTCATTCTAATGGTGACTCTCATATAGTGCAAGTAGGAAACACATTAATGCAGGAAAATGAAATTTTGGAAAATATACTGGCTACTTGTAAAAATTTGTCTAAGAATTATCCTGGTGGTTGGGCAAACATACGTTCTCTTCGATTGAAAGGAGCTACCACTATAGGATTGCCATTTTACATAACTCTGAGTAAGTTACTGTGTATCATTGGATTATTTCATCTGTTATTCAATATAAATTATCTCTTTAAACAGATGTATGTTTGTGTATTTCAGGGAATAAAAATGCAGTGAAACTAACAGTTGTAAAACCTAAGAGGCCAAATGCTTACCGCGATGTAAAGGGTGAGTTATCTACTTTTGTAAGGGACACTGATATCACAGTCAAGCCTGATGGTGAAGTTATTGTTGAACGAACTACTCAGAAAAGGGAGAGAAAATTTCATACAAGTCCACAAATTTGAGGTGATATTTTTATATAACTTTTGTTAATATTTCTATTTTAATCTAATAAAAACAATTACAAGAATTTGCTGTTTTTCTTAAATAGTATGTTGTGAAACTGTGATACATATGCCATAAATAACATAATATTGCTTACATTATGCTGTTTTTTCTACTGTTTACATGTTAACTTATGAATATACCAAAGGAAGTATTCTCTCCATGTGATTGATTAATAGAGAATAGTCTGATCTTTTTTGGATATACTCTGATATCCATTAGCTGGTGTTAACATCGGCAGACTGTTAGTGATACCATTAGTACTCTGAATGTTTTTGTACACATTAGTATCAGTAACTACTTCAATCTCTTGAAAATTCTGGAGTCTCTGAATATCCTTGTCCTTCCGCAGTCTTGTATTTGGTAATTTGCGTAGCTTCAAAATCTGATGTGGAGTGAGATTTAATTCCTTGCAACATATGCACAATAATGCCTGGTATGTTAACTCATTCCGTGACAATTCTATCTCTATGAAATCTGGATCCGCTGCATTGGCAATTCGAATTTTCAATACCAATTCTAAAAAAATAAAGTAATGTATACTATTAATGCATCAATATATATTGTATTATAATAATTGTCAAACAGTTATAATTGTAATTCAGACAATAACTATAAAGTACTTTAAAAAATTTTAATCTACATGATTAATATAGGAAAGAAAATAGGAAAAAAAAGTCATAGCTACTTTTTTGTAGTAGTCCATCAAAAATGAAGAAATTACTAATTATTTATATCGAAATCTAAATTTTACCTTTATTATTAAGATTCTCTTTAGTAACAAAAGACAAATCAATAGCCAAATATTTACAAATTTAAACTCATTGTTTCTTTAGAATTTTTTTAAATATTTTCAATGCTTTTCAATACTTCAAATAATAGGAAAATAAATATATGATTTTGTAATGATTAAGTTTAAGTGATTTTTAGTTGGTTATTTTTATGAATTAGCAGAAGATGACTAGTATTGACTCTATTTTCTTTATTATGTTGATTATATGTTTTTGGGTCTTTAATTTTATTAAATGTTATACCATCATGAAATGACATGATAACTGCACTGTCCTCATATACGTTATTTCTGATCTTGGGAGGATTCATGGCAGTGTGCAGAAAATCTGGTTGTGCGTATGCAGATGTAACAGTGTGCAAAGACAAGTCATTTGTGATTCGTGTAACATCACTGCTTGTGCTGAGAAGATATAAAATTTGTTGATTGCTGCATAAAGACATTGCAGTCTCTCCATTTTCTGTTCGTGCGTTTTTATCAGCACCATTTTTCAACAGCAGGGCAGCCACATCCAGATATCCTTTTTTACATGCCCAATGCAAAGCGGTCCTTGTGAAATAAAAATTGATGAAGAATGAATCAGTTTAAAGAGTATCTCAACAAATTAATCTGGTCAATATATATACACGTGTCATCTCGGAGTATAATTTTTTAATCCGAAGATATACTTTATAAGTGTGGAGATACTGAAGAAAAATTACCATCCATTGACAGCTTGTCGCACGTTAACGTCAACGCCTAGGTTTACGAGATCTTGCACGGCGTCTGTATCGCCAATACAAACCGCTTCTCGCAAACGTTCCTCGAGTATTCTTTTGTTATCCATAACGCGGCGATGTACCTTCACCGCTTTGCTATGCGTCACATCTCTCCAACGTTGGACTCACGCGAAACTGCCGCTTAAAGTAGACCAAGTGACAGCACGAAAGAATCGAATGTATGCAAACGGTAAAAAAATTGTAATAAGAAATATTTCGTATGTACGAGCTGACATGGGGATGCACTACACTTTAAAATTCTCTCATTGAATATTGGATGTAATGTAAAGATTGCTATTGCATGGTATCCTAAAAAAGAAAAATATCCTAGGACAACCCAGATTCTCCATCTCGCAGCCAATAGATACGTCCGACAAACCGACGCGACACATGTAATACCGGCTTAAGACTGCTTTTTTCCAAGGAGTAGTGTTGGTAACCGACAATGGCTCCTCCATCATATGTTTTTCGCACACTATCGTAAGCCGTACACACACACATACATACACACGTAAGCTGTTTAAGGCAGTGCCGACTCATCGCCGAAAAAATCTCTACCAAAACACCGTTTTATTCTTATCGAAAGACACTCGCGGAGTTAACTTTGCAATTACTTGACGTATATCGGATTCGTAGCTTCTTCAATATGATTATAACTCTGAAAAACTTACAACAGCAAACGTTTACGATAGAGATCGACTCGTCGCAAACTGTAAGTAAAATCGGATGATATTAAGTGAGATCAGGCTTTTTTTTACCGATGAACCGGCAAAATATATACTTATATTATCGTAGGTCAAAGATCTGAAGCAAAAGATCGAAACGCAAAAAGGTCTGCCCGCGGAACAACAAAAATTAATATATGCTGGTAAGTAATATAATTGAATAACCTAACTTGCTTAAGCCAATGTGTGAAAATGACGGTATTTACAGTGCAAAAAGTTTGCCTTGTTACAATATACTAAATACTATAGCCCACATATGCGTTAAGATATATCTTTGTGGGAGTAGGCATGATTTCGCAAAAAATGCTGATAGGTTATGTTTCCTATTATGAGAGTGATACACTGAGATTTTTATATTAAAATCTTTACTTGTGTAATCATGATAATACAAACACTTACAGGGAAAATATTAGCAGACGAGCAGCCGTTAACAGAATATAATATCGATGAGAAGAAGTTTATAGTTGTTATGGTAACAAAGCCTAAAACTAGCGCTACTCCGAAAACAAGTGATGAGCAACGTACAGAAGGGGATAACAAGGAAGAATCTACTTCAAGGTAATTTCAACATTGTGACACTTTGTACATGAAATGTGGTAAATGTATTTCACTGTAAAATGCTGATATTGTAATGAACCAGTTATTGTAATGAATAATTACAACAGGTAATAAAAATATCTGTTAAATAGTACTATGTATACGATTACAAAATATTTTCTTCAAATTATGCAATATATACAAGGAACGTTCATTTCAAACTTTCATATTTATGTGTTATAGCTCAGTAGCACAACCTAGTCCAAACCCTACAGTTCAAGATACATCGCGGGCGGCTAGTACTGTGCAAGAGCAAATTGCAGCAGCTGTACCAGCTGCCGGATGTGGTCAAGCTGAAAGTGCCTTGTTGATGGGAGAGGATTACAATACTATGGTGAAGAACATCATGGATATGGGGTATATATACAATACAGCAATATGATTTAAAAAGTTGAAAAATTACTAATATCTAATAATTATACAATATCTGTATTTATATTATTCATTTGTATTAGATATGAACGTGAGCAGGTTGTGCAAGCATTACGCGCAAGTTTCAACAACCCTGATAGAGCTGTGGAGTATCTTCTGACAGGTATACCAGCGCAGTTGTTTGAGGACCCGCCTGAGGATCCGCCAGAAGCTCAGGAACAACTCCAGGATCAGAGTCAGGATCCATTGGCCTTTTTGCGTATGCAACCGCAATTTCAGCAAATGCGCCAAGTCATTCAACAGAATCCCCAGTTGTTGAACAATCTTCTGCAGCAAATTGGTTCGACCAATCCTGCCCTTTTGCAGCTTATTTCTCAAAATCAAGAGGCGTTCGTACGCATGCTCAACGAACCTGGTTAGTCTCGTCTTGCGTGTATTCGAACGAACGCTTCGTGTACGAGAAATAGCTCAATCTTCTTTGCTTTTTCTTTTTTTTTTCAACAGTGGAGCCTACTGCAGGAGCAGGGGCGCGAGTTTTGCCAGCGGGTGGCGTAGCGTCCGCGGCTGCTTCAGGAGGTCTAACTGGAAGTGCTGGTACAGGTGCAGCGGCAGGAGCGGGAGGTCTAATCCAGATAACACCACAAGACAGGGACGCCATCGAGAGGTTGAAAGCGTTAGGTTTCCCGGAACATTTAGTCGTCCAAGCATATTTTGCATGTGAAAAGAATGAAAATCTCGCAGCTAACTTCCTGCTTTCGCAAAATCTCGATGACTGAAGCACTCATTGATTTAATTTCGAGCAATGTGAGTAAAAAGGAAGAAAAATAAAGGGAAAAACGAAAGGACTGACATAAGAGGGTGGATGATTGCACCATTATCATTTTTTGACTTTACACTAATCATTACTTTGTATATAGGTATATGCAATATCTATGCTATTTTATTTGTTGTGTAGATAAAACTGGTGTGTTTGGTAAGCAATTAAATTTAAGGTAAACGCGTATCAACAGTTACAACCGCCAATTCTTGAGTATTGTTTCATATTTAAAAGAGGAATACATTTCATTTAATGTGTGACATATGTCATTTATGAGCGAGAGAATTGCTTACAGCCGACAGTGTTATAATCCATCCTTACAGCCTATAAGTGCTATATTATAAGGATATTTCTTTCTTTAATACAATTATGTTTTTATATAAAAAAGCCCACTATGTTGCAAGACACTGAGAAAAGTATAAATCTTACGCAGTGTCTACGTCGGGGATTGAGTAACATTATACGAGAATGTACTCGCCTTTACGTTACAGGTATGTTTTATACATATCTAAATGTTTACATGTAAGTATAACATGTGTACATTCTGTACATTTATCGGGCTTTTTTATATAAAAATTATAGAGTGCATTCATTCATGTATAATCACGTATATATACACATATGTATATATATATAAATATATATATGTACGCGTATATGTGTGTATATACTTGTATGTACATGCTTATGTATGTATGTCATATGTAAAGAAATTTGCTATATTTAGGTACAACACATTGACAAACGAATTACTGCTTTAGACAGCGTTCAATGCTACTTTGCACATTAGAAATTACAATAATTTATTACAAACGAGGAAAAGGAGTTATCATATATTATTTATTTAATGTCATTAGATTGTTTAATACAACTATCAAATTATCACAGTTCAATACATCTATCAAAATATTATTGAGCGCTTACTAATAGTGAGTTCTTGGTCTATAAGGTGCTTTATCAAACTAATTATAACAAATAATTAAAGTAAAACAGTTAAACAATGTACATCTGTTATGCAATGTTGAAGTAACAACTATTTAAATTATGATTGTTGCACATATATTATATTTGAATTTTTTGATATTTTTTATATAACAAAAGAAAAGAATAGATGGATTTAAATTTTTTACGTGATAATTACATACATACGTAAGTACATACTTGTGCATGTTACATAATCATGAAACTGAATTTTTGAATTTGTACTATACAGTTACTTATTAATATCATTAAAACAGATAATAAGAAAACTTTTCATTGCTCTTTTTTAGTACAAAAGAAATATAGAGAATTATTCCTTGGAGAGTTCTATCAATACATAAAACTCTAATCCGTTTGTTGTGCTGACTCGAGTTTTATTCCTTTTTTTTATGATATAGAAAAATTAATAGAAAAAGAACTGCTGTTAAAGAACACACTCTCCGTTGTGTGCTCAACACACTTGTAATACATAGCATAAATGAATAAATTACGATTTACAAAAATGCAAGTGAGTCTATTTCTATTGATTTAATGTTTCCGACAAATAGGAAAAAGGATAAATGCAAATAATTCGACATTCCTTTCTCCATTTGAATTCCCTCTTCAGAAAAGCTGTCTAGTTTATTGAATTCTTATAGAGTTTATATTATAAAATTATTATATATTAAAATATATTATAATATTATGATATAAAGTATTTAAAGTTTGATATAACACACACAAGATATTGAACAAAAAACCCAGCAATTTCAAAGCAAGCATTTCAAAGTAATATTTGCGTTGCTTTTAGAACACCCTATTTTCGACAATAAATGCTAATTCTATTTATTAGATGTTATTGACTGAGATATTTTGTTTATCGAAACCTTATTTTAAACTCATGATATAAGTCATATAATTAAATGAAGTTTGTTTTATTCTTAAAAAGTTTAAAGAATAAACACATAGTAATTATTTATTAGTTAATTAATCTTTGAAGAATATTAGAATTAACATTGCAATTAGTAATTCTATCAACCATGTATTTCAATATATTTGTTGAGTAATATCAAGAAGTTGTATGTATTCTTAACTCCAAGTATATGAAATATTTATGTTCAATTAAAAGACCATTTTGTGCAAATTACATAAAATATTCTGTTTTACATTATGTATCTAAATAAAAATATTATTTTTATTTATCATATGTTATTATAATTAAAACAGTAGATTTATTTTACAGAGACAGAGAAAGAGAAGAAATTTGTATATTATTCTTTATATATAGCAAATGTACATTTGCATATACATACATACATTGCATATATATTGCATATATATACATACATAAAATTTGCAGAAATAATAAACATTCATACATATGAGGAATGAATTTATCACTTTTCTCTTATTTTATATTAACTATGGAAGTTTCAAGAAGCTGAAGAAGCACTGATTTCTTTAAATATTATACCTTTGTTTCGAAGATCTTTTCTAGCTTCTACTATTTGCTAAAAAATGGTTATAATTCATATTAGGTAATAATATTATTAAGAGAAGGATAAAGATCTTTTTAAACAAAGGATATCTTAACACCAACCTGTTGAAGCTCAATAGCTGCATTTTCACAAGTATTAAAGGTGAATACTCTGTATATTACGACAGTAGCCGCAAATAAACCAAAGAGGAGTAAGAAAACGATCGGAAGAAAAAGTATAACGCTTTGCCATTCTTTGACAAGAGCAGAGTTGCTTGTAAGTGCAGCGTACCATACACTGAAAAGACCTGTTGCAACTAATAGCCATTCGTGTAGCTTCTTCATCTGTAATTGTAATATTTTTTAATTATATCAACTATTAAATTCAGGAGTGACATATTTGCTAGAATATTTTCTAAATAGCATGTACATTGAAAGCTCAGACATACATTATGTACCACATAATACAAGTGTATGAAGTAAATATGATAGATATAGGAAACTTTTTATTAATTTTATGTCGATATGAATTTTGATATAAAAACAAGAGATGGACAAATTCAATGTTAATTTTTCTCCCATAAACAATTTCTAACCTCACCATATGCAAGTATACGTCTCGACGGAGACAAATAAGCTGTGCTGCAAGTAAGTTGCTAAGTGCAAGTTGCTCTATATAAATCAATGCACGAATTAATAGAACCAGTTAAAATTTATTGTTAAATTAAACTTTGTCAATTAGGTTAAATTAAACCAACCTGGTCTGTATCTGATAAGACCGTGTGTTTCACATAAAATTTTAGTGACCCTAGATAAACATCTGGTTCATTAAAAATAAAAATAAAGTATATTTTGGAGAAGAAATATCGGAACAATGCATATTTGTACATAATATCGCCATTTTCCTAATTTACAAATACTTGGTCATTTACATACCGTATGTTAGCAGCAAATTAATATTTTATTGTTTTTGCGTCCTTTTATCGCGACAATTGTGAGGTATAATCGACAATAAGTTGGTCGCGAGAGCTGTTCGTGTACCCAACGAACTATGTGTCTTTAATATTTTGAAACATTGATTTCGGAACTCGATATTTATACTGTGCTTGACAATGTCACTTAACGTGGCGCTTAATATTTGACAATACTTTAAGTTTTCGTCGGATTTATCGTAATTGTGCATGATATTTTGGTTCATACTGACACTTTCATGGACAATACCATAGGACGCGAAAAAGAGAAACTATTTATTTACGTACAAATGCAAAAAATATTAGCGCATTATTACATGTAAGTGTAAAAAAGCGCGAAATATTTCGCTCCAAAATTATTAATTCGCATCAAGTGAAGCATACATTTCCACAGAGGTCTCTGCTTACACACGGCCTTTTGTCGGGCATTTTCGCAAAAATGACTTTATTCACTAAGAATAAAAATAGGCCAATCACAATAGATTATTTTTGTAATAGTCGATTGTGATTGGTCTATTTTTATTCTCATTGCCTGTTGCCTGGCATTGTGTTTAGGGCTTTATGTGTTATGCAAAAGCCTGTGCTCTTGCCCAAAATTTTGAAGGTCGAGTACGTGAAGAGGCCCAAGTTCAACAACTTATACCCGTATTTATAGTCAGGTCTTATATTTGAGGCTTCCTTATATCTATCTTTAGATGCTGCACGGATTATTTTTTGGCTACAGACTAGATCTGAAGATAAACTTGAGGAAGTCTGAAGGCCATCACACATAGAAAAATTTTAACCGTAACCGTAAGGTTGTAAGAAAACTGACCAATCACAGTCGATCCATTCTCTTGTGACATTATAATAATCGACTGTGATTGGTCAGTTTTCGTACAACCTTACGGTTACGGTTAAAATTTTTCTACGTGTGATGGCCCTTTGAAACGTGGTCTACAATAACAGTAAGGGCCAGAGCACAGACTTCTGCATAACGCATAATACACAACGCATAAGAGAATTAACCAATCAGAGTTCTTCATTTCTGTCCTGAGGAGGGAAATGAAAAAAACTAATTGGTTTATTCTCTTATGTATTAGGTATTATGTGTTATGCAAAAGCCTGTGCTCTTGCCCTTTAGCGTGGACCAACTACAGTTGATTATTTTTGTCATAATCGACTGTGATTGGTTTATTTCTTACGGCTTACGCTTACTTCTTACTGCTTACTGCCATTGTAGACCACGTTTTAAGCGGTAAGAAATAAACCAATTACAGTCGATTATGACAAAAATAATCAACTGTGGTTAGTCCATTTCTTATTATTCACGCTTATTTCTTACTGCTTACTGCCATTGTAGACAACGCTTTACGTTACAGCCTTACAGCCTTACAGGCAATAAGAATAAAAATAGACCAATCACAATCGACTATTACAAGAATAATCTATTGTGATTGGTCTATTTTTATTCTTATTGACTGTTGCCTGGCATTGTACAAAGGACTTCACTCTTAAGGCTCGTCTACATTAGCTGTAAGAGTAAGGCTGTAAGGTTGCAAGACACGAAATGAAATATTTTCATTCGCTGACAGCTTACGTTACAGCCTTATAGCCTTACTCTTACAGCTATTGTAGACGAGCCTTTAGGCCTGGTCTACAATACGTGTCGTAAGTTGTAAGCCGTAAGAATTGGCGAATCACAGTCGATTATTACAAAAATAATCGGCTATAATTGGTCAGTTCTTACGGCTTACAGCTTACAACACGTATTGTAGACCAGGTCTTAAGACTCATCTACATTAGCTGTAAGAGTAAGGCTGTAAGGCTGTAACGTAAGCTGTCAGCGAATGAAAATATTTCATTTCGTGTCTTGCAACCTTACAGCCTTATTCTTACAGCTAATGTAGACGAGCCTTTACAGCTATTGTAGACGAGCCTTAAGCGTGGTCTACAATGGCAGTAAGCAGTAAGAAGTAAGCGTAACAGTAAGAAATGGACCAACCACAGTTGATTATTTTTGTCATATTCGACTGTGATTGGTTTATTTCTTACCGCTTACGCTTACTATTTACTGCTTACTGCCATTGTAGACAACGCTTTAAAGGCTCGTCTACAATAGCTGTAAGAGTAAGGCTATAAGGCTGTAACGTAAGCTGTCAGCGAATGAAAATATTTCATTTCGTGTCTTGCAACCTTACAGCCTTACTCTTACAGCTAATGTAGACGAGCCTTAAGAGTAAGGCTGTAAGGTTGCAAGGCACGAAATGAAATATTTTCATTCGCTGACAGCTTACGTTACAGCCTTACAGCCTTACTCTTACAGCTATTGTAGACGAGCCTTAACGTGCAGCCACGTGGAGTGCGATCCCGTCAGCTCCTGCTCTCTAGCGGCTGACAGTTAATTTCACTATGTCCGACTCCTGCGTACACTTGATCGATAAAAAGGGGCGCGAAATTCACGTGAACGCAACGGCGAGTGCTGAGTGGGGAAAGGGACAGAGAGCGGTCAGTGTCGGTATACGAATTTTTGCGTCCCGCTAAGGCAGCGATCAGTCGAGGGACCGCTCGTGCGGAAGGGAAAAAATATATGGTCGTCGCGGTGACGGTAACAGGAATATTCGCAGGACGAACGGGAGCGCGATCGACCTGCTCGACTCGACGAGCTACCTCGGGGAACGTGATACGCCGACGTTTGGTGTTCTCGCGAATTTGACGTTTCGTGCAGTCGCGTGACGACTTGAACGACTCGAATGACAGAACAGGAACGAAGGGACGATCCTAACCTCAAGGAGGGGCGAGCGACTCCGCCGCGCAAGATCCGTCACCGGTAAGTCATACTACGTACGCTGCTGGCTAGGTCGTGGGAAGGAAACAGAAGAGAGTAAACATTACGGTACTCCGTGTTGCGAGATCGCGGAGATCAGGAACGTGAGCATCAAGGAGTGAGAGAGAGAGAGAGAGAGAGAGAGAGAGAGAGTGAGATAAAGAGAAAGAGAGAGAAAGACAGAGCGTTGATTGCAAGCGTCATATCAACATCATGTTCGCACGTTGCCACCAGCCCGGTCCCGAGCCGTGATATACAGTCCACCGGCTACCAGGCACCGTTCATCTGAGACCAATCGTCGCGGCCTCAACGTCGCCTGACTCTCCTTTCGGCCAATCGCTGTCCTCCCTTCATTTTTTTATGGCCTCGTGTGTGAAAATCTATAACCACGCGCGCACGCACGCACGCACGTACGTACGTACGTACGTACGTATGTACGTATGTATGCCCGCTCGCTCGCCACGGCCACCCCGTTCAAAATGCGATCTCGATCGCGGTGTGATGACACGCCAAGGTATTTTTGTTCCTCGTGAAAAGAGGGAAATCTAGCGCCGAAAGCGAGGAAGGGATAGAGAGAGAGACGAAAGAGTCGAATCTCGTTCTCGTGAGTGAATGCGAGCGAGTGCGCGCGCGAATTCGGGCGCGACTCCGTCCGTTAGCTTCGCCGTCGCTTCGACGATTTCTTCCGCGTCCCGCTTTGCTCGCGAGACATCGCACGTTAATGGACAACGTTGATGGACCGGTTCTCGGTGTAATTAGATCTCTGTGAATCGGAATTGCGCGAGACGAAAAACCGTTTGCTGGTTATCGTCGCGCTCGTCGACGAGCGTCGACTTCGTCGAGATTCTTCGCGGAGGAATTCGCGCAGGTGACCCTCGGGCAGTCTTACCTCGTTCCCCGTCGTGGCTTACGTCGCTTAGAAGCGCAAACACAGGAATATTTGCATGCCGACGAGCTTGAATATCGTTTAGACACGTGGCGTTAGCATTCGCATTAGTTTTCATTTCCGCGACAACAGGAGCACCGGGCTCGCGCTTCATCTCGTCCGTCGCTTATTAGCAGATGCTTGCGCGCTTGTAATGCTCGAGCTGATCGCGGGATTGATCTCTGAGACAAGAAGTCTCCTAGTTCGTCGTCTGCGAACGCTCGCTGGCGCCGAATAGACGACGCGCCGCGTATCTTCCCTCTCGGCTGCGCGATAATAGGCGCGCTCGCGGTCTCCGAGAGCGACGAGGTAAACACAAAGTGCGCTTTAACGAATGTATTTACGTCGCTCGTGTACATATGTACATATGCAAATGAACGAATATATCTGTCCCGTATGTTACAAGCTCGCCACGTCGTCGGTCCGCCTTCTGCGCGCGGGAATTGGCTAAGCAAAGAGGAGCGCGCGGCGCCGGGGTCTCTTCTTTTTGGCACAATTTTCCGCCGTTAAAGCGAGGCAAGTGTCACGAGCTCGGCGAGATGAAGGAAATTTCAGTGCAGCCTCAGCTGGTCCAGCTAGAGAGAACGGACCTCCGGCAACGCGAGAGTCTCCAATCGAGCTCCGAATTTCGACGGGAGAGCGAAGAGAGACGCGCACGAGGTCGGCGCGACCGGAGGACCGAGGATGAGGTCGCGGGGTGTCCTTCGAGTCGCCTTCACCTTGACTCGAGGTCCCAGGAGAGACGCGAAGATCACTTCTCACTCGGTCGATACTTGCGATGATTATTACATGTCGCGACACGAGGATCTCGAAAGAGAAGCGAAAGCGGGCGGTTGCACGCGCGCGCGCGCTGTCATCTGGACAGCGACGGACACGGCTTGTCATGCCGTCGTCACGAGTTGCGTACTCGAAGTTGCCACGACGTGCAACGCGCGGCGACCCTTGAACCCGCGCGCTCAGTCGTGTCCGGTCGAACGACATATGCCCCGCGCATGGCGGACGGCGCGCGACTTCCTCTGTCTTGTCGTCGGTTATCGTCATTTGGATCAGCGCGCGGGTGGTCAGTAGTCGTCTCGGTACCGTCTTTGGTAGTCGTTGGCCACGAGTCGTTGGCGGGAGATCCTGTGAGAGTCGCGCGACAGCTACTTGTCTTGTCCTGCCTGCTCTTCGTGGCATTGCTTAGATGCAACTCGACGCGGGAGCAGAAGTGAAGTTGAGGTGAAGCACGCGGCGGCTGGTATGCTACGCTCTCTTCTGGGCTACCTGTTCGGTACATTCGCCGTAGTTCATATTGTATACGTATGCGCGGGGCACGTGCGCGCCGTGCCTCCGTACCCGCGTCCTTCGGGCGGCCCTCTCGCTCCTGTCTCGTTTCCTTTCTTAGTTCTTCTTCTTCTTTATTTTTTTTCTCTTTGAAGATCCTTCTCTTCTCCGCTGAAGATCCGCGGCTCGCGGCAGTGTAGCTGCGTTCCTCTCTCCCTGTTCTTCTTTCTTCTTCTTCTTCTTCTTCTTCTTCTTCTTCTTCTCCGCTTCCTCTTGTTTCTCTTCCCGAGATCCTTTCCGGTACCGCGCGAGCGTTACAGCTTCTTACATCAGCGATCTCTTCGGAGGACACCGCTCGTCTCTTTCAAAAGAGTTTCTCTGTCTCAAAAGGGTCTCCCCGTGAGAACGCCACGGTCCTGGCAGAACTGATTCCTCTGGGTGAGTAGCGATCCCTCGCAACGTGGACTTTACTCCCTCTTCTGACTGTTTGCTCATCTCCCGAACGTTTTATCTTAACATCGCGCTGTTTGTTCTCTGATTTATCTGCTTTCCGACTTAACACTGCCTGCCCGCGAGAGATAGTCGTATTTGTACCTTGACAGTTCATTCAGACGAACGAGCACGATCCGAACGCAGCGCGCGTATACGCGAATGTGTTTTTGAAGGTAACGTCGAGCACGCGGACGGACAGCCGAGCGAGCGCGATCCGTCCGATTCCTCCGACTCTTCATCAGGATCGAGCGAGGAGATCGCTCCGGAGGTGGTTCCCCCTGCTTGCTCGCGGTCCACTCGCGAGATGTCGGAAACGCCGGTGAGTTTCGTCGTCGGGGAGCCCGACCCTGACCCCGGTCCTGATCCCAGCGAGGTGCTGGAAATCCAGGATAGCTTCCCGAGCGAGGGAAGCGAGCTTCCCGCCGGCTTGTCGCAGTCGCAGTCGCAGCCGAATACCACGGCAGGATTGGTAGAACGCCGTAAGCGCCTCAGGTGAATCTCCCCCCGCTACGCGCGTTACAAGACGAGCAAAAACACACCCGAATGGCCCAAGTCCTCCGAATGCGAGCGAGATTGTCAGGTACTTGTCAGAAAGTCCGAAGGTCTGAGCTTCGCAGGTTCAAAGGTCGCATTCGCGCGGCTCATCGTCTCTCGCTGCAATTTGTAGATGTCCATCGCGCGATGAACGGAAAAAAAGAAGCGGACGAAACGAAGGAGCAAGAAAAAAAGAGTTCACATACAATTACGCAACTCGCTTAGCCTCACGTCGCCGCCGCGTGCAAGAAGCAACAATCGGAAGAGCCGGGAAGGGGGAGGGAGGAGAGAATTTGAAACACTCGCACGCGCACATGCGTTTTCTTACTCGGTCCTGTAACCTTCGTTCTTCACCTTCGTGACACCGCGACGGAGAACGCGGGAATTGAATATGTAGCTGTAACTTATACGCTGAACATCGCTGTCTCATCCGATAAAAACGGACGTTTGTTTTATAATGAATTCCGTTGCATATACTATCTATCTATTGCGAAGTCACCCCTGCGCCGAAGCTCCGGCGCGACAGCTTCGTTATCGCGCGACGTTATCGCGTGTTATTTAACAGCGCAGAATACGCATTTATCGGATAATTCGCTGGTAAAGATACCTAGAGCACACGAGACATTTGCGTTATGCGTTCGCGCTTGCATAATTCTTGCGGTTTTAGATGTGAGCGGTGATGCAAACTGTTATCACTTTTCGTGGTTGTCATGAAGAGAGAAGTGCAGCGGCACCGAAGGATAAATAACATTAATTGGTTCTCGTTAGTTGCGTCTCGATTCAGGCTCATTAAAAAAAAAAGTAATTTCAGAACAAGCGGAATCATCCTTTTAGAGGATTTTATTCTTATATATGGATATGTTCTTATATATATCAAGAGGATTTTTCTCAGATTTCTCTTAAGAGGAGAATATCATAAACGCATTATTCTTAGAAGGATTATATGATATATGTGTAATGCAAATCTTATTGATTTTAATATGAATTTCCTCTTATACACAAATTATTTAACCTTTTTTTAAGAGGATTATTATTTATTCTTACTGTACTTTATTCTTACTGGTTATACTAGTTAATTTGAAAAAATTATGTATAGCGGAAAGTAATATATATATATAGATGTACTTCTGGCTTCAGTTCTACAATAAGTAGGTACGAATGAAATAAGATCATCACAACAAACAAATTTCCAATTAGTTTTGTTATGGACTTCGTAGCTACAAAGATGTTCATCATAACCAATTGTATGAAACTTAATTAAAAGAAAGAATATATTATTCAATTTCTTACAACAGATTATAAATTGTATTTGACCAAATATGGGTTATCTTCGTTATATGTCACAGTAACACATATAGCTTTTTTAAAAAGCGTTCCATGAATATATGATTATTTTTCCGTTCATGTCTGGAAGTAGAGCATGACTGAACAAAAGAAGCCGACATTCAAATCAACATATTCCCCTTCATATAAGAGGAAAATTATTTGATATAAGAGGAAATTCTCTTGAAATAAGAGGAAAATTTATGAAATAAGAGGAAGTTAGATCAATATCTAATAAATTTTAGATGAATGGTTCATTTTATTCGCTTTATCGAAGGAGGAATTCTTTTTCTGTAAAAGGCTTCACCTTGTATTAGAATATGAGACTATGAGAAAAATCACTTTATAAATAGAATATTTTTTTTTGGATGGCGCTCATACTTGTTATCAACTTGTTAGGCGCCTTCGTGAAGAGCCGATAACGCACGTGTGTACAGATTTCTTCTCTCTCTCCCTTTCTCTTTCTCTCTCTCTCTCTCTCTCTCTCTCTCTCTCTCTCTCTCTCTCTCTCTCTCTCTCTTATTTTCGCGCACAACAAACAAACAAACAAGCAGCCGCATGTACACACGCACACGCGTGTGGGAGTTGCACAAGTCCGTAAACAAGACGAATGTAAGACTCTCGTTCGTTAATGTTTCACTCGCGGAACATTCGCGGCGAATCAATCACTTCCTGCAACGCTCCTGTGCGTGGCGTCGACGTAAGATGCACAAAACATCCAACAATTACGCAATATCTTTGACGCTGCGTTCTCGAGCATTAGTATGACCTTGCCGCTACGTCGGCTTTAACACGTTGATCAATTCATCCGAGCTCCGTCGAAGGAGCGAACGTCGTCGTATCTTTGCGGTAGAGATGAAGGGACAGACTTTTATAAAAGAGTTAACGCTCTTGGAATCCCACCGTGCAAGGCTGACGATGACTACTCGTCCTGTAAACTAATAAGCGAGTGCTTCGTAAGCAAATTTTGAAATCACACGGATTCAGCACGGCGGCGTCGCATGACGATATATCGACGAAACGATGCGGAGAGTTTGTCGTTTCCTCTTTTGCCAGGTTGTTGCCTCCCGGCAATATGCGTTATTATACGCGACGTGTGCACGATAGCTGAATACTTCACATCAAAGGTATCCGACACTAATCTCAACAATTCGCCAAAATTACGCGTCCTGTAAAATTTACGAGAAGAAACACGCACATTTGCATTCACTCAACTTTGCTGTTATTTTTTTTACATTCGCATGCTTTGTCGTTCCTCATGGAAGTGGAAGGTAGGCAACGGGATTCGTCAGTATCGTCCGTAAAAATATAACTTAAATAACAGGTAGTTATTATTAGACGAAAATTTGAGGACCGTAATGATATACATGTTTTTTCCTGCATTCAAGGATGTCGCGTCGTGAAGGTAGGGGCACTACTGCCAGACGTCAAAAGAAAAAGTTGTTGGTCGAAGAATATCATATCGAGGAATAGTCAGCACTGCTCCTTCTAGCGCGACAGTCAACGCGACGATAAGTCCGTGCGATTTCTCTTTTGTTCCTTTGAGCTTTGAAATTCGGGATCTCGTAAGATTGTGTGTGGATAGTTGCGATTTGTGAAATCTCTCTCTCTCTCTCTCTCTATGTGTGTGTGTGTGTGTGTGTGTAGATATATATGTATGTATGTGTATATATATATATATATATATATTATCAAGAATGTTATTCTGCAAATATGATTAAAGTAAACGCTTATGTTGTAGCAGTTTATTATACCATTTAACTAAATGAAACTATTTCTTCCTTTCCTGATTTAATAGCATTTCTCCTAAATGAAAAAAGGAAAAAATAGTTTCATTTAATTAATGATATATATATTTTTTATATAGATTCTCGCACGTGTTAAACTCGCAGAATTATCGTAAAAATAATGTGCTGCATACTTTTGTGCCTTATTTGCTGGTACTTATTTGCATTGTAGACAGAGCATTTATATTTCATTTAAATTGACCAACAGGTCTTGACCATCGCAAGGACACGTCTTATTCTTTAATTACGTCGAAGCTGAATAACTTGCCCGACTTTTTTGTTTGTGTCATCGCTTGCATCATAGTTTTTTATTTTATAAGAATTATTTTTTAATTATACTCTACTTTTGCGACTTACTAATCGCGCAATGCAACATTTCCGACATTAACAACGGATAAAGTTGCAATTTCTTGTGACGATTGATCTTGTGTATGATTGATGCGACATGATTTGATCATTTTTATTCAACTGAAATTATTTATTTCATTTAAATAAAAGAATTTATACACAAGTTAATATGTTATATACAAATAGCCACCGGATAAATATATTTTATTTCTCGGACATCTTTTTCTTTCTCAGGGCCGGTTGTTCCAACTTCTTGGTAAGTTAACTGATAGTTAAATCATGTTTGTCTTTGTCTTTCCTTCAATTTAAACGAAGACAGACATACGACTTAACTATCGATTACCAAGAAGTTGGAACAACCGGCTCAGAATGTGTAAAGGTCATATATATAATTTATATCTAATCATATCATTTTATATAATCACTTTCTTTACGGATAGTTAGAAATTTCAAGTTTATCAGCGATCGTGGAATCGGTCGATCGTTATCTGAGATTTCGTGCGTTTATTCGTTTCTGTCAACGGAGTTTGATTTTGATAAACGTTTGGATACGTTTGCTCACGAGTCGCGCGATGAAACGAATGAAAAGATTCGTCTTAGCGGAAAAGACTGTGAAGGATCCAAATTGGAAGAGCTCGGATAATTTGTTGCTGAATGTCCGTAAAATCATACCGAAGAACGATGAAGAAGGCGGTAGCAAGTACGAAGAGAAGAATACGGACGAATCGGGAGCGACGCATCCGTCGACGTTAGAATCAACGTAATCACATTTTATTTTAGGCGTTTGCGATCATCGAACGTTTTTTATTACAATAATACCTGCGATTATTCAAGGCAATGTTTTCTTCGACCTTTGCATTTAATGAAATAAGCGCCGAAAGTATTGCGATACTATGAATGGAATATCGCAGCTCTATTTAAACGAGTATTCTACTTCTCGTATTCGGTTGAATTGATGATACGATATGTTTTTGCTCGTATTGTATTGAATATTAATGATTAACGTGTCTAATGTGCATATATATATATATATATATATGTGCATATTAAGTAATGCAAGTTGAGCTGAATTGTAACTACGTGCGTGATTTTTGACAGGCCCAGCATGTCGCAGGGCACGGTGATGATCCAAGCGCAAAGTCGGCACCAAGAAAAGGACTTCACCGTCGCGACTCCCGAGGAATTTGTCCATCGTTTCGGCGGCAGCAGAGTTATCAACAAGGTGACTACAGTACCACTCAAAAGTTCCGAACACCCTATAGTTTCGGAGTAAAAGATCGAAACTGGAAAAGAATTATTCTTAGCAAGAAAAGATAGTTTTATATCTAAATCTATAGGGTATTCCACGCATACACATAGCACGCACAAAATTTATGTATTATGCGAGTGTAATGAGTGAACGTCGAGGACCGAAAAAAAAAGTGGACATATATATTGTCCTGAACAATCAGGATCTTGAAGTTCGGAAACTGAAGCAATTTTTCGAAAAGTCCGAAATACTGAAAGTTCCGGCAATATCGAAATTCAATAGATTTTTTACTTCGTCTTTCTTAAAACGTTCATATTACGCAACTTGGTCCATTTATATCTTCAAGTCTTCTGTAGATAGTACGCATTCAACGACATCAATGCCGACAGACACGCGAGTTTCAACGATATGGTCTTCCTTTCAGGTGTTGATCGCCAACAATGGTATCGCGGCAGTGAAATGCATGCGATCGGTACGACGATGGTCTTACGAGATGTTTAAAAACGAGAGGGCCGTGCGTTTTGTGGTGATGGTCACGCCGGAAGATTTGAAGGCGAACGCGGAATACATCAAAATGGCAGACCAGTACGTGCCTGTACCGGGTGGGACCAACAACAACAATTATGCTAACGTGGAACTGATCGTCGATATCGCGATACGTACTCAAGTCCAAGCAGTTTGGGCCGGATGGGGCCACGCTTCGGAAAATCCTAAACTTCCGGAACTACTCCACAAAAATAACATCTGCTTTATTGGTACAAACACAAAAGTCGGATTAACCAAATTATAAAAAGAAAAAAAAAAGACAAAAGAAAGAAAGAAAGAGAAGGAATTATTACGTACGCGCAGTTTGCGTTTCCCGGATTGTCTGTTGTTCCGTCGATGTCGCATAAGAGTCGTTAAGATTGCTTTCGCGCGTACATTAACACATTTTCACATGCCGCTCAAGCTTTCGCACTCTCACATCTCTACGTTTTCCGGCAGGACCATCCGAGAGAGCTATGTGGGCCCTGGGTGACAAAATCGCGTCCAGCATAGTCGCCCAGACCGCGGACGTGCCGACTCTGCCTTGGTCGGGATCGGAGTTGAAAGCGCAATATAGCGGCAAGAAGATCAAGATATCCTCGGAGCTTTTCAGGAAAGGATGCGTCGCCAGCGTGGAGGAGTGTCTAGCGGCAGCTAATAAGATCGGTTTTCCGATTATGGTGAAGGCGAGCGAAGGTGGCGGCGGCAAAGGAATCAGAAAGGTTGAGAATGCCGAGGAATTACCGGCTTTGTTTAGGTGAGCTCTGAAGTTTCCATACACAGGTTGATCATCTCCGTTATGTCACGCTGAATAATCCGATATCCTGCGATATTACGATGATCAGGCAAGTTCAAACCGAGATCCCAGGCTCACCGATCTTCATCATGAAGCTGGCCAAGTGCGCTCGCCATTTGGAAGTGCAATTATTAGCTGATAATTATGGCAACGCGATATCATTGTTCGGACGTGACTGCTCTATCCAGAGAAGGCATCAGAAGATCATCGAGGAGGCGCCAGCCGTCATAGCCAAGCCGGAGGTTTTCGAAGAAATGGAAAAAGTAAGCACTGCATATCTCTCGGCGATAATTAGCTATTGTTGCGTTATTAATTGTTTTATCGTCGTATCATAGGCTGCTGTGAGGCTAGCGAAAATGGTGGGATACGTTAGCGCGGGCACTGTTGAGTATCTGTACGACACGACCGGTAGATACTACTTTTTGGAGTTGAATCCCCGTCTCCAAGTGGAGCATCCTTGTACCGAGATGGTGTCGGATGTGAATTTACCGGCGGCCCAGCTGCAGATAGCGATGGGTTTACCGTTGCACCAGATCAAAGACATACGTCTTCTATACGGCGAGAACCCCTGGGGCGACAATACGATCGATTTCGATCAGCCACGTCACAAACCTCAACCGTGGGGTCACGTTATCGCGGCTCGAATTACCAGCGAAAACCCGGACGAAGGTAAAATTGTTCTCTTCATAAAGTCAACGCGTTGCATCTCGCCATGTGCGAATTATTGTGTGAATTACGTGTGAATTAGAAACACGTCTGGTAATTTGATGAATCATTCACATTCTTTGACTCTGCATCTTACCAGCACTTTTCCAGCAAGTAAACATTACTTGTCGTCCTTGGAGAATAAGTACGTACTTGGTGATTTGCGTATAAATTATAATTCGCTCGGTTTTCAGGCTTCAAGCCGAGTTCTGGCACGGTGCAGGAGTTGAACTTCCGATCATCCAAGAACGTGTGGGGCTACTTCTCGGTCGGAGCGTCCGGCGGGCTGCACGAGTTCGCGGACTCGCAATTCGGCCATTGCTTTTCGTGGGGCGAAAATCGCGATCAGGCTAGGGAAAATTTGGTCGTAGCTCTGAAAGAACTGAGTATCAGAGGCGACTTTAGGACAACAGTCGAGTATCTCATCACTCTGCTGGAGACCGAGTCCTTCCTGCAGAATAACATAGACACAGCCTGGCTCGACTTGCTGATCGCGGAACGTGTGCGAAGCGACAAACCGGATCTCCTGTTGGCTGTTACTTGCGGCGCGCTTCATATCGCCGACAGAACGATCACAGCTGCGTTTGCTGGGTTCCAAACAGCCTTGGAGAAAGGCCAAATACAAGCCAGCAACGACCTAGACAATGTCGTTGACGTAAGTCGATATTTTCTCTCGTAAGCTTGCGTAACGGACAACCTCGATTTTATGCGATTCTTGCGTATTCAAATGTATTCGTTCAAAGGTCTGTCTTTATTTATCCGCATATATATCGCAGGTAGAACTTATTAACGATGGATATAAGTACAAAGTGCAAGCTGCTAAATCTGGTCCCAATAGCTACTTCCTCGTGATGAACGGCTCTTTCAAAGAGGTGGAAGTACATCGCATGTCGGACGGGGGTTTGCTACTTTCGCTAGACGGTGCTAGTTTCACGACTTACATGAGGGAGGAGGTGGACCGTTACAGGATCGTCATCGGAAACCAGACGTGTATCTTCGAGAAGGACAATGACCCGTCCTTGTTGAGGTCACCGTCTGCTGGCAAGTTGATCAACTTCTTGGTCGAAGACGGCGGTCATGTCGGCGCCAGTCAGGCGTACGCCGAGATCGAAGTGATGAAGATGGTGATGACTGTCACCGCTAGTGAGGCAGGCAGCGTGTATTACGTAAAGAGACCCGGTGCTGTATTGGAAGCCGGCACGTTGATCGCGCATCTCGAGCTGGATGATCCGTCACTGGTGACGAAGGCGCAGGAATACATAGGACAGTTTCCCGCGGCAGCGGCGTTCGCGATGCCAGAGAAACTGAATCACCTACATGCCAAGTACCGAAATGCCCTGGAGAACACACTGGCCGGTTACTGTCTGCCAGATCCGTACCATCTGCCGCGTTTGCGCGAGCTCATTGAGAAGTTCATGTTCTCGTTGCGCGATCCCAACCTACCGCTGCTAGAGTTGCAGGAGGTGATCGCGACGATATCCGGCCGAATCCCGATTTCCGTGGAAAAGAAGATTCGTAAGCTGATGTCCTTGTACGAGCGGAATATCACGTCGGTCTTGGCTCAGTTCCCTAGTCAACAAATCGCCGCCGTGATCGACGGACACGCGGCGACTTTGTCTAAGAGAGCTGAGCGGGATGTTTTCTTCTTGACCACCCAGGCGATCGTGCAGTTGGTTCAAAGGTACCGAAACGGCATACGTGGCCGCATGAAGACCGCCGTGCACGAGCTGCTCCGGCAATATTACACGGTCGAGAGCCAATTCCAGCAGGGTCACTACGACAAATGTGTTTCTGCTCTGATAGAGAAGCACAAGGACGACGTGGCCACGGTGACTGGTATGATATTCAGTCACAACCAAGTGACAAAGAAGAACGTGCTGGTTACCATGCTGATTGACCATCTATGGGCGAACGAGCCTGGTCTCACTGACGAGTTGTCCAGCACGCTGACGGAATTGACCAGCCTCAATCGCACGGAGCATAGTCGCGTCGCCCTGAGAGCCAGGCAAGTGTTGATCGCTGCCCACCAACCCGCCTATGAGTTGAGGCACAACCAGATGGAGTCCATATTTCTCTCGGCGGTAGATATGTACGGCCATGATTTCCACCCGGAGAATCTGCAGAAACTCATCCTTTCGGAAACGTCCATCTTCGACATCCTCCATGACTTCTTCTACCACTGTAATCGCGCGGTCTGCAACGCTGCATTGGAAGTTTACGTGCGACGAGCTTACATCAGCTACGACCTCACGTGCTTGCAGCATTTGGAGCTATCAGGCGAGATTCCGTTGGTGTACTTCCAGTTCGTCTTGCCCAGCAATCACCCCAATCGGCAGAATCAGTCGCTGGTAGATCACAGAGCTGGCGCGATGGCGGCCTTCCAAGATCTCGAGCAGTTTGGCCAATACGCGGACGAGGTCCTGGATCTGCTGGAGGACCTGTCGAGCCCCACGCCGGTGGTGTCCGCGAAACTGCTGGAGGCGGTGGACGCTGTAGGCGGCGAGTCTCGACACAGTACGTCGATTAACGTGTCATTGAGCGTGACGGAGAACGCGGCGACGGCGGCGACGTCGTCGGCGACTACTGGCGACAGATCCGCTGACGAGCCGGTTCACATACTGAGCATCGCTGTAAGAGAGGACGGCACCGAGGACGACGTCACTATGGCCAGACTGTTTGAGAACTGGTGCGCTAGCAACAAGGACGAGTTGATATCTCGCGGCATCCGGAGAGTGACATTCGCTGCACTCCAAAAGAAACAGTTCCCCAAGTTCTTCACTTTCCGTCAGAGAGATGGTTTCGTCGAGGACAGGATCTACCGGCACCTCGAGCCCGGCTGTGCCTTCCAGCTGGAACTGAATCGCATGAGAACGTACGACCTCGAGGCGTTACCCACGTCCAACCAAAAGATGCACTTGTATCTCGGACAGGCGAAGGTCGCGAAGGGCCAGCAAGTCACGGATTACCGTTTCTTCATCCGCTCGATCATACGACACTCTGATCTCATCACGAAGGAGGCCAGCTTCGACTATCTCCACAACGAGGGCGAACGCGTCCTACTCGAGGCCATGGACGAGTTGGAAGTCGCGTTCTCGCATCCCCTCGCCAAGCGCACCGAGTGCAACCACATTTTCCTTAACTTCGTGCCCACAGTCATCATGGACCCCGCCAGGATAGAGGAGAGCGTGACCAGCATGGTGTTGCGCTACGGGCCGAGGTTGTGGAAATTGCACGTGCGACAAGCCGAGATCAAGATGACGATTCGACCCGCCCCGGGCAAGCCGACGTCCAACGTGCGTCTCTGCATCGCTAACGACAGCGGCTACAGCATCGACCTGCACCTTTACACGGAGGCCACCGACCCCAAGACTGGTATCATCCGCTTTGAGTCTTACTCGCCTACGGCGGCGAACGCGGTCAATTGGCGACCAGGTCCTATGCACGGCCTGCCGATCTCCACGCCGTATATGACCAAAGATTACCTGCAGGCGAAGAGGTTCCAAGCGCAAAGCGCTGGCACGACCTACGTGTACGACCTGCCGGACATGTTTCGCCAGCAGGTCGAGAAGATGTGGCAGAGATATATCGAGGAGAGACAGTCGAGCCACGGCTCGATCGCAATGCCCAGCCCAGTGATGGACGTCGTGGAGTTGGTCTTGGACGGAAAACAGCTGGTCGAGCAGAAGCGATTGCCGGGCGAGAACGACGTCGGCATGATCGCATGGCGCTTGACGCTCTACACTCCGGAATATCCGTTCGGCAGGGACATCATACTCATCGCCAATGACCTGACGTATATGATCGGCTCGTTCGGGACGCGCGAGGACCTGGTGTTTTGCAGAGCCTCTGAGAGAGCGAGAGAGCTCGGCTGCCCGCGGATATACTTCAGCGCCAATTCCGGGGCTCGTATCGGCTTAGCCGAGGAGGTGAAGGCACTCTTCAGGATCGCGTGGGAGGACGAGAACGAGCCGGAGAAAGGTTTCAAGTACATCTATCTCACACCGGACGACTACACGCGCTTAGCGCCCTTGAACTCGGTGAAGGCCTCGTTGATCGAGGACCCCACTGGCGAGTCTCGCTACAGGATCACTGACATCATCGGCAAGGACGACGATTTGGGAGTGGAGAACTTGAAGTATGCCGGCCTGATCGCTGGCGAAACGTCGAGAGCCTACGAGGAGATCATTACTATCTCCGTGGTGTCGTGCCGTGCGATCGGCATCGGCTCTTATTTGTTACGTCTCGGCCAGAGGGTCATCCAAATCGAGAACTCGCACATCATCCTAACCGGATACAGAGCGTTGAACGCGGTTCTGGGCCGCGAGGTTTACGCCAGTAACAATCAGCTGGGCGGCACGCAGATCATGCATAACAACGGGGTGTCGCACGCGATCGACGCGCGAGACCTGGACGGCGTGGCGACTATCCTCAAGTGGCTCAGCTACTTCCCCAAGAACAAGGGCGCTCCGCTGCCGATGCTGTTGCCTGTGGTGGACTCGATCGATCGCGAGATCACTTACATGCCCACGAAAACAGCCTATGACCCGCGATGGATGCTCGAGGGCAGACACTGTAGCGAGTCGAATGTCTGGGAGAGCGGCTTCTTCGACCGGGGCTCTTGGCACGTGAGTCCCTCGTTTCGCTTCTACGAGTCCTCGGTTGAGTCAATGTGCTTTTAACTCGCGTCTTTTGGCATGCATACAGGAGATCATGCGGCCCTGGGCGCAAACGGTGGTGACGGGACGAGCCAGACTCGGCGGAATACCCTGCGGTGTGATTGCCGTCGAGACGAGAACAGTCGAGCTGCATTTGCCGGCCGACCCGGCGAACCTGGACTCCGAGGCGAAGACTATATCCCAAGCGGGGCAGGTCTGGTTCCCGGATAGCTCCTACAAAACCGCACAGGCCATTAAAGATTTCGGGAAGGAGGAGATACCGCTGTTCATCTTCGCCAATTGGAGAGGCTTCTCCGGAGGCATGAAAGGTGAAGACAAATCTTCTTACCCGACTAGCTATCTGCGAAAAAAATTATCGCTTCGTATGAATTTTATTTCTATGTTGCCGTAATTGATTACATGTAACATATACATATATGTTCAAAGAACTCCGTTGTACACGAGTACAATTGAAGTAGATACTTGTGTTCGTTGTGACAGCGGCGGACGTCGAGGTTTAATTGAACGACGAAATTCTTCTTTTTTTTTCTTCATTCAACAATCTTTTTCTCGGGGACGTGTGTGATCTTATATGTGGCCATGCTAAGATAATATTTATTTTCATCGTCATTTTTCGCTTTCAACTGCTCACTTTCAGACATGTACGAGCAGATTGTCAAGTTCGGCGCGTACATCGTGGACGGATTACGCGAGTACTGTAGGCCGGTGCTCGTTTATATTCCACCGAATGGAGAGCTCAGGGGTGGCGCGTGGGCCGTCGTGGATCCTACGATAAATCCTCGTTACATGGAGATGTTCGCCGACAACACCAGCAGAGCCGGTGTTTTGGAGCCCGAAGCGATCGTAGAGATCAAGTTCCGGAATAAGGATATTGTGAAAACTATGCACAGAATCGACCTGATTATACAGAAGTTAAAAGTGAGTACGACTCGTTGAGTTTATCAGTCATCATATCGCGACATTTATACGTTTCTCGTAGGAGAAACTGTCGGCCGCAGGCACAACGGAGGAACGAGCCGAGCTCGAGACGCAGATTCGTAAACGCGAGCAGACCCTGGAACCGATGTATCACCAAGTCGCGGTGCATTTCGCCGAGCTCCATGACACCCCGGAGCGGATGTTCGAGAAGAACGCAATCCACGAGATCATTCCATGGAAGAGGGCGCGACGTCTGTTTTACTGGCGGTTGCGTCGTAGACTCCTGGAGGAGGAGATCAGGACCGAAATCTTGTCGACGCAGCCCAGCCTCGACGTCAGGCAGGTAGACGCGATGCTCCGACGCTGGTTTATCGAGGACAAAGGCGCGACGGAGTCCTACTTGTGGGACCAGGACGAAGCTGCGACCTGTTGGCTGGAGGCGCAACGTAAAACCGAGAACAGTGTCGTGTCGCGTAACATAATGTGCGTGAAAAGAGACGCCGTTGTGACGCGTATCAAGGAGGCGTTGGAGGCCTGTCCGGAGATCAGATTAGACGCGGTACTGGAAATCGCGCATAGACTGCAGCCGACCGAACGGGCGGAGTTGCAAAGAACTTTGTCGCAATTAGAAGTGACGGGGCAGGAACACCACACGGACTCGAGCGTCTCGTCCTGAGTCACGCCCGTGTCGGTTACTCACCTCAGCCTGTTACAATATTAGATACGCGCGCATGAAAAGTACAATTCATCATTGGAGTTGCATCGTTGTTCGTATTGATGCCGATATCCATGCTCAATTGACATTTCGCCGACGGTCGAGATTTTTTAGGTGAATGATACACATCGGACGAGGATAATACGCAGAACGTATTTATGCCTTCTCCGTCGGCAAAATGTCAAGGATTAATGATTCTCGGAGAGAGTAGTTGATATTTTCAAATATTCCGCAAAGTTTGGACCCGAATCTTTTCCGTTTGATGTTGAAAAAGTCGCAGAATCTCAGCGATACAAATCTTAGCGAATTTAAAGGTGAGAAATTTCGAGGAATTCCAGTTAACTGTTACGCACTAACGATCAGCTGCTTTCAGACAATTGTTCCTGTTGATGATTGATTGTAGGTTTACAAGGTACTCTGTATAATTAAACGTTGAATTTCTTTTTAAGCGAATACATTTTTGGGAAAACTGTGTCACTGTCATTCCAGAATTGTAGCGAGCTTACGAACTATATAGACGATTGTTGGGGATATATAAAGCGATTATACAGAGCATCCTCGTGATACGTCGCATGTTCCTTCAACTGCGAATTCCTTAACGAACTTTAAGCGTATTCTCCTAAGAGAAGTTTCCAAAGAGAATACTATTCTATGTAACTTTCAAGCTTCCATTAATCATAATTTGTCTTTAATCGATCGTGGGTGTACCAGTTTATGTTAACGTAAATTGTTGATGGAAATAGATGCTACATTATTGCCTTAAGATAAATTGACATTAATTCACAAACATATCATAATTTATTTTTTGTGTCATTCTTTAATAACCTCTAATTTTCCATTTTTTCACAATTTTACGACTAATCGAGATAGATAGGACATCGTTTTTGATAATTTAGCAAAATGATTTGTTGTAGAAATATACATTACTAAATATATACGTAAAATTCTGTATATAATAAAATATACACGTGTGCATGAATGTATATTTGTACACACGCATACACAATACATACACGCACGTACATACACGCGCGTGCGCTTTATATAGTTATGCACATGCGCAAATAAATAATATATATTTATTTTTCGAAGAAAAATGTAGTTAGAGAAATAGATAGAGGAAGAAAGAATGTGTGTGTGTATGTATGTGTGTAATGTTATATACATTAGCTCGCGCAACTGCCACATCTAAATTATATGATTTTTTTTATGCATTCAACAAAAAATCTATACATACATATCACAATGATTTCTTAATTTCCTTCCCTATGTTTGTAAAATATATTTTTCTCCGAAATCGTTGAAGCACACTTGAGAACTCAAGGCAACCTATTAATTATTTTAACGGAAAACTTGTAGGATCTCGTACGCATTTATATGTTTACTTATCTTTACATCAGTCTATAATACAAACGAGTTTGCACGAATCTTTCATATGAAAGATACCTGTGACGCGTTTTTATCACAAGAAAAATCGCTAATTTTTTGTCTTATACAATGATTACTCCTTTCCCCCTCTTAACTATATCATAGATTGTTGTACACACATTCGAACAACCTTAGAAAATATTATAAAATTATATATAATAGGATAACAATACTTATTGACAACTCCTAGCTGGGAAAGTACCCTCAAAAAACTGGTATTTGACTACGATGTACATCTATTAGATCGTCATCCAGAGTGAGTAATACCATGAAGGAGAAGAACATTGCTAACGCCGAGAGAAAATGCCATATGTCGTGAGAATCAAAGAAATTGAGTAACTCGCAAGGTTTGTTATGAATTCGAGACTGGGCTGGCATGAGGGCCCAGGATATCGTCTTGTTCACGAAGAAATACAAGGCTGCTCCCCAGAATAGCATGGATAAGACGATATAAATCGCAGGCGTTAGGAGAATCCGTTCCCTGTGGCACAGCTGAATCGAGAGAACACGATTTTCATATCGAACCACATCGAAAGGAAACTTGGAGTGTACATACGTACCTTCATCACGATGTAAAAAAACGTGTATAAAATTAAGTTGGACATCAATATAATTAGTAAAAACATAGCAAAGTTGCTTTCTTGGTACAGATTTCCCCACACGGCCAGACCGACGTTGCACATGTTCGCTAGTACGAGCATTACGAATCTGCTAGGATAAAGCGGCCGTAGTAAATGCCATATGCCGCAGCGTGCGTCGTGTTTGAATGTCTGTGGAGCAACGAGATCAATGATTAATGCCTCACGACTGTGCGAGGAGAGACGGAAAAGAGGCGAGAGAAACACGTACCTGTATCATTCTGTTAAAAACGCTTTTGTTGAATTTACATCGTCCCATGTAATAAATTTGTACAGTCAAAACGAAGCATATCAGCAAGTGCAGTATGGTGAATATCACCCAAAAGCCCATAGAGCCGTCTAAGACCCCGATCAGCCCTATGAATATTATAAAGGCCAGAATCCCGAATGTCACGGGCGCTCTAGCATTTATATCGGGATGACGAGTCTGGTAGATTTTGATCATGCACAGCACCGCGATCACATACATAAAACTAGTATCTGTAACAAAGATAATCAATGTACGCTTGAGACCAGAGAGACGTCATGTAGGTAATTAAGAAATGTGATACTTCATCCGCGCGAAACCAAAAATTTTCAGAAAAAAAAAACTGTTTTGAGGATTCAGCGTGCTCCGAACAAAGTTTTTCCATATTCTTTAGCTTTTTAAGACCTCAAACAAAAATAAAACTTCTACAAGATTTTATCAAACACTACTAACAAAGTCGAGAGAAGTGAAGTTCCGAGTCGGTTGAATCAAAAAGGCATAGCCGTATCTGGGAAATGTATCTATTTCTTTGCACACACAACGTGTGATTTGTTAGTCATCGATATGATCATCGCCACTTACCGAATTGAAAATTGCTGCGATTAGGACACACGTGGTAACTCGCCGACAGTATACCTTCCATGATCAACGCGGTACCCATCGCATAAAACAGCCCATAGTGTTGCGGTATGCCGTAACACTTGGCCTCTTCCTTGCTCGACTCAGTGTGTTCTCGCGAATAAGTTAGGAAGATGAACAGTAAACCCAACAGGATATACGCAAAGTTCGAGAATACATGGTTGAAGTCGGACAGCATGCCCAACGGATGGGCGCATAAGAAATTGTAATAGCACATGTCCTGATTTCCAGTCGTATAGAGCACACGTTGATACGTCACCGCTAATTGAACGACTGGCAACGTGTAGAACACCGCGACCGTTGCCAGATAGTACAAATACAGGCGGGATTTGTGTCGCAGTATTCTCGGTTCCTTACGAGCGAGATCGCACACCGAAAGCACCAGTTTCGTGCGTATAACATCCTTGTCGGAGAACGCGTCCTCCATTATATCTATGTCGTCTTCGTCCAACGATGAGTCTTCTGCCACAGAGTCCCACTGTTTCGGGCCATTCTGGTGAAACGATAATCGTAAACGATCGTACAAACTAGTTGCAAATACGCTTGAATATCTCAATTAATGACAATCTTCAAATTTGTAACAAATCGTTTTTCTTGATAAGTCAGTTAACAGTACTTGTTATTACCTCTGTCGTCATCGAAGGACTCGGTGCTTGTTCATTGATATTCTCATTTTGTTCATTTATGGTCTCCAGTCTTTTAAGCTTTCTGCTCCTTCTAATATTAAATATTACAACGGCCGTTATATACGAAATACAAAATAACACAGCGATAGCTGTTGTTGATCCCGTCGCAATGACATAGTCGCGTTTGGTGATAGTGGGGTTTATAATTAATGTGACATTCTTAGTACGGAAGGTGCTATTAGATAAGCTATTGCAATCAGCATCGTTTCCTTTAACGACTAGTATGACAAAAAAACCTCGTGGATAAATTTCCCTCTGGAACAGATGTCGATTTTATAGCATGACATATACATATGCATAAAATATGTTAATAGAAAATTCTCATGTGTAACATATGTTGGTACTTACCGGTACTGTAATACCTCCTCTTTTACTTACAGTCTGCCAATATCCAGAAAATTCAACATTTCGTTCTAAGTCAAATACAGGACACTGAAAAGAAAATTAGATATAGTTTGCTATTAATTATCACAATCATCAAATAATCATCAAGACTCACTGATGTATTTTGAATAGACACTGTCATGCAAATATGATTATCTGATTCTACACGAACAATAACAGATGTAATTTCTGTATTTTCTGGGAAGATGTAACCATAATATACAGGCTCAGAAGGAGAAATCTCCACTACTTTTTCAATCCCTGAACTGTAAAGAAGATTGTACATAGAAATCTGATGAGAGTAGCAATTTCTGTCCTAAATCCTAAAAATTTTATAATACACATACCTTAGATAAAAATCTGTTATCTCTGTTACATTAAGATTAAAAAAGATATTTGTTTGACTAGCTGTAGAAATGCTGACAATAACCAGTTCCTTTTCATCTCTTATTGCATATGGATAATATTTTGTGGAACAGAGAATTCGACTAGTTTTGTTATATATTCTAGTGTTTAAATCTGTACTATCAATTAGCAATGGTATTTGCCAAGATAAGATTCCAGTTGTTTGTCGCACTGATATTATCAGAGGAAAGCTATGGATAGCATTACTTTCTATCTTTATCCTAGCAGTTTCCAGTGATTCCTATGTACAGATATATATGCACACATATGTTAAAATTCAAAATAATATAGGAAAAAATATTACAATATTATAGGGACAATTACATTGCTAGCAGGATATAAAAATACATATTCGACAGTAGTATTTATGATTTGTTGGTAATTTTCTCCATATTTGGCTGATGGAATAACTATTGGAGAAAACGGTGAAGGTGATGGGGAAGGCGGTGGCGACGGCGAAGACGGCGTCATAGCCAGCACAGCATCAAGGAGCAATAATATAATCATCAACCTCAAAGCATCTCGTATTGCCATTGTTGATCTTACTAAGAACAAGTTAAAATAGAAGAACTAAATGCAACTAGACACACTGGTAGTCCAATTTATCCATCGGAAGTAACGCACACATCTCGAATGATATCACTCGATATCGAAATAAGATAAATCGTACAATCATTAGATAAACAGTACAGCCAGATTACCGTTCGCCGTGTTCTCTGTTTCTCTTATTATAATATAAGTAAACGATTTCCCTCTCTTTTCGATTATAGATAGCGTTACTTTCGCTATTGTTTAATTCAATTCATTATTATTTACGATAGTTTATAAACATTGCAACAGCTGTAGTTGGCATATATTAGTTCGTTCGTTCGGTATATGGCTTCAGGGCATATATTAGTTACATCAAAGAGGAACGTGAGAGCGGCCAACACAACGTTTTCGGCGACACCCACTTTCCGTACTGAGAAAAGGCGCCATCTGCATTCATTTTGAGAGGGGAACTACGATCAGAGAGAAACTTGGGGCTATATTTCGTACCTGCATATCGATAGTTGTCGGTGTCGTTAGGGCCAGAACACAGACTTCTGCATAACATATAATACACAACGCATAAGAGAATCAACCAATCAGAGTTCTTCATTTCTATCCTGAGGAGGGAAATGAAGAAAACTAATTGGTTTATTCTCTTAAGCTAAGACTCCATGCATGCGGTGAGCTCCGGCAAACGGCTGCGGTGACCAATCAGGAGACAGACGCATGCCGGAGCTTGCCGCAACCGGACTTGCGCCTCCCTCCTGATTGGTCATCGCAGCCGTTTGCCGGAGCTCACCGCATGCATGGAGTCTTAGCTTAAGAGGATGTAAGCTCTAAGCCGTAAGTGTTAAGTGACGTCATTTCCATCTCTAAAGGCTCGTCTACATTAGCTGTAAAGGCTCGTCTACATTAGCTGTAAAGGCTCGTCTACAATAGCTGTAAGAGTAAGGCTGTAAGGCTGTAATGTAAAGGCTGTCAGCGAATGAAAATATTTCATTTCGTGCCTTGCAACCTTACAGCCTTACTCTTACAGCTAATGTAGACGAGCCTTAAGAGTAAGGCTGTAAGGCTGTAACGTAAGCTGTCAGCGAATGAAAATATTTCATTTCGTGTCTTGCAACCTTACAGCCTTACTCTTACAGCTAATGTAGACGAGCCTTAAGTCATCCCGCGCAGTATTTAAGCTTTAGCCGTTAGATCTAAGCGAATTGCGCAAAACTCAATTCCTACGGCCTAGAGCATAGAGCTTAAAGCCGACATATAATTTTCAGCCAATCAGCGAAGAGGATGTTTTGTCGTGTCAAAAAGAATACACCGTCGATCGTGGATATAACCTCGCTCGCCGATATAACCTCCGATTTTGTACTCCATATATTTGTAAAAGATGCACATTCCACGAACACAACACCATTGTTAGCAGGAGAGCTTGATGTAAATCCATTTTAGTTATGTAGAAAGTAAAGAAACTGCATGTTTACAAACGCATTATCACCAACCACCAAGTCCGAATAACCCTTCTCTCATTGGCTGATATACGTCACGTTTTACGCCTTACGTTTCATATTGTGGATTACCGTCTTTAAGATTTATTTAATAATAGTTTTCAACTTACAGCTTAGAGCTTACGGCTTAGAGATAAAATATTTTCTTAAAGCGAGGTTGTAGACATACACTTATGCAAAAGCCTGTGCTCCTGCTCTTAGCAGTATTGCGCAGCTTTTTTATTATATGAAAAACCTGCGCAATGCCGCTAACGACACCGACAACTGTCGATATGCAGGTACAGAATATAGGGGCTGGTATAGCCATCTATGCATACATATTAACACGTATGGGCGTGTAATATATAGAAAATACGAGGAATATTAGTGCGAAGTAAAAATGCAGAAAATAATGTGTAATGTATGTTCTGTGAAGTGTATATATTTGACGAAAAAGTGTAAATATGTATACATAAGGAAAATATTAATACCTCAAACATAAATATAAGGACAATAATTTCTTAATAATACTAAATTTTATAATAATACTAAAAGAAATTTGTATCCTGGTATACAACATACTCGTACCATCTCCATCCCGCTGTTATGAGACTTATAAAAAAAATAAATCTGTATTTAGTTAAACATTTGCATCATCAGTATATAACGATATCATGCATACTCAAATAAAACAAGTTGTTTGTTGCTAACAGGGAAAAGATTTTGGTGTTTCTTGGGTAACTGTATGTTTCTTCTTGTTTTTTCTTCCCTTGTTGAAGTCTTCTTGTTGTCCTTCTGCAAGAGAGAGAGAGGGTACATAAATATCTTCATAAATTATATATATATATATAATATATAATTATATATATATATATATATATATATGTATACAAGGTGCACGATTTATCTGAAGACATTGAATTATCTCGAGAACTATGCATTGGATAAAAAAAAGTGGTTAATGAAAGTTGTTAGTCTCGAAGGGGGACATCCAATGATACCAAACTCGACCTCCCACCCCACCTCCTGGGGGTGGGGGTTGGGGGCAACTTTGAAATCTTAAGTGGAAACCCCCATTTTTTATTGCAGATACGGATTCTACGCCACAAAATACGTAAATTTTGTCCGAAACTTTTTTTTTGATTCGTGATAGATGGCGCTATAAACGCAAAAAATTATATTTTCCGCAATTCTCCAGAAATGATCATTGGATTGAGAAATAAAAAATACCTGTTCAATATTTTTAAAGAACATAATAAAAGTTATTCCCCCCCATCCTCTCGGGGTAGGGTGAGTGATAACGTTCAAATCTCAAATGGGGACCCACATTTTTCATTGCAGAATTAGATTGTACGTGAAATTTTTATTGAAACAATTTTTTTCATTCGTGATAGATAGCGTTGAATTTTTCCGAGAAACTACTTTTAGCATTACACAGGAACAACGACGAGGACGTAGTAGTTTTATGTTCCCTTCGGGTGCTTTTTTAATGTGAGTCCCCTTGCCTCTCACTGTTCAATTAATTAGAGTAAGTGTTCGAAATTTTTACCTTCAACTTCAATACACTTATTGATCCTTTTTTCAAATGACTGTACACAGGATAGAAGCATATCTGCGGGAGTTTCAGCGCAAGCGTTTCTTATGCGTTCTACCATGTTTTCACGAGTTGTTGGCACTTGTTGATAAACCTTATCTTTTAGGTAACCCCACAGAAAGAAATCCGGCGAAGTCAAATCAGGCGACCTAGCAGGCCAATTAATCGGGCCATCTCTGCCAATCCACCGACCATTGTAATCACGGTCTAATAAAACTACTACGTCCTCGTCGTTGTTCCTGTGTAACGCTAAAAGTAGTTTCTCGGAAAAATTCAACGCTATCTATCACGAATGAAAAAAATTGTTTCAATAAAAATTTCACGTACAATCTAATTCTGCAATGAAAAATGTGGGTCCCCATTTGAGATTTGAACGTTATCACTCACCCTACCCCGAGAGGATGGGGGGGAATAACTTTTATTATGTTCTTTAAAAATATTGAACAGGTATTTTTTATTTCTCAATCCAATGATCATTTCTGGAGAATTGCGGAAAATATAATTTTTTGCGTTTACAGCGCCATCTATCACGAATAAAAAAAAAAGTTTCGGACAAAATTTACGTATTTTGTGGCGTAGAATCCGTATCTGCAATAAAAATGGGGGTTCCCACTTAAGATTTCAAAGTTGCCCCCAACCCCCACCCCCAGGGGATGGGGTGGGAGGTCGAGTTTGGTATCATTGGATGTCCCCCTTCGAGACTAACAACTTTCATTAACCACTTTTTTTTATCCAATGCATAGTTCTTGAGATATTTCAATGTCTTCAGATAAATCGTGCACCCTGTATATAAAGTAGATCCCATGAAGAAATTTTAGCTATCTGTGTCTGCATGCAGCTCATGTTCAAGAAGCAACCAGCTAATATAACATGATTTGACATTACGTTCAAGGATAGTTATAACATATTCTTATTTTCAGTCATCAATCTGCTGAAATAGCTTGTTCACAAGGTGTATCAAATTTTTTAGCAGCAGATTAACAGCAGAAACTAAGCACAAACTTGATATAGGCATCGCTAAAAATTTCTACAATCTTTATCAAACTTGCTCTTGCTATGTTAGCATATTACAAAGCTTACTTTTATTTTTTACTTACTGGTCTCTGTTAGTAAAAAATGGACAATTATACTAATGCATAATTATATATAAATACAATATATAAAAACAATACAATATATAAAAACAATACAATATATAAAAACAAAACTTATACTTTGGTTGTCGTGACTGGCAGTAATATTACAAGTTTTTCCTCCTCGCACTTCTTCCTCGTACTTTTTCCTCGTAACACCTTCTCTTATTTGTAAGAGAAGGTGTTACGAGTAACCTTTCTTTTTCTTTAAAAACGCTTATTGAAATATTAATAACTCTATCCAACTCTATCACTATAAACATTCAATAAACAAGTGACCTATGGTGATAGCGTTCCATTTAAATGTTCATATCACTTCATACGTTACAAATATCATTCCATCTTTATCGCTCATTGTATGTCGGAGAGAGATAGAATAATATTTGAAGCACGTAAAGGCTTAAGCGAACGCAACTATAGCAATATGGCGGCCACAAATTAGTTTCGATTTCTTACATGTCCCATCTCAGAGAGCACTGCTGACGCTAATCATTTTCGTTCCATAAGAGTTTGCACGCCCTGGTCAACAATTATTCTTCCTATAACGTTTTGAAAATGGAGAGTCAACAAGAGCATTTTCACCAAGTTTTACTTTATTACTTCCGAAAAGGAAAGAATGTTATGGAGGCTTACAAAAAGTTGCGTAAAGTTTATGGTGACGAAGTCCTAAAAAGACATCAGTGTCAATATTGGTTTGCTCGTTTCCATTCTGGTGACTACAGTTTGAAAGATGCACCTCGCTCAGGTTGGTCATCGAAGGTTGATGATAATAAAATAAAGGCATTAGTTGAAGCTAATCGACATTCTACCATTCGTGAGCTCGCTAAGGCGCTAAAAATATCGGTTGAAAGCGTTTATCTTCATTTGAAACAACTTGATTACGTTAATAAGCTCGATGTTTGGGTGCCGCATGAACTGGAAGAAGTTCACCTCATAAAACGCATAGACATCTGCGATCAACTTCTGAAACGTGAACAATTCAACCCATTTCTGAAACGCATGATTACTGGCGATGAAAAATGGATTGTCTACAACAATGTGAAGCGAAAGCGATCGCGAAGCAAGTGCGATGAGCCGGCCCAAAGCACATCAAAAACAGATATCCACGAGAAAAAGATAATGCTCTCAATCTGGTGGGATTGGAGAGGTGTGGTGTTTTTCGAATTCTTACCAAGGAATGTTACGATCAATTCGGACGTGTACTGTCAACAGCTCGACAAATTGAACGAAGCAATAGCAGAAAAGCGACCAGAATTGATGAATCGCAAAGAAGTGATCTTTCATGACAATGATCGATCCCAAACATGTTTGATGACCCGTAAAAAATTGTTAAAGCTTGGTTGGGATGTGTTACCTCATCCACCATATTCGCCAGACCTTGCACCATCAAGCTACCATTTGTTTCGGTCTTTGCAAAACTCCTTGAATGGAAAAACATTTGCTTCAGATGACACTATCAAAAGGCACTTGGTTCAGTTCTTCGTTAATACAGATAGGAAGTTTTTCAAGGATGGGATCATGAAGCTTACAGAAAGATGGCAGAAGGTCATCGAACAAAATGGGCAATATATCATTGACTAATGTTCATTCTTTGTATAAAACGAACTTGAGAATCACTGGAAAAAATACAATGATTTTCTTAACAACTCAATATCTTATAGTAATATGAATAAATATCAAATCAGAATATATTAAGAGATAAAATAAACTCTTTACTCTTAAATAATATATCTCAACTGAGAAAGGTAACATAAGTAGGTATCAAAATGTTATCAACTGCACTGTAATAGCATCAATCCATATTGCTGCAGCATATGCTCCTGCATCCTCTTTTGTTAAATATTTGGCTTGTTTTACATAACTTGCGCGTCCCGCTCTGTTAATAAACATTAAATACATATTAAACAAAACAAAAACATTATTTTATTAGAAATATAATATATAACTAATGCATAATTTATTATAATTTATTTATACTTAGGCTTCATATCTTTTGTAGAATCGCATCCTTTCCACGCTGCTGCGGCAATTTTAGAATAAAAAACATTGCAATCTTTACTTGGTATTTTTTCATATGTTGTATATACAGCATCCATTGTATCGATCTTAACATATACAAATGAGAATATATTTTTTTTTGTCTTTATAAAAAGTTACTACAAATATGTATTATTTTTTATCAAAAAAATGAGAAGTATATACACTTTCTGATTTACTGCATTTTAAAACATAGAAATACAGACCATAGTCCTGTCTCCAACTTTTGCTTTCCCATATCTTTTTAAACAATTTAAGCCACTGTAGAATGCACGGAACCAAGCACATCGCAAGTCTTTTCCTTGCTTGCATGATGCCAGCTCTTTTGCACTGCTCGTAAAAAATAAACAATACAGAGCTCCGGAAGTCCCACCCATATGTTCCTCAGCTATATTCGCTATTTCCGATAACATTGCTGCTGGATGTGATAAGGGCAAATCACTCAAATTATTTAAGATACCTAAAATTATATATAATGAATTAATTTATAATTAATATTATATTGAATTAATGATAAATTAAATTTTTATGTAATCCAATCTAATAGAAAAAAAATAGGATGTACACATATCGTTAAATATTTTACCATCGGCGAATCTTCTCAGCGTTGATCCACAATCTCCATCTCCACAACCACGGTCCAACTCGTTGAGATATGCCTCCTTCTCAATGATAGCTGCACATGCTTTTTCTAAACACAACCTTGTCAAATGTTGTTCTTGTATATTTAACGATATTCCTATCTTTTCTGTTATCCTTTTTTCCGCGTGTTCAGCTGGAATGCGAGTAACGGTCGAAGAAATGCTGTAGCTGCGACCCGGCCAGCAAGGTGCTGCCGTTTCGTCGTCAAGATATTTGACGAGCACGTCCTTGTGACTTTCTATCAATTTTAGTACACTTACATGTACACCGGCGCTATTTAAGGATGTCATCAAAACGCCTGAATAAACGCGAATAGCGTGTATACTCATATTTTCTGTAATGCAGAAAGCTGTATTAAGAGAAACGTCGTGTAATAAGTATTACGAAAAGGATCTCCGGAAACTCAGAATTTGTGCTTGCGTCAAGGAAGTCAATATGTTAATACATGAAGAAGTTTGAGATAACGTTACTCACGAAGCTGATTTACAACTTCATGAACGATGATTCCTTGTTCTAACTGACTTAAACCACCGAAATTGTTAACTATCACTGCGATCGAGTTGTTAGCGGTTAAAACTAAAGTTTTGCAAATGCGTTCCAACATCACTGACACCATTTCGGACGCAGTTCCAAGCTTGATTCTCTCGTAGCCCGCCTCTCCGTGTACACCCATTCCGCACTCCACTTCATCATATGCAAGTTCGAACATCAGATCCTGACCTGCATGCAATTTTTTTCTTTAAATACCTTCTTCCCTCGACAGGATTTCTCAGATCATTATACTATTGTTTATAAGTCACTTAAATACAATCACTATAAAATTTGATGTTGATTTTTGAAATCACACCGTAAAATGCAAACGTTAATTCGTCCGGATCATTATGTATGACATAATATACCTGGTATAGCGCATGCGGTTAACCCGACTCCATACGTTGCTGTATTTTGTGAAACGTGTCGCGCAATTTCTGTCACTTCGTGCAGAGGTGATCCTCTCTCAGCAAGAGCGCCTGCAATTTTGATAACGAACAACATGCCCACCAGAGCACGTTTACCGGTCACACCTTGTTCACTTGCGGGAATACTGCAGTCATCGTCAACAGTTATTTCTTCCACCTGTTGTCACATTAACATATTAGACGTTAGTACAGATAATAATATAATCCCAGTAAACACAATATTACATGTAATGTGCATGTTAATTGTAATTTCCTACTCAACAATATAACTGTTATACTGGGTGATCCGAAATTCCTGCATTCGGAGTACAGGACATAATACTTTATGCTAAAACAAACAATTTTTTCCTTTAGCAAAATTGCATCCGACAAGTAGTTTTTGCAGGAGAGCGTGTTAAATTTAACGAATAAGCGCTCTAGAGCGCTTTCGGATCATCCAGTATAACAGTTATATTGTTGAGTAGGAAATTACAATTAACATGCACATTACATGTAATACATGCTGTACATATGTGTTTGCTGGGATTACACGTATAAAATATTTCTGCACAGATTCCTTCAGACCTCTTATTTCTTTTTAAAACACACATTCATCCTTTTCTTATTAAATATTAATGAAAAAAAAAAGAACCTCTCCGAATTTTTTTTTCTTCTTCCAGATCTCTATTTTAATATAATGTTTTCATAAAACGCAAAGCAGAGAATATTTATTAATTTACCTTGATGCCTGCTAGCTGAGCCTTTTCGATGGCTATACCGAAATTTAAACAATCCCCTGTATAATTAGGTACCACGACTAGAACACCAGCTGGAAAGAGACACTGATAAAATATTGAGATTATTTGCATTTAATAAAAATCTCTTAAAAATCTCCGACATCTTAAAAAGTATAAATTTTCATTTTTATTTCATTTTTATTCTTAATATTCAGATGTATAAGATCATACAAAACGTTTTATTTATATTTATAAAAGGAAGTAAAAAGAAACGAACATTTTTAAATTATTCGAACACATTTAGATTGTAAAAACACTTATTTCTATGAAAAAGAAAACGCAATAAGACCTTTATTGTTTTTCCCAATGTACTGAAGAGCATGTGTGATGTGAGTAGACGGTGGGGCCGCAAAAATAGATCCCGCTATAGAAGCTGTCAACATGCCAGCTCCAACAAAGCCTAAAAAATATAAGAAATGCTGTCATAAGAATAAAAGTTTAAATCGAAACTGTGAGATATTACATGCAGGTGTGATCTACACAGAGCATAAAAATAATACAAATAAATTACCTGCGGCAAATGGTTCATGTCCGCTGCCACCGCCGCAAATCAATGCTACCTTGTCTTTACGATCTCTATACTGTGAAAAAAATCTTATTTCGAGAATAAATTTTATAAAAGTATCGTGTCAATCATTTTCGATAATTCGGCCAAAAGTTGTAAATAAAAATATAGAATGACGATAAATTACTAAAAGTAATACAAAATTTCGTATTTTTCTATTAATGACTATTCGTTAGCACTCGGTACATTACTGATTAACTATATATCACTATTACTGATTAATCCTTTATATCCTAAATTAATTTACCCAAGACTTTATTAAATTTTTGCGTAATTAAATAACTCTTGGCATATCATAAACATAAGACAGGAAAATAAATTTTGTAACAATTCAATGATGAATTTTGACGTGGCATTTGTAAGTACCGACAGGAATGTAGGGTAAGACACGGGAAAAAGGTTCAAGAGCGCATATATAGAGCGGTACTTTGAAGTACCGTCAGGATACAAAGGGTTAAGCAACAGCTATTCGTCACGAGTGCAATTAGTGGAAACATATTTGCGTATTTACATACACCTGGCGATAATACAACTTTGTGCGATATTTGATATTCTAATTGCGGATAAGTATAACATAATCCTGACAACGCTTCTGACACAGCATTCTGTATTGAATTGACCAAATTTTTGGACATTGTCACGACAAATTGAGAGCACTAAACGACGCGTCAAACGGATGAACTTTTATTGTAATCCATTGACCTTTACTTAAGTGACGTATACAATCTGAGAAGAATCGTACGATAGAAGCGACATTATTATTCAGCATTTTACATTTATCGTTCAAAGCATGAGTTTAACCATAAAATGAATATAATTGACTAATAGTATAAGTTAGAGATGTAAGAAATAAGAGCCTTTTATATGCACGCAAGAGGATACTTTATATATGAGAGATAAATATGTTTCATTACAATATTATTTAAACTGTGTTGATATAAACAATGTATGTGCACTTTTTAACCAACTTATAACCTCCTCCGCTTGTTAGACATTTTTCTCGATATAATTCAGAAGCTTATATCGAATGAAAAAACTTCTGGAAAATATTTAACCAGTTCATTAGTGAACCAAAAATCAATGTGCCAAAATTAATAAAAATGAATAATTTCGTATCTTACATGGAAGCTTGTATATAAGAATTCTTTTTGGGTTAACTAGTAACGAATCTAGGATCGAAATTTTATGATTCCAAATAACGGAATATAGTGGCTTCAAGTAGCTAACTTTGATATTTCATTGTGGATATCAAACTCGACATATATTTTTGGTCGCAGATAACAACTGTAATAAATCCGAAATTCCCATCATACCATTCGGTAAAGAATTTCTTTCAAAATATTTCACCTGCTAATAATGGGGATATTAATGTAAAAAAAATATTTTTCAAAAACTAACAAAATTAAATATTTATGTATTGCCACATTGAATCCACCATTATGAATTTCTTAAATATGATTCCGAATTTATAGTTAGCGACCCAAACAACATGGGTGTATCAAGTTTGATGCAAATCTGTTGAAAATTAGCAAAATTATTCATGGTACTTACTATATAGTATACTTACTTAGTATATATGAGTTATTACCTGTTAAGAACACATTTTTCAAATTTCAAATTTAAGAACAAAACATACTTTATTTTGTATCTAAATAATTATTTTATTTAACAGATTACTTCCTTTTTTTTTATATTACGCTGCTTCTTTGCTTCTTCCTTTTTATTAGCATCATGGATACGCCTCTTCTTTCGCAAAAGCCAGATAGCTTTACGTCTCTCTTCTCGACCTTTCATCATGCTTCTGTACAGATTTCGATTTTTCCTTGGGATCATTTTTTCTCGGAGACGATATTCCTGCTTCTGACGCTGGGCTTCTTCCCATGTATTTTTTTTTGCGATTTCACCAACCTTTACCTTCATATTTTTCTTCTACAAATTTATATGTATACACATATGTCAATAAATTAATAAACTTATGAATGTTACCTATATTAATTTTCAAAACAATTACAGAGCATATACAAATAATAAAACCTTTTGTAATCGTTCTTGTCCCTTCTCTTGTTCAGTAACAATTTGTGCATCGTTATTGACATCATTTTCTTCTTTTCCTTGTTTTTTTTCTTCTTCCTCAGTTTCTTCGTCACTTTCCATATTTAAGTCATCATTATCAATGTCCTCTTCTTCATCTTTACCTTCCTCTTCATCATCTTCAGTTTCTTCTTTAAGATCTGTTTCGACTAAAGACCAAAATATAAATTATATTGTCGTAGCTTTTACAATCGTATATACTTATTTAAAGTAAAAACCTTACAATCATTTAGTTTATAATCAGGATCCATAAGAGCACGTTCTTCTGGAGGGATATAAGTTTGATCTTGCTGTGCATCTGTAAATGGTGATAGATGAGGAGGAAGAATAGCACCCATCAGGTATTTTTCTACAGGTAATAATTCTCTTGCATTTACACTATCGAAAATCCACTGTGGTTGTACATAAAACCTAGAAAGAGTATATTAATGCCTTTAAAGAAAATGATATTTATATATATATATATATATCATAAGACATTAAATGTAATAAGTTATATAATACCTTGACATATACTGTTTATCTATGTGTGGTCTGTCTACAACTTGATGAGTTATTGTTTCATCTTTTTCATCGAAAGTGGCACCAATAAAAAGTGATTTGTCCCAAGATACTTCTCCACCAAAACAACGTATAATGAATACTAACGGTTCCCTAGGTACCTCTCTATTTATAAAAATCTTTTTGTCTTTAAACAAGTTTTTTAACTTTTGTACTTTCTCAGCTTCTATTCTAGCAGTTTCTATCTTCGTAGAGTCTGTTTCCTAATAAATATATTCTCTTAGTGATATATAAATTTTACATATATAGATCTAAACACTTAATTAATATTGTTTAGACTTACATTTGAGAAATTATCAATTTCAGTTTCGGCTTCTTCAACAATTTGTATCGAAGGATCTAAACAAACCAATGGTACATTCAATGTACTTATTCTCTCTGATACAAATGCTTCTTCATCAATCAAAGCTTTTTCTAAATTTCCTGTATAAAATAATATTAATATAAATACATGTAAATATATAACAAAAATAGTTTCAAGTTAATTTTATACATAATCTTACCAGTGTTAGTAAACTTGGGAGGATAATATAAATTTAGACTATGATATAATCTATAATTTACAAAACCAAGCATCACAATATAAAATTCTACAAATGTAGACATGACTTTGAAGTCGACATCATTCTTTGCTTGAGGTTCAAAACAAAAATGATGCGGCACTATCCATGTTATAATTTGCCCTTTTAGTTCTGCCTGGTAATAATATCCTTTGATGGATACAAATACTTTACGTAATGCTTTAGCTGCAATTACAGCATGGAGAAATTCAATTGTTAATCTTCTACATAATAATGATTGGTCTCTTGGTATGTGAGGTAATGATGGAAATGTGCTGAATAAAAAGCAAAGGGTAAGACAGTCATCTAAATCCCGTAGAGCATCTATAAATGTTGGATAACGTTCTTTGACTATATGATCCAGCTTTAATGTAGGATGATTGTTCAAATATCTTCTTACTTTAGCAAAATCTTTCATTGCTTTTGCTCTTCCAATTTTTCTGTTGAATATCTATTAAAATATATTATTGTAAAATATAGAACTATAAATATAATCTTTATTATATAAATATTGATCTTTTTATATGTTGTCATACATACCTTGTAATCTCTGAGTTTTAATATAATCGGTTCATGCATCAAAAATAGAATATCCTTTTTATGATATAAAGTTTTAATGCCAGGTTCACCCTTTTGTGCTCTTTTACGATTGCGTGGTTCCCTTGGATATATGCCTTTTAAGATGCATACTTTACGGAAATCATTTAATGTTAACTGTAACTTCCTGAGAGCAGCTCTTCTTGTTATAAATTGTGCTCCCTCACCAGTCTGATACTGTAAATTTAAGTGATATCATAATTTTAATTTATAGTAACATTATTAAGTTGATAAATTTTTTAACAAATATTATTTAACTTGATCCTACTTTCATAATTAGATATATTAAATATTTATATATTATAAGTAAAAAAGATTTATTTGCGTCTCTTACCTTCTTTTTACCTCTTACAACCATTATGATACACTTTAATATTAAAATTTATATGGATGAATATGTTAGATTCACAAGAAGTAACACAAACATGTGCTCACAGTTTTTCCAATGGCGTGCGCCTCATTTTTATATTGTGGCTGACAACCATATGGTCTGTTTCTTTGTAGCTGCACTGCTGAACTGGTGCAATAAGCTAGAGTGAGAAAACCTATATTTGTCTCATTTTAACTTATTGCACCAGTTCAATAATGCAGCTACAAAGAACAGACCAATACTTTGGCCATATTGCAATGCCAGCACTGAAAATCTATAATATACGTGACACGAACTATGTATTTTCAGTACTGGTAGTGAATTTTGGAACATAGCCCTTGTGGCCACTTTCTAAAACATCAGATTCAAGGCAGTTTTCAATAATATTTACAAATTTTTAGGGACAGTATTGAGAAATCATTCTGTATACTAGGGATAAACGATATGGCTAGTTGTACATTAGACGCGGCACGCTTGCCGCGCGGTGGAAATTGGTTAAGGAATACTGTGGTAGCCATTCAGAATCTTGCTTGCCCGGAAATAGTATTTATATACATGCGACATGTGGAACGTTAGGGCCAGAGCACAGACTTCTGCATAACGCATAATACACAACGCATAAGAGAACAAATCAGACTTCTTCTTGATCCAAATTTCTGTCCTGAGGAGGGAAATGAAGAAAACTAATTGGTTTATTCTTTTATGTGTTATGTATTATGTGTTATGCAAAAGCCTGTGCTCTTGCCTTTTCATAAAGGCATAATGCAACGCATAAGAAAATGGACCAATTAGAGTCTTTCATTTCAAGCGTGGCAATAGAAATGAGGATTCTGATTGGTTTATTTCCTTATGCGTTTGTATTCTCGCTTTAATTGGCTACTGCGATATTCCCTAATCAAACGTCCTGTATGGCAACCGGTCTGAAAACAGTTCCATGAACTAAAATAGGTGTTGGTACTTGTCTATAAGATGGCGCGAGAATTTGTATCAGGTCTAGAAAGATACAGTGTGTTGGTCATCTAATTTGTTCATTTATTATACTCATAATTCCTGCACAGTCAATCACTTCGAATACTTCGAATTCTTGATTTGTATGTATTATATATCGCATTTTAGGAAGACTAAAAAATTCAGGTATTTTAATTCTCACATGTATGTTATGTGTAACTTATGTAGATGTCTATTTAACACTCATTATATAATGATATACATGTAAGTGAATCTTTAGGGCGCGAAATAGAGGAATCATAAATTGCTAAAATTAGGATTTCATCAATTATATACGTCGAAAGTCAACGATGTAAGATCATTGATAATTTTCAATAAACTTGATAGAAACTACAAAAAAATATGTAGCCGTATTTTGCAAGCATGTTTTTTGTACAAATATCTTCATATTCTGTCATGTTATATTGCATAATCCTTATTTAAAACTTGTTTTCTAAGTATGTCATTCTTCAAAATTATCTTTATTAAATTAAATTAATTTTAAACACTACCAATTATCTATTGTATTTTATAAGTAATGTTTATACTGCTTGTTTTTATATCTCTATTATTTTCTTATTGCAAGAGAGTCAATTAAAATGGGTAATGCTCTTGTTACGGCATCTGTGTCAGCCACTGATATAATAGCACCAATATCTCAGCAAACTACCAAATCTAGCAATATGAAAGAATGTGGAAGTAATCCATCAGCAGAATGTCCAATGCATAGACCAAATCGATTAAATACTATAGATTATACCAGCAAATGTCCAATAGATAAAATGGATGGAAGTGATATAAATCCATTAAATATGGTATGAATAGTACAAGGATTATTTTATAAATATTTGTAATATACTTAGAATATATACTTGGGATCTTGCAATATTAAACTTATCATGAATTAATGTTTAATTGTAGATGTCACCAGCAAATCAACAACCTTCTCCAGGTCAGCCATTCCCATTACCAACGAATAGAGAAGTCTCATCGATACCAAATGCAACTAAACCTGGAGATGAAAATTGGCAATATCCTTCTCAACAGATGTTTTGGAATGCTATGTTAAGGAAAGGGTGGCGATGGGAAGACAGTGATATCACTCCACAAATTATGGATGTCATAGTAAAGATTCATAATGTTAACAATGAGCAAGCGTGGAAGGAGGTTCTCAAATGGGAAGCCCTTCATGCATGTGAATGCAGCAGTCCCAAATTGCTTAGTTTTTCTGGGAATGCAAAAAAATATTCTCCACGTGCACGTATTCGTTATTGGATGGGGTATGTTATTCTCATGATTCAAACTATATAAAAATTATTTACAAACTATATAAGGATATATTTTCTCAGTTACCATTTTAATTTAGAATCAATTTTCTCTTTATCAAAATATCAAAACAAGTAGAGTTCAAGTTATAAATGATTGAAACAATTTGCTATTTGCAGCAGAATTTGTAGAATCAAGTAGATAGCAAAATGATTTTTCAACTGATTTCAAGTTTACTTTAGTATATATACTTTACCAGAATTTTAATTCAAGATTAACTGTAAAATTGTGCTAAAAATTGAAAAATTATAATAAAGTAATGACTTTCATCAATATTTATTATTCAAGAAACAGGAAGTCATCATTAAAAATATTCAAACTTCTTGAAACATTACAATTTTTGAGTGATATCTCACGTCATAAACTTTCTATGAAATCTTTTCAGATACAAACTACCATTTGATCGACATGATTGGATCGTGGATCGCTGTGGTAAACCTGTAAGATATGTCATTGATTATTACGAAGGTGATAAGGTTTATGAGAATTATTCAATTGCATTACTCGATGTACGGCCTGCTATGGATTCGTGGGAAAATGTTTGGGATCGAATGAAAGTAGCATGGTGGAGGTGGAGATATCAACCTAATGATGAGCCAATATCTACTGCATCTGCTGCCAATACACAGTAATTAATATAAATTGATACTAAAATGAAGTAATCTAGTTTGAAGTTTTAATAAAATAATAATGCCTTAATAATTGCGTATAATATGACGCTTATTATACATTAAGTTATTGTTATCTTATAAAAGATTGCAGAATATCACAATAAAGTGAATCAAAAAAAGTATGTTTGTGCATCATAATCTTTTTTCACTATAATAGACTTGAGAAATGTAGAATATAATAGACGAAACTTGTATGTATACATATTTTAAATATTTATAAATATAATTTATATATGTATTATATATATAATTTATATATATAAGTTATATATATATTTATAAATATTTTAAATATTTATAAATGACAGTTATACATAAAAAGATGTATGATGTACAAATATGTACTTAACACAAGTACAAAAATTACTTTCTTATTCATTGTATATTAATGAAAATTAATGTCAGTATAGAGTTGAATGATTGTAAAGAATTTTGTATAAACTAAAGAAGAATCACTTTTAATTAGTTTAATCTATAAATTCACTGTTAAATATATAACTTCTTCTATATGATTGTAACTTGTATCATTGACGCAAGAAAATTTAGAAACTTATTGTCAATATCAAATGTTCTTTTTACACTTATTTTAAAGTTTTTACAGATATATAGTAATATGTATGTCCATTCAGTCGGCTTCAAATTAGAAATTATAATAAGGATTCGGCTTTTGATGATTTTATCAAATTCTGTATTATTAATGACTACATTGTTTATTGGAATTTAATAATTATCATTCCTTCATTTCTCACAGTAAGGGAATTGTAATTTGGGTCTATGGCACTTTGTTTCTTGTTACAAACTCTACACTATAAACTAGTTCGTTAATAAATTATCGAAATAAATCTATCGCAAAATATTAGATAATTTGTACCTTTGCTAAATTATATCACTTAATTATACTTCCTAGATATGAGCATAAGAGGTAATTAGGCAAATGTTATGTCGTAAAGTATACATCATTTTATTGTCAACATATAACTATTTATCTTCCTTCCAATTCGCATAATTTACAGATTTTTAATATAGATTAGATTAATTTGACTTTGTACATATTACATGATAAATCTTATGTAAATTCATCGATGACAGCGTCGAGATTCAAATTTCATCAATTAATTATGGAAATAAATAATTACTTCATACAGAATTTATATCTCGATAAATTAAAAAAAATCAACCTGGTCTTAAATTAAAAACGCCGAGATTTGCATGTAAGCATAACATCTAATGCTAGTTTCGCAATAAACATAACTGACTTCAGAAGCATTTATCCTGGCAGGTTCATATACAGACATAGCAAGCCATATTTCATCTACGAATATTCAACCATTTACTATTTGATATAAGCATATGTCTAATATCCTCAAATGTTACAAGTGATGTATAAGATTTCCTAAATGTAATATACAACATATGATTATACATAAGATATTCTGAATTTTTTAATGAATATGTAACATTGAATATTGGATTGTTTAAATTAATTCTATTATATTACAAATCACTGTTTATATGTTTCAAAGGCAGTTATTGGGAGCTATATTCATCGCTGGTATAGCATAAATAAGCATCTACCAATCTCTTAGTTAAAGTATTCACACAATTACAAAAAAGAAAAAAATATATATATATATATGTATATATTTATACAATATATGTTTCCTATAAAATTTAAACGGATTATTCATAACCCAATTTATGCTATTTTATTTTTATATATTAGTATTAATATACCGTATTTGTGTGTATTTCATTGATCCTTTTTAACAATTGGAAAATATTAAGTTTCAATGACTCGATGTTACATAATTCAAATATATCCTATACTTAATATGCATATAATATGTGTATACATACATATGATTAAAACTCTTATAGTATGACTGATATGAATATCGTAATAATATTTCGTATATTAATTTTAGTTCTATAATTGAAGAGATATTTGATTCGCTGTTTGTCGTTTGTCGTTTCAATAAGAAGCAATTATTGAATGTATACCAATAATTGGCAACTTTTGGTAATGTCTACTTTCTTGAAAACTGAACACCACGTTGGTTGCATTAATTACCACTTACTTTATATTTCGTTATGTGTAATAAAGTCAAATACCAAGCAGGACAAATACTATTTTGACTATAAAACTTGTTTCCCAGGTACTTTTAGCTAAATACTGTTTTTAGGAAAATGGTATATGATATTTTCTCTGTTGGCACATTAAATAATTTATATATACTGACATAACGAAAAAACAATACTACCAACGTGCTGGTTCATACCTTATATATATACTCTATATACTTTAATTAAAGATAAAGTATATATGATAGAACTGATCCGAGATATATTATATATATATATAAGTAATAAAATCCTATACATAGTAAAATATAAAATAATAAATAGCACAAGCTACTTAAACGTCAAATTTCATTGAAGCTTAAAGTCACAATGTGAAAATACATAGGATATCTCGCTTATATACGTGACATTCTATATATTAGGAATTGATAGCATTGATTTATTGAAGAGAAGTATCAATTAGTACATAGAGGAAGCGACTGAGATGCATGATGATGACCAATGTAATTAGACATATTCTCTTTGTGTATGTACATACATGTTTATATGCATATGTATGTCAAAACTTGTTTTTTAAAAATTTATGTTCAAAGTTTTATTACATATAACCAGTCATAGAACTACATGTCTGTTTGTGAAAATTTTGATTTATATACTTGATCTTATTTTAATTTATGATATCGAATGTTTCAAGACGCGTAATTTTTTCGTCGCCATTTTGACTTTATACAAATAACTAGTAGATCAAATTTTGCGATACAAATTTTACAAGCGTTAAACTAGCTTTATCATTATAAAATTGTACGCAAATAATTTTAATAAAGCGTATCTCATGCTGTCAAACTATATTATGCGGTAAGCGACCGAAACAATTATTAGAACCACAAAGACAAACAGTATCACTGAGATGATGGACGGAATCAGCTGTTAGTCCACCAGCATAATTAAAAGTCACTTCCTCCTCACTCTTTATTTCCCTAGATGCAAATAAGCATAATCGAGGTACGATTCCTTCTATTCTCACCGGAACGAGGCTAGAGTTAGGATCACAACTATGATTAGCGTAGCGTCCAATATTGCCAAAATACTCAGGATCTATACAAGTTACGGTGACGCGGTCGCCAAAATGCTCCCGCACTACGAGTACATAATTCATCGTGTTAAACTTTTTATTAATTTCAATTCGATTTCGCGCTTCTTGCAGACCTATCACTTCTCCGGCATATTCACAAATGAATTGGCCCTTTTTGATGGTTTTATTCGTGAAGAGACCAAGACCTTTGTTGACGACTTCACGCACAGTCAAACAATTCAGTGGACCATTCTGCACCAATCTATTACCGCAATATAATTGGCATTTGCACTTACGATTACATTCGAATATCGGTACAGATACTTTTTCGTCGATGATTCGTGCATTGGAATAATTAGCAGAACCACGTGTACAAGAGCAATTGTAACATTCGACTGTACACGAGCAACCAAAGGAATATTCCGATTCGAAATCTACTACATCTATACCAGGCCCCGGTATATTATTTACTACATACATCACACCGGCTAGAGTGTGTTCATACTTGTCGCTAGAAGCAATCGCTTCCATGCTTACCCCAATCGTGTATCAACAAAGAAACCCAAAGAAGTCCGAGATTGCCTTTCGAGACAAAGGCAGCACGAGATAAAAGAGGAAAGATATTGTTTTATAATAAAAAAAAAAATTGTTTTGGTGAATAAAATTCCAGCTATCTTATCGCGCGGCACTAACCTTTAGAAGTCCCTCAACCGATGACTTGATAGAATGAAATGTAAAAGCAACAGGTACTGCTATAACTTTGTAGCTTACATAAATTACAGCACTGAGCACAGACGCTTTGACGGTCAGCTTCAGGATTTTACTCGACATTGACGGTGGTGGTACTCTATGAAGAAATGAAACGGTAAATTGCCGAGTAATGATATGTTAGTTTAATGTGTAAAATGTCTCAAAAATCACGATCGTAATTTTTTCTTAAATCATTTAAAATCATTAACATTAAGATCACAGATAGCAGGAAATTCTATATAAGGTACATTATATGATAATTTTATACGTACTTTAAAATAGGTGATATATCAGTAGGCTGAACTTTACCCCAATTTTCGATAATACCTGGTGTGTGCCCTAAACCAACGATTCCAACAACTCGCATTGGTTTGATACCATGGGGTGTAAATTGAGGCATACAAGCTATTTGCAGCGAGTACGTTAGATAAATATCTCTTTCCTTGATAAACACTTCTCCTAATACTGGAAATTCTCCTTTCATGCTAGCAATCATTTCGTCCAACATCGATCGCTGTTTACAGAGCTCGACATCTTCCTGGGTAATGGGTCTCTTCATAAATGCCAAGTGCCAACCTAGCTTTATAGTCTGCCACCACGATAACGATCGTAGTGCACGTTCCATTGTTATATGAATAGGTCGATCGGCCATATGAATGATGCAATTTGGCACTTTTCTTGCCTGAAATAAACACAAATCAAATTATATTAATTATTATACACGAATAATTCTTTTTGCCGTTAAATGTATACCGACCTCTTCGAATGCTCTTCGGAACTCACCACCGGGTGGCATTCCGAGTTCTTTGGCAACATGAGCTGCCATTCTCAGCAACAAAACATGCAGTAAACCATTATAAACTCCTTCTTTTTTAAGTATATCCATGATACATTCTGTAATGAAATCAAGTGGTTATACAGCATATTGATAACTGCAAAATTATACAAACATAAACTTACGATAACTAAGATCCTTAGCACAACGAAATATAGCTTCTTCATCAAGTTGCAATATACCAACTCTAGCTTTACATAATTCAACCACGACTATATGAGGTTGTACTGCTTGTATAATCTGCAGAAAATAATTTCAATGAAAAAATATGCTTGACATAAACTTATAAATATTGATATTAGAGTCATTTGTAAAATTACAATTGTACTGTACTGAAATAAAAAAAATATATATGTACACACTCCAGTTACCTTTGACACATCATTTTGACTTTCGATACTAAAATGTGCTGTTCCTATTAAGTATAATTTTCCTCCATCTGGTGTGGTTAATAATGTCACAGTTTCTGGTAACCTATCATCAATAGTAGGATCATATTCTTTTATTCCTGGTATTTCATCCACAGCATGAGATTCTTTATTATGAGTACATGAGTTTATATTTGATTCATTATTTTCTGTAACAGAAACATATAGAAAACATTGTAAATACTATATAACATATAAAATACTATATAACAGCATATCAAAGTGTACTATATAACTGAATATGTGTTCAGTATAACATTTAATTTTACAATCACACCAATAATTATACTTTGAGATTTTGAAATTTTCTTTTTATTTCTATATTGCACTGGCATTCTTAGAAAATATTAATATACTCTGGCAAGTTTGTCTTATATTAGCAACACACAATGGCTGACTTATTTACATTTAGCACATAATGGCTGATTTATTATTAGATTATACAGAACATGAAACCTTAGAACACACTAGCTTTGAAATGTCATACAACTAAAGATGACATCAGAGAATATGTTTATCTTTCAAAAGTCAAAAGTATTAAGATAGAGGACAGTAAACAAATAGAAGCAAATAGGAAGCAAAAAATACTTTGAATCTACAGAAAAATCTAAATTTTATCATGTAACATAAATATGGGCTAATATGAAATAAGGTATGTATGATATAACAATGCATCTTACTTTGTTCATCAATAACTTCTTTGTCAGAAGAATCTGTGTTATTCTGGATACAGTTATCTTTTGGTATTTCTGATAAAGCACAATTACATGGTGTTACTGGTGTGGAACCTGGTTGTGGTTCTGAATTTGTTCGAAACCTATGTGTTGATCCAAAGAAAATATAATCACCCCTTTCGTCAATTATGTCATCATAGTTTTCATCTTCTGTCGATGATGCTTTTTGTTGTTGATCGTTGCTAATATTTCCATCAGTTTCATCAAGTTTGGATGCCATATTTTTATCTGAAAAATCCATATATTCTTCTATGATATTTCTACTTCAGTTTTTAGAGAATACTTGTATATACTTTATCATATCATATAACCGTTTCAATTGTATGCTACAATAGCTATCCAACAAATTTGTACAAATAAAAAAATACAGAAATGAGAATTAAAAATTATATATTTTTAGATTTAGACCAAAGAAAGGATATCTCTAAATTTCTTAAAAATTCAATCCTATTACCGTTAAATATATTTTTTTTACAGCCAATATGAATTGCTGCATGTTTTTAACCTTGCAGAAAACTTTTAATATGATTATGAAGATACATTCTCTGAGTTGCTACAATGATAAAATTCTCAATTTAACTTTTATTAGGTTGATTATTAATATTCATCATTCGGAGCACTTACACAACAAACCAAAATTTGAAGGAAAAGCTAGCGTATGGAGAAAAATGTACATCGAGAGACACACGTCAAATCATCGCTTGATCGTAATAACCGCGGTTCTGAGCGAAGAGACTAGATCCGCGTATCAAAGAAGACTTTTTACCGAAAGCGCTCATGATAAGCGCTTATCGGTAGTATTTTGTACTAAGTTCGTAATATTTGTCGGTATTCAAATTGTTAAGAAATATCTAATGAAATAACAAACTGATGAAATACTATTATTTCAATTGTCGCGAGATATATCAAATTATATAAGTTAAATTTAACTTATATAGTTATTGGGGATAATATTTTTCAATTATATAAACGACTGACAAATAACATTAAAATGATTTTTTGTGAATTTTTCAAATTTTTTATACAGTTTCCCATAAATTTTAAAAATTTTACATAAGTTACATATAAATTTTTATCAATTTCTAAGGACACTGTTGAACTGGTGCAATAAGTTAAAATGAGACAAATATAGGTTTTCTCACTCTAGCTTATTGCACTAGTTCAGCAGTGCAGCTAAAGAACAGACCAAATATTAATCAAAAATATGAAAACGAAATTTATTAAATTTACATATGTAACTCAAGTCCTTAGAAATTAATTATTTCTATTGGATATCAAATATCGTAAGTAGAATATCGAATGCACACTTTAATGGAGGATTCATACTGCATCCGATGTCCGATGTACGACGTCCGACATCCAATAGAAGAACAGTTTTCCAATGGAGAATTGAATTCTCCATTAAGCCCGTATCAGACTACCGACTATAGACGCCGACCCGATCGCCGACTATGACTGCCGACACTCAATGGACCAATCATAGTGAAGCGCCGACTGACTGGATCGACCGACTCGCGTTTAGACTTCAATCTATTTTTTGAGTCGACGACTTGGGTCGTAGCAAATCACGATAGTTCGGATTTAATTAATTTATTTAGTTTTTTAGAGCTAATTTTTCCAACCGCTTGATTAATTAACTGATAGTTAAATTATATGTCTCTCATTGTTTTTCTTTTGAATTAAACAAAGACAGATATATAATTTAACTATTAGTTAACTTACCAAGAGGTTAGAAAAACGCCCTTAATAAAAAGTTTTAATAAAAAGTTTTTTTTTTTTTTAATTAAAAGTTTCACCTAAACAGAGATAGGATAGTAAATAACCACACATATATACATATATATACATACACATAAAGAGTAATGATGAATCTCTAATTATATATATTATAATTTACAGAGATAATACCTGTGGCAATGTGTTTCAAAGTAAGGGACAATCTTTCTGCTGATGGTATACTTTTTCTCAAATGAGTGTCTTGTTTTATAATTAAAGGTGCAATTTTGTGAAGAAGCTCCTCAAAGGTAGTATCCATCCATAGGCATCTGTTCAAAGATAATATGAAACATAAAGACATTACAAATATTATGTTACGTTTATTTTCCTCATTAATACTTAGAACCTTGTATTTTTTGGGTTTTATAATACCTGCGAAACTTGTATGGATCTTCTAAACATAATTCTACAAAAAGATTGTGGTGCATTCCTTGTGCCTGTCTTCTTGCTACCCATGATTTCACCCATGTTGATCTTTGCTGTTTATCAACCGAAAGTTCATTCATTATAATAAATAATGACAGTGCGGCAATTTTCTTTTTTCTTCTTATAGTTTGCAGTTTTACATTTCTTGTCATATGTGGCATTTTTTTTAACTAACCACTTATTTTCTTTTATCAGGCGTCACTAGTATGATCAGTCGGCGGTAAACTTCATCAGTCGTCGACAAGTGATCAACCGACTGGAGTCGGCAGTCGTAGTCGGCAGTCAAGTCGGCGTCCGCAGTCGGTAGTCTGATACGGGCTTTAGAAAGCTGTTCTCCTATTAAGGTCATTCTACAATACGTGTCGTAAGTTGTAAGCCGTAAGAACTGACCAATTATAGCCGATTATTTTTGTAATAATCGACTATGATTCGCCAATTCTTACGCTTACAACTTACGACACGTATTGTAGAATGACCTTTAAGGCTCGTCTACAATAGCTGTAAGAGTAATGGCTCCGGCACACAGGACGCGGAAACACTTGCCGCGCGGCGGAAGTCAGCACGGTAGCCAATCAATCTCTTACTTTTGCGGAAAGAGTGTATATATATCTTCCGCCGCGCGGAAAAGTTAAAGTTGATTTAACTTTTCCCACGCGGTATAGCTATTTGTAGTGTATCTTTTACATATCGTAAAGTAACCATAGAGATGTAAGATATTTCTATAGAAGTAACGTAAGTCAACGTATGTTCCGCCAACGAATATTTTATAACTCTGGAAAAGAAAATCTAATTATGGAGAATGAAATGGATAATATTGAAGTTGTAAGTAAAAAAAAAATATTTATATATTAATGAATATTCATAATTATAGTACAGTATATGATGAAAGAACTGATTTTATGATTGATGTTTTTTATAAGGTTATGTGAAACAGGTATAGGTTAATTATTATATTTATTGTAAAGGTAATTATTATATGTAATTTTGTTGCGTATGTATAACTTAATTTTTATTTTCAGTGGTGCAGGGATTGCAATAATATAATAGATATTACAGAGGAACATGATTGCCCTATTTATAACAGTAACAATAGTGATATCAACACAAAGAGCAAAAATGATTATATCGAAAAATTAATTACTGAAGTATTCGAAAGAGAACTTTTATGGAACTCGTCCCTGCCTTATAAGTTCAGAGGTCCATCAGATATAAAAGTATTATGGGCTGAAATAGATAATTGTTTAGGTAAGAATGAATATATATGCGTATGTTTATTCAACATATATTAATATGTAAAAATTGAAGAGTATATATTTCTAAAAATATATATGTATATCTATGTAGGTACAACTGTTGGTACAAGCCAGATAAAGTGGAAGAATATAAGGGACCGTTTCGTAAAAGAGCATGCTTTAGAATGTGCTTATATCCCAAGTGGTAGTGCAGCTGTAAAAAAGAAGAGTACTTGGTCATTTTATGAAAGTTTACGTTTTCTGACACCAACAATAAATTATAGAAGGTATTTATAGTGTGATTTTGATAAACTACAATATATAGATGTATATACAGATACATATATAAAATATGGAACTATTGATACTATATAAAATAACATATAATACATAATAAATCATTGGAATATTTCAATTTAATGATTATATTAATTATAATAATAATAATGACAGTATATCATCATATATAACGAAATAATATTAGTTAATTTTAATTTAATTGGAAACTGTATTTTAGAACAAAAAGTAACATTGAAAATATAGATCCAACTGTACCTTTAGCTTCAGCAAAAAAAGAATCAGATGAATCCATTATTTCACTTATTTCTGGACCAAGTACCAATACAGAAAAAGAAGATAACATTTCGCACAAATCATTATTACAGAATAGAACTTCATTAAAACCACAATTAATGTATCCGAAGAAGAATTACTGTAAGCAACTATACAACGATTAGTTATTTTTTTATTCTCTGCATATTTTATTTAAAATTCTATTTTGATTTTTTTACACAGCTTTCACACCTCCATACACATCAGATTCAGATAGCTGTGATATAAAAAACAAAGCTTTTGAAGAATCAATATGTAGAATAAAAGGCACCAGTACGTATATATAAATTATTAAATGTAATTATTTTGCGTGTTGTAAAACGTTCTGTTACGGTACAAAACAAGATTTGTTCTGAGTATTTTGCTTCATTCATTTTTATCTGCAAAACGTTTTTGTTGATATGTAAGAAATATTTTCTTTATTGCATGTAATACAAAAAAAAACAATATTTATTTTACAGAAAAAACAAAGATAGTTAAAAAAAATGATACAAGTTCTCTTTGTGAAGAAACTATTTTGATGGAATTAGTACGAACGAGACCAGCAGATAAACCTCATACAAAACCTGATGAAATTGAATGTTTCACAAAATATATTGAAGCATGTCTGCGAGGGATGAGTGCAGGTAACTCAAAACGTATTAAAAATATAATATTAAAACTTATCGCAGAGGAAGATATGTAATATGTTTGATTTCAGTATTCTGTTTTATTTTAATATTCGATGTTTTATTTCAATATTCTATATATAGTTATGTTTTATTGTTTTCTTTTTAATATTTGTTTGTGTGTATATGTATAATTGTTAAATGTCACTAAATGACAGTTATGTTATGCAATATATTATGCATTACACACACAAATACACGATATTACGTACTTAATACAAAATTAAGATTTGTCTGATATATAAAATAATATTCTTGTAAATCAGGATAATTTTTATTTTAGAAGTTACATTTTATGTAGATTGTGGTTACTAGTCTTAATAAAATACGAACATATATGTATATAAATGTATAATCTTTATTTTTGAATTAATACACAAACTTACAATATGATAACAATCTCTTGCCTACATAATATCTTCTTGCCAAGGGATTTTTCCCTCGTTCATAAAATACTCTGTAAAAATTGTCCGAATTTCACCAGCTTGTCTAGTGTAGTTATTATTACCAAAACTTTTATTCCTGTAATTATCACTATTGGTGTGTTTTTGCCTCCATTCTCCTTCAATTATTTGGCCATTTGCTAATAATTGATCAGCATAATTTCCTCCACAGTAATTTGAAGTACTCATTAATAAATTATGCAAGCAGACTGTTGCTTTTATTATTGCATCACTTGTTACAAGACTGGTGTTTAAAGGTTTCTGATAAATACGCCATCGAGTAACTAATATTCCAAACGCATTCTCAACAGCTCGTCGAGCTCTACTTAATCTATAGTTAAATATGCGTTGTTGTTTTGTTAAATTTTTCGATGGGTATGGTCGCATTGTAAATGAATTCAACTGAAATGCCTCGTCAGCTACAATAACATATGGAACATTATGTTTGTTACTAATAGCAGAAGGATCAGGCAAATACATATTATTGTTATAAAATCGTTGTCCCATAGCTGAATTTTTTAAAATTCCTTCGTCACTATGCCTTCCTTGAGCGCCAATGTCCACAATTAAAAATTTGTACGTTGCACTCACTAATGCCAATAACACTATGCTGTGGAACCCTTTATAATTATAATAAGTGCTCCCTGCTTTCTTAGGACACTATGGAAATAATATTTATTAATATTTATGAGATATGTAATTAAAATTTTTACGTATATATTTTAATATAATCTTACAATTATAGATACGTGCTTCCCATCCAAAGCACCAATACAATTTGGAAAGTTCCATTTATTCTCAAATTCATGAGCTATTTCTTACCACCCATTTGTTGTTGGCGTAAATAATTCTTCTTTATGTAGACAACTTCATATAGCCTCGCAAGTTTCTCTTATAATACACGTCGTAGTACTTCTTCCAATTCTATAGCTAAGTGAAATACTATGAAATCCATCTCCACTTGCCAAATAACTAAAAATAACAAAATTAATTTATTACATGTTATATAAGAATAAGAACATTTCTATCTATTATTTAATATAAATACAAGAGACAATAATATTTAGATTAAATAAAGTTATTATAAATCTACTTACCGTATAGTCATTGACAATCGTGCAGCTGGTGAGATAGGTTTTCTCCAATGTGTTTCCATTTTTGTTATCGTAGGTCCAACTTTTGATAATAAATATTCAAACATACTAGGTGTCATCCTCATATAAGTAAAATATGTATCATCATCTTGTAAAATCATTTCGCGGAAATTGTGCCAGTCTCCTTGCTGTTGCTTCAGTTTGAGTATCGGGTGTACCCAATATTTTCGCTTAGTTATCATTTCTTTTCTTTTTCGATGTCTTATATATAATAAACATAAAAGTAATATTCGACGTCTTGCTTCATTCATAACTTTTATTATACAACTTCTATTACTCGTATAACAATTTTTGCAAATGTATGTTTATTATAATAGAGGTTATAATGACACTGTACCTACGCATGCGCATATAAACTATAACGCGTGCTGTGAGTGCCGGAAAAACCAATTCTCTTTACCGCGTCGTTTCTTTCCGCGCGGCAAGCGTTTCCGCGTCCTGTGTGCAGGAGCCATAAGGCTGTAAGGCTGTAACGTAAGCTGTCAGCGAATGAAAATATTTCATTTCGTGCCTTGCAACCTTACAGCCTTACTCTTACAGCTAATGTAGACGAGCCTATAGATGTCGGATGTCGTACGTCGGACACCGGACATAGGCCTGGTCTACAATACGTGTCGTAAGTTGTAAGCTGTAAGAATTGGCGAATCACAGTCGATTATTACAAAAATAATCGGCTATAATTGGTTAGTTCTTACGGCTTATAGCTTACAACACTTATTGTAGACCACAGTGTGAATCCTCCATAAATCTTCCATTATGCGAACTACTCATAACATTAGACGAGAAATATTTTGATTTTGTCAATATTTTAATATATTTGTTAACGTGTATAATATGTCATATTCACGCTGATTATTGTATAATTGACGAATAAACTTATATAATCGTAGATATGATGTCTCGTATATCGTAAAGCGATACAGTTGGGAACAGTGTTTAACGTACTTCGCAGTTGTACAGTAGCGGTTTTAAAATGCTAGCACGCGTAACAAGATGAATGAGAGACAATACTGATTTCGTAATACGATTCCAAATTACATCGCGTCATTGTATTCTTGTAATAAATTATCTTCTGTCATACGTGCAATTTCAACTTCGATGTACCTGTCAGGCGATTATGTAGGAAAATCTTGAGATTTGGCGCCAACATAACCTCATTTTGAGCCGCGAGAACGGTTTTTAAATGCAACCTTTAGCACATAAAATATTTCGGTAGCTTGCATAAGATATGAAGGATATCGAGGAAGTCAATTGCGAGGTATATATATAATATACTGTTTTTAAAAAAAATTCAATTATCTTTATTGTTAGTGGTCAAGTAATTGCTATAGCTTCTAATACTAAATTAGTATTTTTCTGTAGCAAATGTAATCTAAGAAAATGTGGTATTTTCTTTAGTAAATTTGGTTCTATGGATCTCTTTTCTCTAAAATTTTCATAATTTTTTTCTTATACAGGTTCGCAGGATCGTGGAACTTCCACTCTCTGTTTCAAGCAAATTGAGAAATTTAGAAATAGAAGAGCAGAACCAATCTATAATTTCTCAAGAACATGACATTAATGATTGCTATGGAGGATTTTTGCATGAAGTAACATATGCATGGTTAAGTTATGATTGTCATTTTGTAGTTTTCAATGCAAAAACAGGTGAAAGCATTAGTAGTTGGACATTTCGTGGAACTGTAACATCTGTTTCCCAATTTCCTACACGATCTGGAGACTTGCCATTGCTACTGATTGGAACAGATAATAATGCAAGCAAACCAAAAGATTCTTCAGGATTACTATGTGTATTTGACTGTACTATATCTCGTGTCTTAAGAGCAATTCGTGTAAGTATATTGAAGTATTTAAGTAGTTTAATTATTACAATATTTAATTAAATATTTATTGAATGATCTAAATATTTGTTAAAAATCATGCATTTAGTATTTAAATATGTTCAATGATATATATTTGATTATTAAATTATGCAAAAAGATCAAAGATAGATCATCAATAAAAGAATAATTTTATATTTGTTTCTCATATAGATGCCATGTGGAATAGAAAAGGTGTGTGTTATATCAGGTGGTGCAGAATGGGAAGAATTCAATGAGAAGAGACCAGACAATATATTAAATGAGATGGATGGAATAGCTTGTGTAGTTTTACATGATCTCCAACACATCATGATTGATCTTAGAAGATCTACCTGGGGCATACATAATTTATCTGTTGTTATGGATGAAATATCACCAGCAGAAATAGACCTGTCAGCGAAACAAGGCACTACCAGACATCGATTCAATCAGGAGAGTCATGCTGCTTACAATTTGCTAAATAGCCGTATGTATCGTAAAATGTAATTATATGTGTTATTTATTTAATATAAATTTATTACATTGCTACTTTAAAATCGAATTTTCAGGTATTGAAAGATATATTGGCTTTAACAGAGAAGAATTCGAATCGTCACCTTTGTTTGGCGAGAATTTAACTACGACGATTATCAGTTCCACGAAAATCGGTTGTTTGATCTCCGGCTGTCTGGGTAGAATAATTATTTGGCAAAACGATGGTTCTGTGGGATGGATCAGTACGCCCATCGATGAAAACATGGCGGTCACACATTTAGCCTTACTGGAGCCTACAGATGATCCTAGACCGTTTTATTACTTATGGGCAGTGTTTCAGGACGAGTCGTCGTCGAGAGTGCCGCCTGTGCTGCGAATGTATGCCATGCTATTTGAAAGGAAATACTGCGATCGTGGAATAAATCTGTACTTCAACTTAGAAGCCGACCCCAGTTTAAAATTTGAACTCGAATTGAACGAGAACGACAAGGTCATCGGTTTGTGCACCATTGAGAGAGAGACCAATCCGGAACAGACCGATACAAGTGTCAAAAAAGGCGAGGATAATTTATTGCTTATCTCCACCAGCAAGAGGACATTATTGTTTGACTTGAATCAATGGTACAAAGAACAGATGCCTCGCACTATCGACGAATGTCAGAATCCAAAGAGCATTTTGGCGACTTACCGCGCTAGAGCACATTTCTTGCAACAAAAGTATGATCGTGTCATAAGCTTCGCATACGTTCCGCTGAGCTTGCAAGAGTTTCCTAGCAACGGGCCGAGCTCGCCCGAAGAGCTATTCTATCCCAATTCTTTGTCGCTTGAGTGGATAGAGCTGTATCCGACGAAATTGACATTCTGGATGACTCGTGGCATTCAGGCGGACTTGCTGCGTGAGATGGCTACTGCGGGCCCAGTCATACTACTACAACCGTCCGAGACGTTTCATCGGTGTCTATCAATCGGCTTGGTGCCGTACAATTCGGAATTTTCACTCGCGAGCGACTATAATGCGCAGCGAGAGATGTTACTGTCGCTATGCCTTGAGCAACGATGGTCCACCTTCCTGGTAAAGTGCGCTTTACAATGGGTGGATGGTAGTGCTTCGTACCTGTACCCCACTTTCCTCAAGTGGGGTGTTCAAAGAGCTTCTACGATAAAAATGCTCGCTGATCGGCTTTGCGTCCCGTTGTTCGATCAGTCTGGCAGTGGTATCGGCGAGGCTGACGTGAAGACCTTACGATTTTGCTCCCAGCAATTAGAATGTCTGTCCAACGTGGTGGCGAAGTTACCACTCGGAACGGCGGACCTGACGAATCAACGGAGGACGTTGAAACGCGTGTCTACATATTTCCAGGTGCTGCTCTGGTTCTATGACGTGGGGCTATTGCCCGAGACACAGGACTTGGAGGAGGAGAATATCTTACCTATCTCCTTAGCGCTAAAAGTGCCTTATCCGTATGAGAAGCTCTCAACGTCTTACAAGGAGAAACGAGCGCAAATTGCTCGAACGAATAAAGAAAGCAGCAACGATCAGGATGAAGGAGGAGTGTTATTTATTGACGAGTTGATAACACGGGAGTGCTCCGTGTTAAAGGGACAATGGGAGAGAGAAGGCGGCGTGGGTGCCTTAGGCGGCTGTTATCCACCGTCGTCATTGCAATCTTTGCTACGAAGTTATTTGACAGACTGTCACCATATGGAACCATACGAGATCAGCTGTAAGCACCAAATCACGATATATCTGTTGATGGACCTGGCGATGTTGTTGCAGCGATTGTACCCTGGCGTGGACCAACTGATCAAGTATCCATCTGCATTCAAAATGAGTCCCAGTCTCATCAAGCTGACTCAGGCGTTCTGGTTGCTCGATCATGAGGACTATCAAGGATTCCTCGATATGATGACCGGCCAGCTAGTATCTGATTCAGACGTCAAAGACTGGCATCATCGGTTCATACTGCGTACACTGGTGCGCAACAATCAGCACAAGCTGGCTCTCGTGTACCTTCGCGTGAGGAAACCTCCTCTATCATCTATGGAGGAGCAAGGTGTCGCCGTGAGCTTGTCGGTGGAGCACGGTCTGGTGCAGTCAGCCTTCCATCGCCGGCCACCCTGCCACTATGAACAACTGCTGACCTGTTTCTTCCGCGCTTGCAAGACCTACGGCAAACTCGATGAGATTCTGCACTTGGCGCTGGACTCTGAGGAAGAAGAGGTGTTTGTGAAGTTTCTGGAGGAAAATAAGACGGAAGACGTGCGACTGTTGTATTACTTGCAGCGATGCCGGTATACGGAAGCGATCAGTAATGGCGGTAACCATCCGACATCCATCATGTCAAGCCATCAGTCAAGCTTTGTCGAAGACGCACATCTCACGTCGACGTTGAGTATGCTCGGTGCATACAACACGACCTTGCCCGACATCACGAAGCGCTTCTCCGCGAATGCGGCTGCGATCAACTTGGATGTAGACCTGGAAGCTCGCTATCCCAGACCAATGTCGCACTGCAAGAGTCACGATCGGCTGCGTAGTATACACGAGACAGTGATCGCAAAGGCGCGAGAGACCTATTTGCGAGGGGACAAGTGTCAGATTCCGTTCGTCAGCGCACCTTGCCTGTCGTTGAAGCTCAACAATCATGGCGCCAACGTGAACTGCGTGTTGTTCCCGATGCGTAAGACTCGTCGTGGCGGGTATAAACGTACGGTGGATCAGATCTATGAAGACAACGAAGATATGAATAACGACAGCGTGGACAGCGTGAAACGTCGAAAATTATCTGACGGAAGCGTCTCGTCGAATAGATCAAACAGAGGAGCCAAAGAATCGGGATTGAGCTTTGCGACGCCTCTGGTGAAACGCAAGTTCAACGCGTCTACGAACAAGGACATCACCTCAGAGACACCACAATCGATTCTGAAGATAAAGCATCTCATCAGAAGTTCAGTATCGCCTAGTGCCGCGACTTCGCTCCAAAAGCAGGAGATTACGGACAGGTCGGTCGACGACCAATCGAAGAAAGTTAGCAGGCAAATACGATTCAAGATCAATCAGCCGAAGAAATCCTTAGCGTATGATGATGAGAACAAGGAGGAAGAGGAAGAGGAGGAGGAGGAGGAGGAGGAGGAGGACGAGGAGGAGGAGGACGAGGAGGAGGAGGAGGAGGAGGAAGAGGAGGAGAAGGCGGAACAGGAGCAGGAGCAGGAGCGGGAACAAGAAGAGCAGGAGCAAGAAGAGAGAGAGAAGAAAATAGAAGAGGAAGAGGATGAGGAGGAAAACGGCAGCAAGAATAGCGCGTTGAGCGGAGGCAACGACGTGTTCCTCAGTCCGAATGCGAACGACAAGTCGTACAGCGAAAGCGCAGTTCTCAGTGGCAATTCCAGCAATTACAGCAGGAGTTACTGCTTGCCGCGCCCACGACCTAGCCTCAGGAGAAGTGCCTTACAATCGTCCGTAGAAATGTTACAAGAATCTCTCTCGGGTAATGTGGAGAGACCAGCTAGCGACACGTTGTCCATAAGCATGTCCGCGTCGACCTCGTTAGCTGTCGGTAGGGCCGACAAAGCACCTGCGTCCATTACGAACACATCCAGAAGACGCAGTTCGTTACTGTCGGTTGTCTCCGGCTACTCGACTACGATGCTTACCTCCAACAGCAACATTGATGACAGCGACTACTCGTTCAAAAGGTTGGAAGACGCTACTCCGCAGTTTCACCTTCCCGTAGAGAAGGGTCATACAAGTAAATTTATTTCATCTACTCCATTGACGAAAAAAATAGTTTCTCAAAAACGTTTCAACGACGAGCGAGTAGTCAAAGAAGAGGAAAAGGAAGACAAAGGAGAGGAAGATAAGCAGATGGAAGAAAAGGAGGATGCGAAGTCGAAATCGTCTGTAAGAAATGCGTCCAAGGTGGAAGAAGAACTTGATGTGCCAAGTGAACCTGAAAGATTGTCAAATATCGAACAACCTGCTCGTGATAGAAGCGACTTCCCGGAGCAGCAAAACAGTTTAGAGAAGAACGTACAAGGCGAGCAAAGTGAAAGCAAATACAACAACGGAAATCTTGCGAGAAGAGAGATTCTAAATGCCGACGAAGAGGAGCCTGCACTTTTTAAGCACAAAAAGGTCGCGGAACCGAGTCTAAGTATCTCAGATCAGTCTAGCGAAGAGCTCCTTCGGCTACAGTACGACTTCAACGATGATGACGACGACGACGACAACGAGGTGTTCAAGAGTTTATCTACAACTCTAGAGGATGCACAGGTGCAGTTGGAAAGCGAAGTACCCGGTTCCCGCTTACCAGATCTCTGGAATTCAGAAGAATACAATCTCAACAAGAAGTCCAACGGTTTAAGAGAATCCGCACGAGTGACGGGCGACATCGACTTCACCGATGACGAGTCGACAGTCAATAAAGACGTAATGGTACTGTATGGTGAGTCTGATGACGTCAATGAGAAGAAATTATACTCCACTACGACCGTTAGTTCGGAGAACATATTATATGACATGTCGAACATCACAGATGATGAGTCCGACAGCAACGTTCAAGAGACCGAAGAATCGAAGGCGAAAAACAGCAAACTGTCGGTTTTACTGAGACAATATACTGCAAAGCAAAGTGCCATTGAAGAGGAGAAGGAAAGCGAGTTCGACGGAAATAATGGAAAATCAGATAGAAGAGATAGCGTCTCGAGGATAGGTGCGAGTGAAACTACAACTCCGCTGGATGTTGAGCTTCGAGAGAAGCTGTCGGAGTCAACTTCGAGTTTCTCAAAGCGTAAGAAGAGTCAGATTGAGTTCCAGGATGATCAATCCGTACGAGTGACCAGATCACATAGGGCGAGTTCCTTGGCGAAAAATACAGTAGCGAATACTTCATTGCAGATGCCGGAGGAAGAGGCGAGCACCGGAAGAGTCACGCGTTCGCGAAGAGGAAGTTCATTGGCGAAAGATTTGGTCTGTACGACGGATTCTCTGTCACGAGATGCAAACACTACGAAACCGTCGCAGCGATCACGAAGAGCGAGTTCCTTGGCGAAAGATACAGCGGCGAATACTTCATCATTGCAAATATCGGAAGAACAAGTGGAGACTGAAAGAGTCACACGTTCGCGAAGAGCAAGTTCCATGGTGAAAGATTCGACCTGTACGACGGATTTTCCGTTGCGAGATGCAAACGTTGCGAAGCCGTCGCAGCGATCACGAAGAGCGAGTTCAATGGCGAATGATTCGCCGGCAGATTCCTTAAGTGCAGACGAACTTCCGCGATTGCGACGTGTAAATTCAACCGCATTAGACTCGTTAACAGATCTCTCATCTGGCAGATTGCAAGAAACTGATTCCAAACAGCCATCGCGATTAAAGAGATCGAGCTCAGTGAAAGATATTTCTTTGCCGATGAAACCACGTTCACGAAGAGCGAGCTCCCTCGTGAAAGAGGTGCTGATAAGTTCGACGGCGATAAGCGACGATCACAAGTCAGCGATTTCATCGGAATCGACAGGTCCCGTGGATACCTCGATACCGGTTAAGAGAGGCCGCAGTAGATCTACGTCCATAGCGAAAGAGAATCCCCCGTCCGATTTGAAAGACAGCGACTCTGAAAGTGTCAAGAATGAAATGCCAGTACGGAGGAGCGCAAGGCTCACGTCTTCCATGAAAAAAGAATCACAGACGGACACATCGAGGACTCGCGCCAAATCAGAAAGCCTATCGTCATTGTCTAAACTAGCGAGTGACGATGAAGAGGACACGAGGAAGAGACCTGTGCGCGCGAAGAGGTACTCGATGAAGACAACGACAATAACGAGTAGATCGCCCACGATGGACCTGGAGGAACAACCGGAGATGGTTAAAGCGAGTCGAGCTCGACGTGGTAGTTCAGTGCCTATGGAAGTCACGGTGCAGACCGGGAGGAAACGTAGGTCCAGTAGTATAATTAAAGAGATTATCCCGGAAGATACTGAGCCTCCCTTAGAGCCTCCGGAAAGCTCGAGGAGACTCAGGAGTTCTGTCGGGAAGAAGGAGATTGTCGACAGTTTAGCCGGGACTACACGCAGACGTAGCGCGTCAATACAGTCTGTACCGGAGGAATTGGAAGAGGTTCTAAGTCAATCGTTGTCCAAAGAGACGAGATCCGCAACTCGAAAGGAAGCGGCACGTGTTAACACCAGGGAGAGGAGAGCGGCGAGTGCGGACGTATTGTCCAAAGAGATGAAGGTAAGGTTCAAGAGAATTAACATGAAAAGTATCATGGAGCAACCGATAGCAGAGGAGCCTGTTGCGGAGAGCGAAGATAGAACGGCACTTCGAGAAGAGGCGGACAATAAAGTCGCGCAGAATGTTGCTCCTGCGCGCAGAAGAAGAGCGTCGTCGACCACAACGATCGAGGACACGAAGAAGAATCAAGCGGCGCAGCGGAATGAAGGTAGAACGCGACGGACAAGTACGAATGAAGAAAGCAGCAATCTATTTTCTTTCTCGCAGCCAGAAAAAGTGGACGACGTACCGTTGGATGAGAAAGGTGACTTAGAGGCACATATGTCGAGTAAATGGTTTTACGTTGCACAATGAATATTCTCTAAATGACAAATAGATGAATCAATACAGTCAATCAAACCAGTGTAGTCAAAATAAATTAGAGTTTATAACAATTATAATTATAAATAATAGTTCTCTCCGTTGTGAGACGCAGCGCCATTCACTTATCATGTCTCAAGAACGAGCGATTTAATAATTGTTTTTCATTTGCAGACATTGGAGAAGTTCCGAATTATGTATTCTCACCACCCCAAACCAGATCCAAGAATGTTTTACCGAATCAGCATCGTAGGTTATTATTCACTAATTGATTCGATGTTCTCTTTTGCTTTGTTTCTGCTTTTTCTGTTTACTTTGCTGTTCTTTTATGTCAACTCGAACTACCCTACGAGGATGAATCACTTCATTTTATGTTAATTTTGTTTACAGAAAAATAAACTCATTTATACCGAGTCCTTATCAGGAGGGAGAAGAACACCCTGTTATCCAGAAACCTGACGATATTGTTGAATCTGGCGGTTGCACTCATATACTTGTCAACACTTACAAATCGTGAATTCGGACAAAATTCGTTGTACAAAATAGAACTAAAAATGCAAAAGAATGAACGAAAAACTTTCTGGGCGATTCGGTTAATTTTTATCGTGCTTATCTTCGGATGTTGTAAATCTCTCGACGTCTCTACATTCTTAATCCATATGTTCTTCTTTGGCTTCAATATTTCTTTTTGTGATATGTGATCCTTTTGTGCAAAACCTTTTTGTATAATCAGAATGACACACACCCATTCGAGTACGTTGTAATTGACTATAAACCTCATTGGTTCATGTTGTGATGATAAAATCGCAATTGTGGAGAAGCCAAGAGCTATGGTCAATTGCTATGTGAGTAAATTGAGCTTTTCCCGCAATTACCTATTAAAAACGCTGGAAGATCAATTTGTAGGTGTAGTATTTTGAATTTTTTGTTTGGATGTTTGTTTGGAAGACAACGATTACGGAAACTCGGAGGGGTAAATAAGAATCAATTATCAATTGATATGTATACATATCGATTGACTACGTATACAGAACTATCCATCGTCTCCAACATCGTTGTTTTGCATAAAGATATAGTATAAAGCGATTATGCTTATATGATGAACAATAATGAATGAATCGAGAAGATACGTTAGATCGGAGAATTATTGAATTAGATTTTAAAGAGATAAATTCTGGATTTTTATTTTGAGTCGATGGAATGTCGGTTATATTGTAAAGCAAAAGATTTGATACGTTAGGTTGGGGACCATACAGGAAACAAGATCCTACAAAGAAATGTTGATTTGCAGTTGATCGGATGCATAAAGAGATGACTTTTGAACACATTGACCGTCCTGCTTTGCTATTTTTCCTTTCTAACGATATTTCTTTCAATAGAATTCCTGGTGTATTAGATAGAACAATTTTTTCTTCTAATTAAGGTATATATTACGTTGATTATAATTGATCAACTGTGTAATACAGCGGTACTTAGGATATATGCTAGCACGATATTGATTAGAAATATTTGTTCTTTTCTTTTTGAAAGCGATATATATGTAGTTTCGGAGATTGTTTTCATAATCTATAAACTTGTAATGATTGATTCGCAAGAGTTACATCGTACGTATTAGCTGTACGATTCTGTTTCATTCAATTTTGAATATATAGTGCTTAACTCTTATGTCGACACATAAACGGATTATTGTACAGAAGTAACAGTTACAGTTAAATTTATCATGCCAAAATATACCGTATAATGATAGATTATCATTAAAAATGTATTATATCGATCGTCTGACGCATACACACAAACACATACACTCTCTTGCACACAACTATAATAATATTCATTCCGTTTATGTATACATATATCTTTTTTGACAAAAGTTTGCTCTCAAGTCTGCAAGTTTGCTCAAGTCTACAATTTTTTTAACGTTAATATTTTTAGAATATGATTTCGTAGTACAGAAAGTTTTCTGCTATACTTTGCATATAATACTTCTAGTATTTTTTCTTCTCTAAAAGGCAGTGTGTATCATAACTTTGTAAATAATTTATTAATGTGTACTCATGTATAGTTGTATCGATACAATAAATGTAAAGAAAAGATAATACACATGGTAGCATCGAAAAAAAAAAGAAAAGGCTCCAGTCACCACAAATAATATATCATTGCAAATAAACTTGTATTCTAGTGGAATATTGGTCAGTACAATTTTTTGTCTCTCCTGATATATAAATCTTATATGAATTAGTAGATAATAAATTGTATCTATAATACGTCCACATATATACGCTCCTTACAATAATCGATAATTAATTAGAAATGAATTATAATAATGTTTCGTAAATATACTCTTTTTTTGGAAATATAAATAAGATAAAAAGTATTTTTTCGAGGGATATATGACAACTGTACCTTTCGTGGCATTTCTGTGGTATTTTAACATATGTCTTTGAAATATTACAATCAGCAACATGGCTAACATTTTGAAGCCTTGTTCGCATCATGTTCGGGACAGATTGCAATACTTAGCTCTCTCTCACACACATACACACACACACACACACACACACACACACACACACACACACACACATACACACACACACACACTCGTTGGTACATATCGTTACGTACGCTTAATGCACGTGTGTACGTGCCATCTTTATTAACACTTTCGTCTATCTGTTTAAAGGCCAGCATTAAAGTGTTATCTTTGGCAGTGTTGTCATTCTTTACGTTCTACCTTACTAACTATAGAAGGGGTGTGAAATATTCGTAATTATTACGTATCAAATTAATGCCGCTGTTTACCTAAAGAGAGAAAGAAAACCCCAGTATATAACACAGTGTGTAGCAGAAATATATGATTATAAACTATAAGAGCAAGTTATATGTGATTCCGATTGCACGATAGACTCTATTAAATGTCATTGTACTCACACCATCGCGAGAAAAATTGATGAGAATTTATACCGAATTCATCATTCTTTTATCACAACTTGCTCGTTTGCATTTCAGTTACACTCTGTATGTTCGATTCATCTACGAATTGTGAGAGTTGCCGTAATAAACTCTTTCAGTCATTTAACATTTGTACATCGTCGCTATCTACTCGCCACCGAGTCTAAGTGCATCAAACTTTAAACGATAAATCTCTTACAAATTCTCTGATTGTCTATGATATCTTTGTCGTTTTTTTTACTCTTTGCTAAAAATGTCCAAAATCCTAATACTGACAAGTATTATTGTAATAAAGCATTTCTTATCGCTAATGTCTTGAGATATTCCACAATAAGTGGACGCGAGAAATGCAAATGTAAGATCGAGGACGGTACAATCAATCCGCTCGGATCAATCAACAATTGTAACATCATTTTTCTTAATTGCTTGAATAATTCGTTAATTTATATCAAGGCCGTCATTGATTTCCATGCCCTTTAAGAAAGGCACATTATGCCTCGCACAATGCGAATTACATCACCATGTAACGATATGGCAGAATATACACGCTATTAACGTAAAACAGAAAAAAAGAATTGAAAAACCTTAAATGCATTACTAGTGTCGGTTAATATGTGTCTGTTGAAATTCCTTCGACACATCTTAGAAACTGAATACTGTAGCATTCGATGGCAATTAAAGAAAAATAAAATATCTCTTGTAGAAAATACTGATTTGAACTTGTGGTATTTTTTACTGATGCTTACAGCCGTCTTTAACGCGTCGTTTATGCTTCTCCTCATGGCCGTTAGACAAGGATTGAGTCTGATTCCGTCGCTGGCCTTGGATTGGCATGTAACAGGGTACGTCATCAGGCATCAGCTCCTGAGGTGGTGTCGGCAAGGCGTAAGTTGGACTTATTGTACTGCTCGAGCTACTTGAGGTGTTCCGATGTGCGTTATAAGTGGGATCGATGATAGTCGCGACATTAGCCACTTCTCTCACACCGTCGACCGGAGGATCATCTAACGTTTGGATTTCCTCTGGGTCCGAGTATTGAGGGTAATTTGAGTTATGCTGACGAACACGACTTTTGACCGGCGGAGTCCTTAAGTCCAACCTATCCGGTCTCTGTGGTCGTTCTGTTAGATTCTGCTCGTCTAACTGTTGCTGTTGACGTTCGCGTTCTAACTTTTTTTGCCTTGCTCTCTCTCGTGCTTTACGTGCCTTGGCACGCTCTTTCTCTTGCAGCATTCGCGCCAGCTCGGCATCCTGCGCTTCCATTGCTAGTTTTTGATCTAGCATTAATTGATCATCCACTGGGCCGTCATGATTATCTTCCTCCTCTTCTTGTTGCAGCTTCCTCGCCAGTTCCTATTGTATAAAATGAAATCTATTTTCAATATGTATATGAATTTCCTACTTGAACACATAGTTATTTGTGCTATAGATATAAAAAATAATAACTGCTTTTGTTAATCCATTTTCTCTTAATCATTTACACACTGCTAATATAACAAATATATTTCACAACACACCTCATCTTTTTCTTCCTGCACACGCTTTTCGATCTCTTGTTGCATAGCTTCATCCCCAAGCCTTAGTTGTAATCTCATCAACTCTTGCAGCTCGCGCTCTTTCTGTCTTTCTTCTCGTTCTAAGGAAAGTGCGATTTGTCTGGCGACAAGTGCGTCTCTCTCTTCTCTTTAGTGGAAAGAAAAAAAATATATTTTAAAATATTCTATTGCCTTCTATATATTAAGCAGAATAAAAATAATGTTACTAACTGTTGTTGAACATAGTTTTGATATCTCAAAGCTTCCAATTCTTGCTCTACTTTAGCTCGTGGCAAATCTTCTCTCACCTGTGCATTACGTACTTTGTTACCAGTATAATGTTCCTTAACTGTGAATTGTAATAAAAAATCATAGATTAACATTAATTGTGCAAATATCAATAATATATATTGTATGTATAAAGTTGTTACCAGATTTTTTCTAACATTTTCTTTATATGTATCTATTACCATACTATATATATAAAAATACATTTTGTATAATAAAATTTAGTTTAATATATATCTGCGATTATTTATGGCTCATAAGTTATTTATAACTTATTTTTCATTTTTCAACTGCCAAATTTTTAAATTTGATAAATTTGTTATCACGTTATTATGCTTGCGCTGTCATGGGCGATCGAACATCTTGAGACGCTCCTGGATTCTAGCATTCTCTGTACATACACAAGAAATATAACATATGTGTGCGATTTTTTCATACTTTCTTCGTCTTGAAGTCGATAGGCCAACGCTCCATCCTCGTGCACCAACCATTCACGACACACTATAACAACATCGCGACAAGTACGGTAATTAGTATTAGGAATGCCAATGCAATGACTAATCATGCACTGTCGTAACAGGTCTGTTCATATCTGGTTACACTCGTTTTATACTTAAAACAAAGCAAAGATACACTTGTGCTTTATTGCGACGAAGTAAAAGTAAAACAATAAAGTAAAGATGTTTCGTATATCTTATCAAAAATATGTATCAGCATTTCAAATTCCTGAAGAATATTGCTTGTAGTAAATGTAGTAACAAATTAGTGTAACTTCAAACAAACTTGTTAGGATTCGACTTCATCAATTTGAAATTATGTTTTTATATTTTTTTAATAATATATATCGATAGATATATATCGTAAATATAACATACCAAACTGCTACATGCGTGTGTGTTATTCATAAAACGAACAGACCTTATGACAGAAGGCGTCCTTATGATGAAAAGAAAAAGAAGCGATATCCTACCCTCGTTAACGCGACCTGCCTTTGGTAACGTGTCCGAACTCAGCACGGATTTCGCCATTGCGCGTTCCAACTTCGAGTTCACGTCAAAACCAGTAGGATCATCGATGCTATTCGATCTGTATTTACAACCACCTTGCACGAGAGCAGTCACGACGTTGTTTTCTCTCCATCTTGGAACGGCAAGCTGCCAAGCGAATGAATAACGTGCGACTACGTTCACACGCGACACACACACACACATACACACATATATATACCCATGCATAGCTGTGTTATCCAGAGTACTCTTGTCAGGGCCGGCTGTGAAAGGAAAGCCCCCCTTTGGAATGAGACTTGTAAGATTTTTTTTAAATCTTAGAAAAATATGCAATCAATTGAGCAATATTAAAAAGGAGAGAAATAAAGTTACGATTCGATTTTATCAATTTGGAATTATGCTTTATGTGATATTTTTACGTGATATATTTACGTGATATTTTTTTAATAAGAAACATATACTGATAGCATACAAAACTGCTACATGTTATGCTAAATAGATGCTACAAGTATGCCAAATAGATTTATACGTGACAAAAATGTAAGAATGTACAATAATTCATTGTTTATTTATATACACACATACATACACACACGCTTCTATTTATTTAAATAATAGGTGATTCGTAGTGCGTTACTGCATAAAGCACTATTTATATTATATTCTGGCCATTGTTTCATGTATATATAGACAAATTGTAATACAATATCTCATATCGTACCCGTAATAATGTGGTAACGTAGCTCATTGCAATTCATAGTAAATTGTCGTGGATAATACCGTGAAAGTGGCACGTTAGCGGAATGGATAGTAGAATCGCGTAGTAACGGTGATAGTATATTTCGCGTATGAATGGATGTGGAGCACGCGCGCATCCGATGAAAGGCGAGCGTGGTGAAAGGGGTGAAACGAGGGCGGCTGAGGAGAAAGGAACCCGTCTGCCGGGGTCAATGATATCTTAGCCCATATCGATCGAATTCGAATCAGTAGAAAAGCGAAATATCTCTCCATAAGAAGAGATGGGTGAACTAACATAAAGCAGGAATATCAAGTTTTCCGATATTTACGTTTTATGTACAATATATGTACAACATTTATCTAATTATATTGATTTATAGCATGTGCATGAGTAGTAAATATATAATATACGAGTAATATATTAGTTATTTACGAAATATCTATGTTATTAGCAACATATTTGAATGTTTCTTGTTGAAACCCATTCTGTTTGCCTGCGCCGGATCCCGCCAAAACTCGCGTCTATAATTAATTTGTACGTTATTGCATTCCATACTGCGCCGTTGCACATGCGCAGAGAATCGTCTTATATATCGGTCAGTCATTGCGATGTTTTGAAAACATTAAACTTTCCAATTTTCATAACTGTTTCTTCTCAAACCATTGGATCTATTATTAATTGATATAAATAATAAGCTATATTAATTTAAACTTATCTGATTATGTTAAACTTAATCTAAACGCTTGACATATCTGCTACAACTGTTGAATCTGTGTTACACCCTCTTTTCTTTTATGATAATTACTTCCTTGGAAATGTATTTTATGCATAGTAAGAACTGGTTCATATCAATGAAAGCACTTTATATGTTACCACTGGGTCGTTTTTTTGAAATATTTGATACGTAATTGACATATTTCAAGAGTAATTTATAATAATGCATGTTACGTTTATAGTATAACGTCGCTACGTGACGTAATAAGAATAATATTGTATTATGTTATCTTTGAAATATGAAAGTATTTATGAGTTTTATTAAGGAGCATACTTTTTACATATTTTAATTTCTATTTTTAATATTTTTCATATTGTAATAAGAAACATAAATAAGTGATCTAATAATTGAGGTTGATTTTTTTTTAGTTTCACTAACACTCTTTGAAATGTTATAGAAAATACTAACGCAACAACTAGTTAATTTATCAAAATTTATACTTATGGATATTGTTCATGATGTTCTTATATTATTTATGATAATCTTATATTTAAATGTGATTGCATCAATATTTCATAAACTAATACCTAATAACAAGTTGAAGCAAAAGAATAAGGAACTGCTGTAATAAAGAATATATTATTGTAATAAAAAACTTGTACATATATATATATATATATATATATATATATAATAAGTGTATATATATATATGTATGGGGACAATTTTTTCTTCCCATGTCAAGAATAATTCTTTTATGCTTTTATATTTTTTTTACGATGTTAAAGATTTGTAAAAATGTGCGCATATATATGGTTTATATGTAAATTATCTTACAAATTTTTAACAAAAATTATATATATATATATATACATGGGTGAGAAAAATTTCAAAAAAATTTTACAAAAATCACGTTTATATGAATAACCCACATATTTATTTTTGTGTTAATATAAGTATTACAGTTTCCTTTTTATAGTAATGTTGCAATGCTAAATGTATAATGAAGATATACTATTCAAAAGTCTCATAATACTCTGAGATAATTTAATCAGTTGCCGTGTATGATGATGCTAGGGCGGATAATGTATCTGGTCTCGATATTTTCTACACGACCACTTTTGCTATTCTCTGTGCAATTTCTGTATAGGTATTTCGGTTTAATAATCTACATTGCACAGCGAACGGTAAAGTCCACATTAATATTTTATATTTAGCGCTAAAGGTGGCACTAAATAGAAATGTGGGCTAGAGTTCAAAAAAATACGTAGGGCATATAGGTGCATATGTGCATTAATTTTCGTTATGTTAGTTATAAAAATAAAAACTTAAGACTTCTAAGGTATTTTGTAGTATAAATTTGCGGCTAGCTCGCTTATATTATACATGCGTTAGCTTATTTGTTATATAATGTATATGTTCATATACATACATGCATATAACATATACGTATATATTATACGTGTATACATGTGTGTAACTCCGATATAAGCTCGATTTTGGCTTTATTACGTATTTTCAGCCTGTGGGTATACCGAAACGTGTTTTATATTGAATACACTGAAAAGCATCTCTCCCTTTCTTATTCTCTTGACCAGGTACATTATCTTGATTAGTCGCGACGCAAATCTATAACCATTATATCACTATCGCAATTAATTAAAATAAATGGCGAATTCGATTTTTCGGCTGTTGCCGGAATAAAGAAGTAGCTTTATAACAATTATTTTTTCGTTTTATATATCAGTTATTTTGTTTCTTACTTATTATTTACTGAAGACATAAAGATGTACAGAAATAATTAAATCTGTCATTTTAATGTATTATTTTGCTAATGATCATCTTTGAATTATTTTTAAAAATCTCATGATCTTTGAAACATCTGATAAATTTTAATAATCGCCGATGGGGTGGTTCAACAAAATTCTTAGACTTCATGTATGTATGTATATGTGTATATATATATATCCACTTACATACATATGTTTCCCTTATCGACTTTTTGTGCAATTATATTATAACAGTATATATATAATTGCAAGTTACCGATACTTACCTATTATAGATCTGAAGTTTTATAATGCCTGTATATATAGTATTACAATATACAGGGTGATTCCTAGAAAAGATAGAATAATAAATAATACAGATAGTTATTCATACAATATTATAATTGTATAGAATTTTATAATTAAAATTTAGCTAAATATTTATCGATGGTTTTTTTTCTTCATTTTCCATCTTTCCAGAATCACTCTGTATATAATACCTTTTGCATGCATGCTCACTTATTCAGTTACATAAATAATATTAATATTTTGTTATTTCCTAGATACCTGAGTGTATCTCTTTTTCTCTCAAAATTAACATTAATATAGAATTTTAATGTAAATATTAAATAAATCAAAGCTCTTTATGACGTTAGAAACATAATTTTATGTTCAAATTCAGCCGATTATACGCCTTTTACAATTTTATTGAACAAAAAAAAAACACAAAGGATTATAATTGTAGAATATGAAAATTTGTTTGGATTATTACATATAGCTAACAATTTATATTCAAATCATAGATCTTTTAATTATTCCATTTCTATGCTTAACTGAGAACTCTATTATATATAAAATTAAATTAAAATAATTATCTCTCTCTCTCTCTCTCTCTCTCTCTCTTTCTCTCTCTCAATAGAGAGACATATAACGCAAACAGCTGGAAGACATTTTGAAGATCTTTGACTTCTTATGAAGTACGATTCTATTTTAGAACTGTGGCAAGAACATTGAATTTTGCTTTTTAACAACATAATTTAAGATGAAGTTTTATGTAAACTTAATGAAAAATGTTTTAATACACTTTGAATAAAATATTTTGAAATAATATATAAATTTAAAGACATTAATGCTTTAAGATATAATATCCGTTTGTCATGAATTATTAAATACCCATACAGCACAAAAGTTGCAGCAACATTGCTGCAATATTGTAATGTTACAGCAACGTTGCAGCAATATTGCTGCAACTTTTGTGCTATATGGGTATTTAAGAATAAGCTGGTATAAAATTTGTTAGGCGTCTTGAAAAAATTGGTGATATTTTTTACTTTGTTTAAAGTAAATGAGAAATTAAGTAAGCACGAATGCACCGAATATTTCATACTGTCATCTGTTAGCAGTCGACTTTGTGTACTTGGCGTCGCAACGCTTACGCATCGTTTGAGAGATATATATTCTCTGTAGTTTGTATTATCTGTATTTTGTATTACAAATCTTGGATATAACACTACGCATAATAATTTCTTGTCAATCTGTTACTTTATATGAACACGCGTTGTGCGAATGAAAAGTTAGTTTAACAAAGAAAGAAAAGAAAGAAATTAATACAGTCACCAATATTTCAGAAATAAATCTTTTCGTACATAACTATTTATACATTATACAAATCTTCCTTTACAAATTTCCTTTTCTTTTTTAAGAAATAAAGAACTAAAATACTATGTTACTTCCGAACGTTGCAGTTTCGGGAGTAATGTAGAATATGGAGAAATATGTCGCCTCAGACGATAACATACTATGTTCACATTTTAAATTTGCAGCAATATTATACTGGTACAATGTCCTAGAATGTAGTGCCGCGCACCACTCCAGGTTCGCTCGTTAGAATTTTGCATTCTCGAGGTTTGAAAATAATGCACTTTTAATGCATGTTACATATATTGGAAGTAAACATAAGCTGTATATCGGGCGGTCAACAATGAACTCGGTTCGTCGCTAATGACTTTTCACTTGGAAATTTGCTACGACACATTCGAGTTGCAGCAATGTTATATATAATGAAATTAATTGAAAAAGAGACACAAATACACTGAACGTAGATGTAACGAAATGTCAGTACACTATCTGTACAAATACATTTTACGCAGATCAGCATAATAGCCCAAACGCATAAAGTTACATCATTTTAGAGTGCAGCATGGGTTTCTTATGAGAAACTCTAGAACGATATAACTTCCTGTATTAAGGCTATCATATCATTCTACGTACAAAGAATCCCTAATTCCTATGTGTTACAATGTATAGTATTAGGATAGCACGAAATTTGCTAACGAAATATCGTTGTGATGTGATGAAAATTTACGATAAGTACCAGCATGCTATTAATGAAAAGAAAGAACATTTTGTTAACTTGTATTTATGTTCATTAAGTATTTTCTCTTAAATACAGATAATCTAATTGTTCATAAAATTCGCATATATGAACATACTTGGTGATAAAACGAAAACTTATAATAACATAAGCACAAAGCAAATGAAAAAAGTTTACATGCGTTTTCTAACGACAAAATATTGAACAGTATCATTCATATCAAAATGACCTTGATCACGTTGACTCGTTAAAAAGTCTATTATGATTATTATAATTTTTTTTACTTAACAATCCATTTCCTTTCTTATCTATCAATAAAGGCGCAAAAGTGAACCTATATGTTTGTTCAAAAAATGAGTGTCGATTTAGTTCAAACGAGTCCAATGATTGAAATGCGACATTGGGACGCCTCAACTTTGGAAGTTGTAACATGTTAACATAATTCAGCATCTTAACCGTAAAGTAATTAGTCTCTAATCGTTAATGATATACATAGTAGTTAATTCAATTTAATAATATATGTATCAATGGATTTCATCCTGGAGTGGTGCGGGCAGATGCGCGGCCGAGCAGTGGCTCTCTTAAATCATCTTATTGTGTCACATTCCTCCTGACTAATCGTATGTGAAAGTAATATTGAACAGTACCTTGCACTTGTCACTCAGTTTGAGCGCAAGCACGTGTCTTCCATCGCTGCGCCGTGCAATATGTGCGTGCGTGAACACAGGAACCGAGTTGTCTGTACGTGTGCAGAGTTTGATGTGTGTATATGTGTAAACAATGGAAGCGTACGCGCGGGATTTCTTAATCTTTTTTTCTCGCTTTGCATAATTACATATTGATATTTTACTTCTTGTGAATTTCTGTCTACCTCTCCTATAGTACAGGCTGCCCTAAATTTCTCTTACTTTTCCCTTCCCTTCATACAAGATCAAAAGATGAATTTGTGCTTCGAGTTAACATCGCGCGAGTATAGAGAAGTTATTTAAATTATTCCAATCGAGAAAAAAACAAATTAATTTTATATTCGAACCGAGATGTGTAAAAATCAGTTAACAATAAAAAAGAGGAAAACGGACGTTTTGAATTATGTTATGTACATGTTTCTGTAGATGCCTACGGATAGTTCATTATATAATACACGTGTAGACTTCATTTGCTTTTTTTACTTTGAGAATGGGAACTATGCGCGTATATCGTCGGAATGACAAGGCCATGTTTTTCTTTTGTTATCAAAGATGTTATATATAAAATATTTATTCCCTTTGATTCATTGAGCAGTGGCAATCAGCACATCTTATTAATTCATTTGTTTTGCTACGAAAATATAAAAGTATGTACAATTCAATAAATTAATCCCTGCTTAGAGCATGGAGATACTATGTTGTTTCGCTATACAGTACTTGAAAAATAATTCAAAATCAACTACAGGAAAATTCTTAATAAAACTATGAAGATTGATCGGCATCTCGTACAGATGGCAATAATGGAATTCATTGAAATATGTGTATAGATATGCTTATATACATATCGATATAATTTATATATATACATATATATATCTATGTATATATAATTCTATACTATTGATGTGAAGAAATATAGAGAAAAAAAAAAAAAAAAACAAAAAAAAAGTATAAAGAAGCGAATTGAGATAATTTCGATTAAAAATTAAATGTTTCTTCGTATATATACATCTACACGGATTAAAAGGGTCCTGTGTTCACTATCACAGCAATTATTTAAGCAGCAGATTTCAATTAGGAAGAAATCTTGATTGAGATTGACTTACATTCAAGGATTCGACAATCGAAAATTCTGACGATTGAAAGATACTTAAAACAACTCACTGGACCCAACGGCTCCCCCACCACTCCAGAGTGCAATAATCTGTGTCCGTATAACCGATTTTTTTCACTGCTCTCTCTTTCCCCTCTCCCTCTTTTTCATACACACGCTCTTTTGTTGCAATGTCTCTATGTACATCGTATCGATTTAAACGATATTTTACACGAATCTGCCTGAAGATTCTTTATATTTTACTTTGGTAATTTTTTTTTCAATATCAATTTTCTTATCCGTTTTTTTTTACTCTTCTTTCCCTTATAATGAATCCGCCTGCTGTTCCATTGTTTGCTCACTATGATTTTCACTGTCGTGCCCTATTTGTTCGATCTGCACCGCACTTAGCTGCGCTGAATCCTCAGCTGGAATGAGTGTTCCATATTCACATTGTCTCTCTTCATCCTGCTGCTTTAAGGCCAAATCGTCGCTGGAGAAGCGATCCGCGCCAATTTCATAAAGATTGGCCTCCTGAACGCAGTCATTCCCATAGCTATGACCACCGGCAGCTTCACTGTCTTGCTCGCCGATCTGTACGTTAGTTAGCTCATTCTCTCTGTCACTTTGCATCACCATATCTTGCTCCTGAGTCATCGCCGACTCGTCCTCTTGCATCTGCATCGGATGACTTGGTTGATCGACAGTAGCTATGGACGGAGCTTCGTGATCAAAATTGTCTTTCGTCCCGAGCTCCTCGCCATGGTCTGAAGTTTCCTTCATTTTGCTCTCAGCTTCCTCCGACGGCAATATTTCATCCACGTCCGCGTCTGTCAGCGGCGGACTAACGTTTCCCCATCTGGATTTGCGGTTCCGATTGCGATTTTCACGCTCGGATATGTTTTTGTAATCTTGGTGCTGCTTCGTAAGCAGCTTCTGCTTGTCCCTTGGTAAATGATTCTCCCGCTGTCCGTGAATTGCGTCGGGTCCACCTTCCTGCCCAGACCATGACGTGGATGGCCCTCCACCTTCTTGATTTCTCCATGGCCCGTCGGGACCATGCATGGCTGGTGGACCCATTGGACCGAATGGTGGTCGCAGATGCGGACCTGGACGGCCACGCATATCGTCGAATGGTGGTCGGAAGAAGGAGTCTGCTTCTCTAGGATCGAACGGCGGACCTCGTGGTGCAAACGGCGGTCTCATTCCAGGCCTCATACCTCTAGGACCCATACCACGTGGATGAAACATTAATGGACCTGCAAGAAACGCGGCATGGTGACACTCGCGCGAAACACAGATGTAATTGAGACAGTGATTGATAAAGCAGATTGTTCGTGCGTTATGTCACATTTTATCCAAGCTGAAATATCCAGATTTCCAACTTCAGCATCAAAAATTTGATATTTCTTCAATATAAATATTATGAATGTCCTCGAGTATTTTAATTAGTTTTTAGAAGCAAATGATTTAATTTGCATATATAAAGATTATAAATATACATGCAATAAGTTTTTAAGAAATATATAAGAGAGAGAAACAGACAGACAGACAGACAGACAGACAGACAGACAGACAGACAGACAGAGAGAGAGAGAGAGAGAGAGAGGGGGGGGGGAAGAGAGAGAGAAAGAGAGTACAAGCACACTTATGTGTGCATGTGCAATACATCTAAACGAATAGAGAATATTTCATATTTCATAAATATTATACATACTAAAAGCTGTTATCTGTTGCAAATATATATATAGAATAATAAAAATGCAGATTTTTTCTAATATATTCTAATAAATTGAACGTTAAAATTTTTAAAGCACAATATTCACTAAAAATTTTTTTAAATTATGCACAATTAAAAGTTCACCTATATCTCACACAATATTTTCGCTACAAAAATGACTTCTATTTTACATACGAAGAAAATAATAGCAGGTATTGAATCACGTATAAACACGTATAAACTTTTTAAAGATGTATGTCGTAAAATACATACACGCTCACATGCAAAACAATTACAAGAGAAAATAATGAAAGTCTTACCAGGCCCTCTAGCTCCACGTGGTCCGAACCCATCAGGACCAACTGGTACTCTCGGCCCCTTCGGACCCATCATTGGCATTCCGAATACAGGTTCTATCGGACCGAAGAACTCTCGCCTGCGTGGGTCAAAGTCAGAGCGCTCGTTGTGACCTCTGGGATCGTAGCCGTCCTGTATCCGCGGATCGAAGTTGTCGCGTCTCATGTCGTACTCGTAACGTTCGCGCTCGTACTCGTCCACGGGCGGACGACGACCGCGCACTTCCGCACGGTCAAATTCTTCTCTGGCTGGACCGAGTCTAGGCGGGAAAGGTTCATCGGCACGTGGTCCGTTGTGGCCTACTAGCCTGCCACCTTCGAAATCTTCCGGGAACATACCGGGTTGCATCCTGGGATCAATAAAATCGTCCATTTGAGAGTTCCTGAGCCCGCCGCCGCGGGATGGGAAATTCTGACGGTCGCGATCGGTGAGACCGCCCCGCTGTTGGAAATCTCGCGGCTCCTGAAGTGCACCTCCGAAAGCACCCGGGCCACGCGGAAAGTCCGTCCGATCTGGGAGTACCGCATTGAACTTGGGAAGATCCATCAGCGCGATCGGCATGTCGCTAGGTCGTCGTCCTCCACCTCCTCCTCCTCCTCCTGCTCCTGCAGCTGCTGCACCACCAGGACTCTCTTCGAAAGTCCTGTCGTTTCGGTCATTATTACGTTCAGTACGATTGCCACGAATATTCCTATCCATACGGTCATCCAATGGCAACGTGCCATCCGCCAACTGTCGTAGTCGATCGGCTAAACTAGGCTTCCCTTCTTTCTTCGCCAGACCTTCACCGCCTTCCGGAATACTTTGATTTTGTGCACCAAGCGCCTCCGAATGTCTTGGAGCATTAGTCTCTCTGTTGTCCCTGGGGGCTTCTCGATTTTCTCTATCTCCGCGTCTCTCGTCTCTTTCTCGGTCACCACGACTATCACGATTGTCTCTTCGTCGATCTCGACCGCGATCGCGTCCTCTCCCCCTGTCCCTGCTACGATCCATTCGGCACTCGCTCATATCCATACGATCGCCACGATCTCGCTCGTTCCGATCTCTTCTCTCCCTATTCTCCCTATCACGTTGGTCTCGTTGGTCTTTGTATTCGCGAGCCTGATCGTTTTCCAAGCGGATCTCAGCGATAAGCTGATCGCTAAGATTCGGCTTGTCCTTAGGCACGTTGCTGCTCAGACTTTGCGGCATCGCGTCTTCCATCTCAACGTCCATGTCGTCTGAGTGATGTTGCTGCTGAGGTAGTTGCATCTGCATTGGCGGCACTGGACCCACCCCATATGGCTGCCGCAACATCGGCAAGTTCGGCATACTCGTCTCTGTCGTGGGCGGTGGCACGCCAATTGGTGGAACATTGTGCGGCATACCTGCAACATTCATAATTCCATCTCTGAATAAGTGAAATAACTATTAAATGGTAAGACACACAGGAAATGAATAGCAAGACTTCTTTCATTATTTTGCATCATAGAGAACTGAGTAGTGCAAATGAAAAATTTTTTCCCTTAACTTTTGAAGGTCATATTAAGATCATTTTGCCTTTTCTTTTTTTAATAGAGCATTATATAATAATTATATAATGATAATTATTATTAAGTTATATATTCTACCAATGAGATATTATCTTTACTAAAGAACTATACATACCAGTGGAGTTCGGCTTATCTGAAGGTGCAGCAGGTGCAGGTAGTGGAATCTGTGTTAATAAACCTACACCGACACCTGCACCAAATGGCGGATTTACCGGGGGTGTCAGCATCGTCTGCATCATACTAGGTGGCCCCAATAGACTTTGCATGTTAGGTGGTGGAACTCCGATCGGGACATTCGACATTAATCCATGCGTCATCTGTATGCCCATGTGGCTAATTACTCCTGTATAAAATTCACGATGTTTAACAACTGCAAACATTACAACCTATATCTATATATGTGTGAATCCTAATAAATCAAATATTCTTCACCTATTATTATATGTTTGAATACAGAAGTTCTTACAGACCTTTTACCATAATTTATACTTAAAATTGTATCATGTAAGATATGTTTACAATCTTATCCTCGAGTATTTTTATACAACATGCACATAACCAAAGTGCGAAAGAACAATTCATAATTATTCTCAAGATAGTGATGAAAGCAAACTATAAGAAGTTATAGTGATAAGTGACGTAAACTCACGTGGTACTCCGGGCATTGTAAATGCCGGTGGCATCATTTGTAACTGCGTATTTGGAGGAGGCAACAATGCAGCCGAGGTGGGCGGTCTGATTGGCGGTGGTTGACTGGTATCGATCAATTGCTGCTGCTGCTGCTGCTGTTGTTGCTGCTGCTGCTGCGAATTGGCCGACGATTGCATGACGTTCACGATACCATCCGTTAAGGTAGGGATAGGAGCACCGGCATTCGCAGCAGCAACCATCGCTTGTTGCTGCAATTGCAATTGTTGCAGTTGCTGTATATCCGCACTTGTACCACCAGCATGCTTCAGTTTTCCTATAACACAAAAAAATTTTGTTCGATAGATGTATATTCTTTTAGTCAAACTATATTCAACTTTTACACCGATATTTTACGATCTGTTTATTTACATGTGTATATTAAAATGAAAGAGACATACCTTTTAAACTGGGTGGTAATGTATCTTCGTCTATCATGCCACCTTCCTCTAATAATTCTAGTTCTTGATCGGTAATGTTGGTTAATTTATTCCAGGGAATATAACTGACGCCTAGCTCTACTTCCCAGTAATCCTTCCATTCCTTGCCTTTAACGCCTTTGCCAGGTGCCCACGCTAACTGTAATTAAAAAATATATTAAATGCGACATGCTAATTATTGTAAACCAACAAATTGTTGTGGAAACGAATGAAAATATATTTAATGAGAATAATTGTATAATTCAATGTATAATTTAAAACATAACTTTACGCAATTAAATTTGTATAGATTGTTCTGTAAAAGCATTTGATATGTTTTTAATAAGTTCTTTTAATATTTGTTTATCTAACTATGAATTAGAAACAAAAAATACGTTCATTATATTTCAGTATAAAAAATATTACATATATATATATCAATACATATAATCATTACTTACTGTAATAGCTTTCCCTTGCATTTTATGGTTTTTCAATTTTGTAAGTGCTCGGTATGCATCTTGTCTTCTATTCATACATATGAAAGCACAACCTCTCGGCGGAATTAAATCAATGCTAACAATATCGCCAAATTCTCCGAATGTGTCAGACAATTCTTCCTGATGCACGAGTTTCGATAAATGTCCCACCCAAAGTGTGGTACTGCAAACTGCAAAACCAGAAGTTCAATTTTTATTATTTCTTACATAAAATAAGATATGTATCTAAAATTCTGCTTCGTATCTCAGACCACGTACCACTTAATTTATCTCGAACTATTGGTGGTAAACCACGTTTGCGTCGTTCTCTCTCTTTCTCTCGTTCTTCTTCCGTCATTTTCTCCCGACTATCGTCACGTTTCCTATCACGACCTCGGTCTCTTGAGCGAGATCTATAACGTATATATTTGTAAAATGTGTAAATTAACAAGTTGACAACATGAATAATTCATCCAACAATCATTTTGCCGCATTAATATTCCTCAAATTACGATTACAAATAGGATGGAAATAATCAATTCGGTTCAGAACGGAAGGTCAAGAGATATTTACCTTCTTCGTCGCGATCTGCTCCTAGAGCGAGATTTTCTATCTCTATCACGATCTCTATCTCTGTCTCGGTGTCGTGGGGATCTAGATCGACTGTGATGTCGGTATCGTTCAGGCGATCTACTTTGCGAACTCGTGTTCTCGCAATTAACAATTTCTACACTGCTACTATCACGTCTGGCACCATTTCTATAAAAGAAGAAAATGTTAAGAAGGAATAAAGCTTTGTGATTAGATATATTATGACGAGTAGTTTACCCAGAGTAATCTTGTGTTTCTTGACGTTCGTCCAGCAAAGGACTTTTTTGATTTTGATGCGTAGACTGATTGATCTGCCTAATACTCGATAACGATTGTGAAGTATATGGCAGAGCTGGCGGATAACCAGGTGGTGGCTGGCTCATGTCTTGTATCACATTACTATTCACATTTGGTGTATAATTTTGCGCATTTGGTTTCAGAATGTCAGAAGGTTTTAACTCGCACTCAGATGCAAATGGAAGGGTCTGAAACAAGAAAAAGAAACAAAGCCGTAAATCGTGCAAAAGGGCTATTAAGAAAAATTCATATTAAATATATAACATACAGAAACAGTTTGTGCTAAATGCTTATCGAACTCTTCTTCTTGTTGCTTCATTTGTTGAAGTTTACGCTTCTTCTCCTCCATCTCGTGTTGAGAGGAGGAAGCCGTTACGTTGCTTTGCATACTTTGTTGTATGGTCTGCAGTTGTCTGAGAACCTGGAAATAACAGACGTTATACATACAGTGATAACATTGAAGTTTACTATCACTATTATCTAATCTGTAGTATTTAGTAAATACCTCGGGATTTGCAAGTAACAATCCTAGACTTTCTAAACTGTTATTCGTCGATACTGCATTATGTTGAGTGTTCGTCGAAGTGGCCGCGTTTGGGGAATTCGTCACAACGACATCGTCATCTTCTTCCTCACCATAGTCGAAGTCTAACAGTTTCTTATCAAACTTGACAGAACTCTTTGGTTCGTTAGCCTCTTGCTTCTTCATGATTAATTCTTGCAAATGTTGCAACTGATCGATAAAAGAGGCATCCACCTGGCTGGGGTTAGACTGACCCTATGCAAAAGGAAAATATAAAATTGGACAAATCTTTTATCATATTCAACATAATACAAATATATATGAAATAATCTTACCAAGAGTTTATTTGCGTTAACTAAATTGGCTGCTTCCATTTTTGTTTGTGCAAGCCATACAGGATCAATCGTTTTTCCAGGAGGAAATAGTTTTGGATCCTTCACAGCATTTTTAATTGCAGACGGAGGTGTCTTAGAAACTGCACTTACATTACTTATATTATTTCCAGCTGACGTATTTAATGTACCTAATAAAATAGATAATTAAGGAATTAAAACTATTTGCGCAGTACAATATTTGAAAATCTTTTGTACTCAATTCTATTCTACTGATATGTTATATTTAATACTTCATACCATTGCTATTTACTGGCTGTTCTTTATGTATTGGGTGGTTTGGATCTGCTAGATCAAAAAGTGGTTGAATAACTTCTGGTGGAAAAACTGCATTCTTTTGCCATAAATTCAGTACACGTATAACTTTGCTTTTATCTTCCTGTGGACATTTTAAAAGATTGAGAAAGGTATTTTGCATATTCTTTGCAAACCTTGGAGCAAATACATCTTTCTCCATTCCAAACTGATGTCTGGATTGTCTAACAATTGAGTCAATAACATACAATCCTGGTACTTTGTATTCAGGCTTGCACTAAAAGAAAAAATAGAATATATTTATTAAATATAGTGTATATATCATAATTATATCAATTTAACAAGACCATAATTTAAATATATTTACTTTCTGAATGAATTTTTCCACGCTTTGTACAACATGTTTATAGAATTTTATTGCTTTGATAGCTCCCCGTGTAAGTGAATTCATCTTGGCTTTCGAGATAGGTGGTTTAACATCATAAAGAGCTGAAAGCTATAATAAAATAACAATTAATATATTTTCTTGATAAACCATATATATATATATATATACATATATATATATACATATATATATATAAGTTCGAAATAAGAGGCATTATTTTTATAATCATCCTTTGTATTTTCTTCTCTAATATACAATCCTAATATAGAAGATACAATATGCATTCCAACAATGTAAGAATCAATGTATCGCTGCGCTTGCATTTAAGTTCCAGTGTATGCGTACAAGATGGTGCATGAGCCAAAACATTGTTTATACCTTATCTTTATAATATTCCAACTAAAGAATACAAATAAATAGGTTCGACGACTACAATTGTTCATTTAAGTGCCCTATGAAAACATGCTACATAAAATTGCAAGGGGCGTTCGGATCGCAGCGAATCGCGATCTCCCTCTTTCCCCTGGTCTTTGGCGAAGAAAGTTCGTCGAAAAGATACGTTCCGGACAAGCGAGATCTAAGACCGTGCGGTTTCTTTTAAAGGCGAATTGATTTCAAGTAAGGTGAAGCGGTATGAGTTGAGGTGGACGAAGGGGAACAGAAAGAGGGCTAGTTGCCCCTACGACGGTGACCTCTAAGACGTGCGCGTACAAGTGGAGGTTCCCTGGGGTAGTCACTTACCTCCGCATTGAATGCCTTCACCGCGTCCATTGCGGCTGAAGGAAAGTACTCGCGTACTTAAGATATCGTGAAGCTTCACGCGAGTACCGTCACAACACAATACCAACGTTTCATTCGTGGTGAAATTTGCATCTCTTCTTCAACACGCACTGTGTGGCCTATCCATACCATTCAAGATGGCAGATCCGTGATGATTCCCGACACGCATCGCGGGGCGGCCTATGAGTGACGTCACACCTGTCGTTCAAACGGTCGGTAACGCGGTTCATATCCTCCTTCCGTGAGATAATCAGAAGGAACGAACGATGATCGAAGGGTCGATCTTTTGTGATTCACTTTTTGTTAAAAAAATATAAATATAAAACTTTTACTGTTATTTACTGTTGAAATATATATGAAATTATGGAAATAAAATGTATATATGTAGAAAGATTATCTACCTTGCAATAACGTAGTATATATGAGCTGAGAAATTATTAAGAATAGAACTTTAGGTTTAAATATTTCAAAGATAAATGTTTTATGGCTCCTGCACACAGGACGCGGAAACGCTTGCCGCGCGGTGGAAGTTGGAGCGATCGCCAATCAATGTCCTGCTTTCCTCAAGAGCTGGAAGTTTATTACAGAATAGCGGCACGTTGATTGGCTATCGTGCGAATTTCCGCCGCGCGGCAAGCGTTTCCGCGTCCTGTGTGCAGGAGCCATTAGAAAAATATAGAAGATTCTAGAATGTTCTGCCTTCTAGAATGTCTTGTGCTCTGGCCCTTACTCTTACAGCTAATGTAGACGAGCCTTTACAGCCTAAAGGCCTATCCAGACAAACTTGCATAAGCGCGTAACGCATATGCATAAGGAAATTGACTAATCGTATATTTAATACAAAAAATATTTTTTTACTACATGGATCATAATTGGTCAATTTCCTTATGCATATGCGTTACGCGCTTATGCAAGTTTGTCTGGATAGGCCTTTAGGGCCAGAGCACAGACTTCTGCATAACGCATAATACACAACGCATAAGAGAATCAACCAATCAGAGTTCTTCATTTCTGTCCTGAGGAGGGAAATGAAGAAAATTAATTGGTTTATTCTCTTAAGGCTCGTTTACAATAGCTGTAAGAGTAAGGCTGTAAGGCTGCAACGTAAGCTGTCAGCGAATGAAAATATTTCATTTCGTGTCTTGCAACCTTACAGCCTTACTCTTACAGCTAATGTAGACGAGCCTTTATGCGTTATGTATTATACGTTATGCAAAAGCCTGTGCTCTTGCTCTTAATCTTACAGCTAATGTAAACGAGCCTTTACTTCTAGAATGTTCTACAATGTTCTAGAAGATAAAAACAGAAGGCCGGTTCATTTTGTTTGCACTGCTGAACTGGTGTAACAAGTTGAAGTGAGAAAACCTACGTTTGTTTCACTTTAACTTAATGCACCAGTTCAGCGGTGCAGACAAAACGAACAGGCCCAGAGACAAATAAATCTGCTCTTTTTAGTTAACTTAGGTTGCATTTTATACGTTTGGAGTGAGAAAACCTATGTTTGTCTCATTTTAATTTAATGCATCAGTTCAGCAGTGCAGACAAAACGAACAGGCCTAATGCCATTAGGAAATATCTAGTAGGAGTAGCGACACTACCGAGTCCCTTCAGTAGTCACAAGCCTTTCTACAAGACTGATTGGTAGATGTCCTAAGCGTAAGCATTAGATTATTAAAACAATATTTTCCGAGTTGTATTTACTGAACAAAATAACGTATGTACATATGGTATCTTCCTATATTCTTCCGATACTCACAAATCAAACATTGAAAGGAAAAGGAGCTCATCCAGTGTAGCGTTAGTGCAGCTAAAAAGAACAAACTTAAGCCAGCGGCACACGGTGCTTGTTTTCGTACTGGATTGCTTGCTGGATGAAAATATTGCGTTGTGATTGGTACATTCCGAAGATGGATGGAAATGCACCAATCAGAACGCAGTATTTTCATCCAGCAAGCAATCCAGCACGAAAACAAGCACCGTGCTGATTGCTTGCTGGATGAAAATACTGCGTTCTGATTGGTATATTTTCGAAGATGGATGGAAATGCACCAATCAGAATGCAATATTTTCATCCAGTAAGCAATCCAGCACGAAAGCAAGCACTGTGTGCCACTGGCTTAAGATTGCGTTCCGATATTCACAGCTAGCACTGAAAATCTATAGTATATGTGACATAAAATATATATTTTCAGTACTGCCAGTGAATATCGGAACGCAGCCTAGCAGGCGCTTCGGAATAAAGCGTTGGCAAGTGTGCTTACTAACCAACGAGATTACAACGGGGGAGTACGTTTTATCGTGTGTCGCCATTCAGTACGTGGTGCACGTTATTGCATACGTATTGTAAGTTCGTTTCTCGTAAACGCCAACGATAATATAAAAGCCCCGCATACATAGTACAATATATTTGGTTCCTCATACATTTTCGTTTTTCGTCTCAAGAAACATGGAGGCTATGGCGTCGTCTGATTCGGACATCAATGTTACCTCTACCTCAACGGCAGATGAGAATGTTGAGCAAACTGGTGAGGATATCAAAAAGTAAGTTGTCTAGCAAAAACCATGTGGTCGTTCTTGAATTCGCACTCACTATAGATAAATTTAGGTGAAATAAGAAATTTGATTATATTAAGCAGATTATTGCATAAGACATTCTTTGGTGGAAATATCTTACAACCAGAGTTATATACACAAGAATGATATTGTGCACTATGTACCGAATATCAACATGTTACTGTGTTTATTAACCTTCTTACATCAATTTTCAAATTCACCATGCAAATAATGTCAGGATTTGTAAATAAGGATAAATAAAATAAGTTTCAGCTGACCTCATGATGATGATTCATTGTTGACTCAACAATTTATTTTCAAAATTAGCATCTTTATCAAATAATGTAATATATATAAATCAATAAATCAAATGTTGTTATATGTTTTGATTACCTTTTGTATAACTTGCTATTGTAATTTATATATTTATAGATTAGCAGATTCAAAAAAGGAAATTGCTAATCAATATTATTCTCTGAAGCAATATAAGAAGGCACTGGTTATGTATAATGAAGCCCTTTGTAAGTATTCTATACTATTACATAAGTTATTATAAGTGTTATATAAGTACATAAGTGTTATTTACTTAAACATTAAGGAAGAAATTAGAAAAAAAATAATGCTCATAATTTATAATTATAATACTAACAATTAATTACACTTGGAGATTTTTTATAGCAATAAGTTTTGTACTTATGTATATAATGAATAAAAAAATATTTTAGCGTTGTGTCCTGATGTGCCACGCTATTATGGAAATAGAGCTGCTTGTTACATGATGCTCAAACAATATAGAGATGCATTGGCAGATGCTAAAAAATGTATTCAATTAGAACCGAAATTTACCAAGGTATGTTTGTTATTTTTTACAACTATCAATTATCTTTTAATTTTCTTATTTAATTTTCAGGGATACATAAGGGTGATCAAGTGTTGCTTGGTTTTGGGTGACATTGTGGAAGCTGAAACAATGTTGCAAAAACTGCTAGAATTTGATCCTGATAACAAAGCGATAACAGGAGAACAAAAAGATTTAGCATATGTAAAAAAATATTTTGAAGATGCTAATACTGCATATAACGCCAAGGATTATCGTAAGGTAAATGATTCATTGTGATAATATTTTTTATCAGTGATTTATTATATATTACAATTACTACATCTGCCTTTAGGTTATATATTGCATGGATCGTTGTTGTGATGTAAGCACTTCTTGCACACATTTTAAACTAACCAAAGCTGAATGTCTAGCATTCTTAGGCAGATACCAAGAAGCTCAAGAAATTGCAAAGTAAGTCGGTTTGTTGTAAATGTTGACATGTATAATATAACATTTTAAAAACTGTATCCTTTCTCAGCGATACCTTGCATATTGATAAGAATAATGCTGATGCGATATATATTCGTGGAATGTGTTTATACTTTCAAGATGATGTTGACAAGGCTTTTGTCCATTTTCAACAAGTATTACGACTTGCGCCAGATCATGACAAAGCATTAGAAATATATAAAGTAGGTAATATAAGAAATTAAGAACCTTCATAATTTATACCACGTCATTTTATAGTATGAAATATTAATATCTTTTTTTACATTTTTTCTCTTTTGTAGCGAGCAAGATGTCTGAGAAAAAAAAAGGAAGAAGGCAATGCAGCATTTAAAATGAGACAGTATCAAGAAGCATATAATATTTATAATGAAGCCTTATCTATTGATCCACAGAATATTATGACTAATGCTAAATTGCATTTCAACAAGGCAACTGTAGCTGCTAAGGTATACCTTATACATGTGCATTATAAATAAACATTTATATTTATGTTTAAGATTGAACATATATAAATATTTATATGATAGATTTTCTTTAATTCTTTTTGTTAATTATAATATAATTGTATAATTGGTTATGTAATATGTGATAAAAAATGAATAATTATTTGATGTTTATATTTTTAGTTAGGACGACTAAAGGAATCAGTGACGGAATGTACTGAAGCTTTGAAACTTGATGAAAACTATTTAAAAGCTCTTCTCAGACGAGCAGCATCTTACATGGAACTCAAAGAATATGAAGAAGCAGTTCGGGATCTTGAACAAGCGTGTAAAATGGATAAGACTCGTGGTATGAATTCAATTTTCTTATTTTTTATCTTTCTTATTTACTCTGTTATTTCTTCTAATAAATCTATGAATTATTACAAAACTCCTCATAAAATCGAAAAAGCCAATAGAATATTAGAATAGGTTAGATGGTTTGATATGTTAATAGTATTAATTATTGAATATTTTTGTAGAAAACAAGCGATTACTCGCAGAAGCGAAATTAGCGTTGAAAAAATCTAAGAGGAAAGATTATTACAAGATTTTAGGTATCGATAAGAATGCATCTACTGATGACATCAAAAAAGCATATAGAAAACGTGCCATGGTTCATCATCCAGGTAAGGAACAAATCTAATAATTCGTTACTTCTATGAGTAATTTTAAGCATGTGTTTCTTAAAATTACGTTATATCTATTTTATAGATCGTCATGCTAATGCGACCGAAGGAGAAAAGAAAGAACAGGAGAAGAAATTTAAGGAAGTCGGAGAAGCTTATGGCATTCTTTCGGATCCTAAGAAACGATCTCGCTATGATCGTGGTCATGATATAGATGATAATGAAGGTTTCCAAGGTTAGTACTTGTATTTTTAAAATTTGTTTTACATACCAAATAATTAAGACATATGTATTCCACACACATACACACATACATTTCTTCACTATTAATATTTTTGTTTTTTTTTTTATAGACATAGATCCCAATGCCATGTTCCACACTTTCTTCCAACAAGGAAATTTCCAGTTTCAAGGAGATGGTTTTCCAGATGGTTTCTCTTTTCAGTTTGGTTAAAGACATTTCCAAAGAGGTTCATAAGACGTCGGTGTACCTAGCTATGTACATGATATACTGTCCTATTTTGTAAAGAATGCATCGAATTTTGTTGAGTTTTTATATTTACAATGTTTGCAAAGTAATGTCGTCATACGTTTATGTCTCATAAGTTGGATTATGAAACGGAGACATACATTGCAGCAGCTTTAATGGATATTTATTTAAGCATGACACATCATATAATTGTAAATAGGAAACTTAGAATTCCATTGAATTATGATATACGATAAATTTATTTAATGGGTTAAGATAAAACATTGGGGCCCTAATGCCAATGCGTAAGTGCAATTTGCAGACCCAAAACACATTCGTACTTGATGAAACTTTTATGAATATACAAAAAAGAGTAAGGACATTCCAATCTGTTGAAAAAATTTCGATGTTCTTCTCAATAAATCTCTATTTTAGATTTGCACAGATAACATATAAGATTAGATGTTGGACAACTTGTAATCATGTACGTTTCAAAAGCATGAGATGAGAATCTTGGCTTTTAGTTACCTCGGTATGTTCGCCAGAATTGCTAATATTTAGAAGTTCACAAAATCGAAGATTTATCTTGATTTCCTTACTGCAATGCAGTATACTTCGTGTATTGTTCGTACGATAACGTTTGTATTCTCTCAAACGTAATACCTATAAATACTGAGTTCTTCAGTTTTAGACCTATTTCCATATATCTCAGTAAGAGAGACCCTCGTGCGTTATAATAAAATAATTGATTGAAACTATATGTGAATTATAGCGATCCTTAAACGTTTGTCTTGCGATGAAACTCGCTTGACGCGTTTTCTTGAATTACTCATAATGATTCTAAGAATATATTATTCTCGTAGATTTTAGAATCCGCAATATATGTACTCATTCCACGTATCTTTCTACAAATATATAAATCCGAATACAAGTCTTTCCTATATTTAATTGTATAAATTGTTAACATATTAATTAACATTTAGAGGAAAAACTGAATATGTGAAATGGTGTGCCGCACTCTCACAGGCACTCACAGGGATACAGCGGCGTGACAACGAAAGACACGGACGACACTTCTTTCTGCGACCACGTGGTAGCTTCTTGCCGGAGCCGAGCAATTTCAACGGTCACTTATCTTCCTGTCCGAGAGCGCTCGTTCCTCGCTATCGGGAGTGGACGCGTAGAAAGACAAAGGTGAAGCAGAGCAGGGACAGAGGAGGAGGAGGAGGAGGGAGGAGGATACAAGGAGACGAAGAGAGACCGACCGCGCTTCGTGGTGATGGAAGAAAGAGCAGAGGTCGGGAGGGAAGTTTGGAGGTGACTCTCAGGCGTGGAAAGTTTCGAGCGTCAAGGCAATCCACTCGATCACTCTCTGGGGACACTGAGAAACCCTGGTTCCTCATATACTTGTACACATGCACGCGCACGCGTACGGCTACGTATTCATGTGCATTCGATCTGGCGGAATAATACTGAACCTCTGCACTTGACTTCGAGAAGGTGGATGTTTTGTGAGCAATAAAAAATTAACACTCGTTAGAAATAGCCAATTGTTTCTACCAAAATGTCCGAAAAGACTTGTTTATAATTCGTTTCAAATTTCTCTCAGGTCACTCTCAGGTCACGGGGTCTGACGAGCGTCGCATTAACATAATCACGTTTATGCGTTTTTGCTTTTCTTAACATTCGTAATCGTCGCGATAAAGAAGACTGGGATCATCATTCATACCGGTTATCTGAGAGAGAGAGAGAGAGAGAGAGAGAGAGAGAGAAATTTCCCTGACAAGACTCGTTGATTCGTCAGCGATATCCCGATATCGCTTTGTGACATCGCACGCTCGTAATCGTCGAACGATAGGAGCCAGATCCAAATGCACGATATCGGGCTCACGGTTCCCCAAGGCCGTACGTCCTCGGACGCGTGAAGCTCGTAAAATCATTATCAGAGGCACGCATCGTTGCGTCTAAAAATAAATCAATAGAAACAGGGTAGGGGAGAAAGCCTGAGAAATCTTCAGACCGTTCATCTCGGTACGATAAAGTCCTTGCTGAAATGCCTAAAGCTTGAAATCCATCGCGGAATCGATCGTGGAGGAAGAATTTTCAGAGTTCAAAGCGGAGAAATCTCGCGTATATGTGAAGACTTCCTGTATGTCAGATTTTTTCAAGATATATTGAATTTGTACTCAGTCGTTTAATTTCCGTTTCTATTTAGAGGGGGGGGGGGGTGAACATCCCCGATTTCATCGATTTCAGCCCGAAGACACGGGCTTCGGCCCTTCGAATCGCGATCGCGTTCGACTCGTCGCGCAAATTAAGGCAAGCACGGCCCGAGAGCTCGGTCGTGCGTGCGTGCGTGCGTGCGTGCGTACGTGCGTGCATTCATGCATGCATGCGTCGCCCGTTCGCGCGTGCGAGCAGCTCGACGCGTGCTGAGAGCCCGAGGGTGATGTGTGGGTCGGCGGTTGCAGGATAGGGATGAACGAACGCGTGAGCGCGAGGGGTCGAGAATCGAACGAGAGCGCGAGCGAGCGTTGGCGCTGTCATTAAACCGCAAGCAGAATTTCCGACCGCCCGATTCGACACGCGTCGCCCCGTGTCCCCCTTCCCACACGCCCCACACACCGCGACCCCCATTCATCATAAATGCAATCAGATCGTATTACGCGCCATTACCATACGCTCTACCCCGTTCCAGTCTCCATCCCCTGGTCGCAACTGGTCGCGCCACCCTCTTTCTCCGTCGACTTGCGCGATACAAGCCCGGAACTCATCTCCGCGCTCGTAGCACGGGCGAAATTTGTGAAGACGTCGGCTGCTGCGTCGAGATTGACGCGACGAGTAAGGAGACGGAGTCTAATTAAGCTTTGATCGCATCGATTTTCAGTGGACCGCGAGCCAAGAGACCCGTATTGGTGAGCCTATATTATTTTGTATCTTTCCCAAGAGCCCATTTTTCATAATATTTCGTAATATTTCGCGTACATGCGTGTTGCTAATTTAACGTATCTAAAAGAACAAATCGAGAACTAATAAGAGGATCTTTTTGTAACAGAGAAGTTCTACCGAGTAATATACGCATGCCGAATTATATTATTTTTTAGTTGAATTTATATTCGAACCTTTTTAGAGATCAGCTGTTATTAGTCGAAGGAAATTTCGCGCAATCACACACAGATCGAGAGATCGAATTGATACGTGCGATTGAGGTAGATCGATTCGACTCGGTTCGATCGTAGTGTTCAATCTGAAACAGTGGTGTCGCATTGGTTCCGTTACCTCTCTTCCGTTACCGAAATAATCGGCCATTTTGCCGGTGGCGCCGTTCGAAATTGGAGTAAGTATAATGTGCTCTCAATTATCGTGAATTTACTTGTGATTAGATCGCGATAGCAATAGATATATATATATATATATATATATACACAAGTCGCGGTATTAAAAGTGTCGAAGGATGTTTCGCGAGATCGCGGAAAGCTAATTAATATGCGCATTTCGAGATTGACCGAACTGCGTGCTTTATAACCTCGATTCGATCGTGGTGCTCGACCCGAAAGAATGGTATCGCGTCGGTTCCCCCCTCCCCCTCCCCCCGCTCTTGTTACCGAAATCAACAGTCATTTTGCCATGCGGCCATCGTTCAAAATCAGAATAAGTAATATCGCGCGTTCGGAATTTTCGCGATCTCGCTCGGGAACATTGCAACAAGACAGGAAATATCCACGTCGTGTTATCGGAAAGTTAATAGAAATTCCGCACGATCGCAAATCGCGAATCGAATTGATACGCGCGATTGCGATAGATCGATTCGATCGACTCGATCGTAATGTTCGTTCCGGAACACTGGTGTCGCGCATTGGCTCCCTCGCTTCTGTTACCGAAATAAACGGCCATTTTGTCGGTGCCGCCGTTTGAAATCAGGGTAAGTGATGTCGTGCGTCAAATTTTCATAATTTCGCTGGTGAATGTTTCATCGCGGTAGTAAATGTGTACGAATCGCGCATTATTAGGGGTGTCGGGGAAAGTTTCGCGAGATCGCGGAATGCCAATTAATACGCGCATTTCGGGGCATTTGATCGAAGTGTATAACCTCGATTCGATCGATCCGCGAGAACGGTGCCGTGTCGATTGTTACCGAAATCAACGGCCATTTTGCCGTTGCGACCGTTCGAAATCGGAGTAAGTAATGTCGCGCGTGGAATTTTCGCGATCTCGCTCGGGAACGTTGCAACGAGATAGAAAATACACGGGCGTCGCATTATCGGGAAAGCCGATGGAAGTTCCGCGCGCGATCGCGGAGTGCCAATTAATACACGCGCATCGCGATTAATCAAACTACGTGTTTCGTAACCTCAATTCGATCGTCGAATTCGATCCGGCAGAGTGTTAGCGCGTGTCGCTGCTCCAGTTAATACAAGATATGACTCACTAGATACTTCGAAACGTTTATAATTAGTAGCATATATGACGATATTAATACATGTATCGTTAGTACAGACGAATCGTATATCAACCGCTTTGAAGCTGATGAGTCGTCAGGTGGATCGCGTTCGCAATCAGCAACTATGTTTACTCCACGATCTCCTGAAATTCGAGTAAGTAATGTCCTGCAAAATTTTCATGATCTCGTACGTGAACATTGCATCGCGATAGTAAATACACGTTAATCCGAAACACCGAAGGAAGTTCCCCGTCAGTGAAGATTGCCTAGCGCTAATTAATAAGCGCGATTAATCAAAATACGTGTTTTACACGATTCGATCGTGGGTTGTTGGTCGAATCGGAAAATAGTGTCGATTTTGATGTTTTCGTTATTGAGACTAGCGGCAATATTTGCACTGTGATCTTTCAAAATGTTGTACTAATGTCTCACGAAGTGTAACGGAATAACGAAATTACGTTGTTCGCGAAAAATTTGTCGTGGCGGTGTGAATCGCGTTATCGGTAGTGTCGAACAGACTGCTAATTACTACGCACGCGATTAATCGAGTTTCTCGTCTTGTGTCATCTAGTTTCGATCGCGCGATGCTGTTCAAATCGAACGTCGACGTCGACGTCGGCGATGTTGGAGTCGTTGGAGATGATGTTCCAGAGGATGCTCGCGCATAATCATCGATGACATTGGGTCGAGTGTGGCGTCGAATGGACTGTCGGACTGTGACAACAAATCACACAGTACAACAAGTAAGTTATTAATTAAGTCCTTATAATAGTAACATCGGTAATTAAGTATACGATGCATTTCAACATGTTGCACTTATGCCGTGTAGGTGTACGATATTGTGAACAATATGATGAAAGATGTAAAATAGTAAAAGTGCCACTTAAAACCGTCTCGTCCACGTGTCCCAATCGAGAAAACGGATTTCTTCGTTTATCGTTGTCGACAGATTGAATGTTCTCTCTTATAGAAGTATCGAGTATATCGCGAGACGCACGATACGTAGTGCCGTTTCGTTCGAAGAGGCAGCTCGCGCGCTGATGATCAGTTAATTGGGCATAGAATCGCAGAGGGATTGAGTTAGTCGGCGATAAGCGGCGTTACACAGCCGAGAGACGTGATGGACGGCGAGCGCGAGTCTATCATTGAATATCACGCAGGACTGAGGCGTGCCGGTTTTAAGTGGCGAACACCTGTTAGTAGAAAAATCGTCGTCTTTGCACGAAACACGAAACGTTCTGAGCGTGTCGACTACAACATGCGGCACTCTGACGGAATATAAATTTATGCGTATTATCGGAAAAATCAGATAAATTCGCCTTGTGAAAATTGTGCACATTATCGATCGTTACCATATGTAATCCATATGTAATTTATATCACATGGTGATGGTAGTTCCTCCTCTCTCGTATCTCATATTTTTCCATTTTCCTTTTTTTTATCTTATCGTGTCACCTCATATCACGTCACGTCACATCAACGTTCGTGTTAATTTCCAACGGATTCCGCCTGCACCGGTAGATTAGTCGGAGAAAGCTACGCCTTCTGGAAAATATTTAAATCGTACATAAAATAAACTTACATAAAGTATATTCGTATAAAATGTAGCGAAAAGACATGTAGAAACATTAAAGATTTAGGAAACAACCGGCAAAATGAAGGATAAATTTTGTAACGAGTATGAAGAGTATGCGAGACTTCCGAGGCATTCTGTTACACGTGTAGCAGCCGTATATCCGCGATCGCGCGCCAGTACGTACGGACACGTCGTGCGACGACGCCGACGTTGACGGTGACGTCCCACAGGATGTTCTACTTAACCCAGAAAATGGCGGTGGAATAGAAGCGAGGTGCGGCGACGGGCGTCCGCTTTCGCGCGCACGTGTATGTGTGTGCGTGTGTGTGTGTGTGTATACGTTTGTTCGCGTCCCTGTCTGTGTGTTGCGACGCGAACTGGAGCGATCCGGGGTGCAGGCAGGGTGGCATCGACGCCGAGGGACGGACGGAGTGGTCCCCGTAGTTCTGATCGCTTCGAAACCACCCCCTGCCCTCCGAGTCCCTCTCGCTCACCTCGCTTGCCGATGCTTTCATCCCGCTCGAACGGTCGCGCGACACGGTACAGTGCGCGAGATAGACGCATGTCGCGTTAAATTGTTAACATCCTAAAAGAAATCCCGCGGAAAGACCTTCGTGTTTAAAGTTCAAGTTTTACGCATCGCTCATTGTCGGAAATTATCTCGCAATGTCGAGCGCACATTTACGCGATTTAAAAACTCGTGTGCAAACTCTTGCGACATCTCTTTGTATTTCTCGAAAGTACTAGAAGAAATCATCGCAATTAATCATTTAAGACGATCGCGTCTTTAACAACGATGGCATCGCGCCGATAATCCTATAATTTTTTTAACTTTACAATCGCGCGGCTCGCGGTTATAAACAAAAGCAGTCATTTGATCGAATTATCTGATAACGTATTCGAGAGATTTTGGAATCAGCCTCTCTCGAGACTCTCTTTAGAGCTGCGACTCACGCGTCACGCCTCGCACTTACCCTCCCTCCTTTCTGCGAAAATCGCACCCCCTCGACAACCGTCTCCACGTCATCGCTGAAGCACAGTGTACACGCCCGGTGTGTGGCACTGGCGACGGCACGGCATATCGATCACCCCAACCCACCCCCAACCATTCGGTGCGGGTAGCACCAGGCCAGAACTACCACGCTTTCGTCCCTCGCAGCCCCTCGCCGCTCTCGCCGAGGGTAGTAGAGCCACGAGCCTGCCTGCCCGCCCCTGATAACTCACAACTCGCCCATCCATCCACTCCCGCGGAGAATCCGCCATCCCCCGTTTCGAACCCCCTTCTTCCATACTGTTGCTGCTACTGCTGCTGCTGCTGCTGCTGCTGCTGCTGTTGCTGTTGCTGCTGCTACTGCTGCTGCTGCTGCTGCTGCTGCTGCTTCCTCAAACCCCTCTGCCGATCTACCGAGCAACCACCGTCACCGACTGACGGAGCTATCGGGCTCTCTCGTGCATCTGATGTTTGTTACGCGGTGGCACGCGCTGCTCCTCGTCATCGTCATCCCCGCACATGTCGATTCTCGCAAGGGGGTTGATCCCGTCCCCCGGCGTGCCGATACGGCTCGATACGTTGGCCTTTTTTGTTTTCCTCTCTTTCCCCCTCCTTTTTCTCGTCTACTTGTTGTTATTGTTGACTTTGTGTTATTTGGGCGAGCTTTTATACACTTTGCTCGTTGGAATTGGCCCGCTTAATTAGAGTCTAGTTAATTTAGCAGAGTTTGTGGATTTATTTAAATATATTTGCGGAGACAGAGACGCGGAGGTTCAGCGAGAGTTTCAGAATTGAAATCTTAGAATGAGGGCTACATTCTTAATTACTATTTCCTTACTTTTTTCATAATTCATCTTGTTCGTTAATTAAATAATCAAATAATTTCTTTCAATTTCGATCGCCGGTCAAAATTCTTAGTTTTTTTCATGTACGAAGTTAAAGTCAAACTCGCGCGTGATTGCAAGCTAGACCGGAGACTTGCGAAACTTTTGGGGGTAAAGTGACGGGCAGCCGAAGTCGGGTGTGCCTGAGATCAGCATGCTAACGATGTATCCTCCCCTATATCCGAGGGATGACGCGTGCATCGCGTCTGGCCAGAGGATCAAAAGCGATCGCGCGTGTCGTTGATTCCCCTTTACTCTTTGATACTGCGAGCACCAATTTCGAACCGATTTAAAACGCTAGTGGTGTTGTTGCTTATGCGACGCGCTTTAACCCATATATTTTTCATACTCTTCAAAGAATAGAATTTTATAGACGACCAGTATTTTCCTTAAAAAGAAATTATCGGTACGTAAAATCAGTTTTACTTTACGGGCCATACAAGTGATTTAACGATCAGTAATTGTTGAGAAATAAGCTTCGAGGCATCGTATTAAGCAGTGTAGATAGAAAAGATATATTTGTAGTTTAATTTCATAGAGCATCGTAATGAATTTTATTGGATTGCGACTTGGCTACAGATGTATTTAATATTAGGAGCGCCACTTTCCCGTGTCGTCTTTTCTTCGCCGCTAATGTGACCTTGAGCAAAGCTGCAGTTTGGGATAGATAGAATGTACATTGGAATGTACGTAGGTTCAACCTTGATTCGTCGCATTGCCAGGAATCACGCTCGTAAGCTGCAATTGTGCTTGGCCGGAGGACATTACGTCGAGTTAGTCCGTGGCCGCTCGCGATATAGAGCTTAACCCGGCGTCTGGCTAAACCACCAATTTAACAGTAGTTAGTATTCACCGCCTTCTTGCATTAAATTCCGAGCCTCACGGTCCCATTAAACGATCGTTACATCGAAATTGTCGAAAAGTTCCGCAGATCTTTGCCAAGTTTTTCGGTATTCGCACGAAGAACTTCTGTCCGTGGTGCTTCTCGCTGTCTCTGATAGTCGCGGGATTTTGAAAGTCGCAGCTCTGCGCGTCAGGTGTATCATATAAATAGAGAATACACTTGGAATTGGCTGGGAATTTTGTTAATCCGAGATATATTATTTGATCAATCTTTCATCTTTTGGAGGAATAAATATTGTCCTATCGATTCGTGAGGAACATTATATATTGAAAGAGACGAAAATTCAAACATTTTCAATCACAAATCAAATTAACAATCCAAGAAGTAATTAAGAATTAATAATTTGGATGAAATCGAACAATCTGAACTTAGCCTCCCCCCATAAGAGAGAGAGAGAGAGAGAGAGAGAGAGAGAGAGAAAGAATTTTGAAAAAAAATTTCTAAAATTATAAATTATCGTCGAGTTGTGAATTTCTAAGATTGAAACATCTTCAATATCAAATTGTTCCCGCAAGTGAAACGGCGCTTACCATTTTGACGCTCTCACGCTTTTTCAAGAGACTGTCGGAATCCGCCTCTCTGCGTCTGCCGTCTGCGGATACAAACGATTTATTGTGTCGAAAGAATGCAAGATCGAATTTAGTTAGTTGCAAATAGATAGCGTTGAAATCTAATAAATAAACATCTCCTGATGATCTTAGCTATAGAGAAAACGAGAGACAAAGAGAAAGATGGAAAAAGACAAAAAGAATATATTTTACAATATAAAAAATGATTTAAAAATATCTCTATATCTTTCTCTCTCTCTCTCTCTCTCTCTCTCTCTCTCTCTCTCTCTCAAGATTGACGAATTTAGGACTTAAATTCGAAGTAACATGGCAATATTCAACAGAAACAAATATATTTGTGTTTTTCGATTGTTGGTTATGATTACAGATTTCAGCAACGTGCGAATAAATAATACCTTCATCAACCGATATGTTATACGATATCCCGTGTGTAAAATTATCGCGACCAGTTCGCGACGCAATTTCACCTTAAAGACGATAGTACACGATAACGCTACGTAAACAACAGACGGGTAGCGAGCTTCCCTTCGCCCGATTATTCGACGATATATTATCTCGATCATTTATATATCGCGCATCACGCATTTATATTTATTAAAGCGCCTGTACCTCCGCGTACACGTATGCAAGCGCGTATGATAATCCACTCGAAGTAAATGTGCCGCAAAGAGAGAGCGGCGCAAGTATAAAGTGAAATAGATTTCAACGCGGGAACAAGGACGCGGGATAGAGAGAGAGAGAGAGAGAGAGAGAGAGAGAGAGAGAGAGAGAGAGAGAGAGAGAGAGAGAGAGAGAAAGAGAGAGAGAGAGAAAGAGCAAGAGAGACATGGAAAGGCAGAGGAAGCGAGATAAACGTGCCAAGAGTGGCGGTCTGCAAAAGGGGTGAAAGGTCGTACAAGAGAGTTTGTTTCGGTTCACCGAACATGAGAGGTTAGCGCGAAGACATTGTTCAAGTATTCCGAGATTTCTTGTATTCGATATATCAGTCGAAATGAACATGAAATAAGACGGAGAGAGAGAGAGAGAGGGAGAGGGAAAGGAGAAGAAGAGAGTTGTGGCCAGCCATCATCTTCCGAGAGATCAGAGGAACATCAGAATCGCTTTAATCTTCGACTGTAACGGATGTCGTCTTTGATATGTCCTAACTCATTAGATATATTGGCAGTATTTAAACATTAATTAATTCACTAATATCGGACATTTTGACTGCGCATTTAGAAGGTAATCTAACTTAACGAGAAGAAAAAGCAGATTCTTTTTATTTTATTCATATGTTATGTCAATTATTTCGCAATTTAATATACAACATTTAATTCTCTGTTGGTTAAGAACTGTCCGTTCCGAAGTGGATTTAAGGCATATTTTTATTTAAATTTGGTTTTGGTCGAGTTTTATACAATGTTACGCAGATGAAGCGACACATGGTTAAATATGAAGCCGCAGGGTTTAATTATCATATCGGGTTTGATCGATCGCGAACAGATATTCAGCTATGATATCGCGACGATCCCGCGGAATTGTTAATGATATTAATTGATACCGCCGCGCATGTTTTGCAAATAGAGGCCGCGGGGATGGCGTTTGTGAAATATTCGTCATCTTTAACGGTTTAATGTAACATCGGGTGAAATTAATTATTCGCACTGTGTGAGTTATACATATAATTATAAATGAAATGTTTTCCACGAATTAAGTTCGCAAGGTACACACCGGTAACGAACTTTCTTACGGTTTGGCTATTAATTGATCAAATTCTTACGTCTTATATAATTTTGAGGGAGAAGAATCTCTCAGAGAAGTGAGAGAGAGAGAGAGAGAGAGAGAGAGAGAGAGAGAGAGAGAGAGAGAGAGAGAGAGAGAGAGAATCTCGTAGAATTACGAATTATAATTTATTTTTGAATTCACGGAATATCTTACTTTATCACACCACGATGCTTTAACGATGGGTGTTTAAAGGCGCGCATCTTTTCAAGAAAATGAAAAGACCCGCGACTGTTCTCCGCTAAGAAAGGCGCGCTGATCCGTTGAAAAGTCAGTATCCCATTTCAGGTGACAGGTGGGAACACGGTGGAATGGAGTTTTATTGTTCACCACCGCGACGAGCATCCTAGGGCAGAGGATTCTAAAAGACTCGAGAAAAATGCCGGTCGTTTCGTCGCCGATGCGACGTCGTCGGCTGGCTGACGTGACGCCCAAGACACCGGGTATGAACATTTTTACGTTTCCGGATGCTTTACAAACGTTCTACGCGATCTGTGCCATCGATCATAACTGTCTGAGACAGAAATACGTGGCAGAGTCTATCTCTCTCTCTCTCTCTCTCTCTCCCCCCCTCTCTTTCTCTCTCTTAGATTACAAAAGAAATATCTTTCTGCAAGATTTGTTTATATTAAATCCTCTCGTCATAGAGCCAAGTTAAAGAGAGGCGAAAATCATAGATAAAATCTTCGTTTGGAGATATTAAAATTGAGACTGTTCGATATCGATTATCTCGCGACACACATCCTGTATAAATGCATCTACAAAAAAGCGAAAAAAATTGACTATTCGTGATGAGAAACGTGACTATTCAATTATTCAAGTTCAATAAGATACGCAGGATAAATGTATAATAGAACCAAAATTTCGACTCGGAAATCTTTTTATTCTCGATAAATTCATTAAACGTCCGTTAAAATCAGGAATCATTCGTACAATAAGTGATTTTATCTGGATCTGGAAATCTATGATATATCATTCGCTGTCCTGCATCCTCCGTCTGTCCTGATTTCCCCGTCTAGCATCCTGCTCCTCCTAGTTATTCCTGGTCCTGGCATTCTGGATTGCTTACTCGTGACAGTGACACGGGCATTGACCCCCGCACAAATACGACTTCGTCGGAGAAACGTGTGTTAATTAACATTGACGAAAATTGTCC